GAGTCCTTCCTTCTCATTAGGTGGCCAAAGTATTTGAGTTTCATCTTCAGTATCTGGCCTTCTAAAGAGCAGTCAGGGTTGATCTCCTCTAGGACAGACCGGTTTGATCGCCTTGTGGTCCAAGGGACTTGCAGGAGTCTACTCCAGCACCACAATTCAAAGGCTGAGCATCCTTCGGTGCTCAGCCTTCCTTATGGTCCAGCTTTCACAGCCGTACATTGCAGCTGGGAAAACCATAGCCTTGACTATATGCACTTTTGTTCACAGGGTGATGTCTCTGCTTTTTTGGTATGCTGTCTAGATTTGCCATAGCTTTCCTCCCCAGGAGCAAGCATCTTTTAATTTTTTGGCTGCAGTCCCCGTCTGTGGTGATCTTGGAGCCCAGGAAAATAAAATCTGTCACTACCTCCATTTCTTCCCCATCTATTTGCCAGGAAGTGAGAGGACCGGATGCCATGATCTTAGTTTTCATAATGTTGAGTTTCAAGCCAACTTTTACGCTCTCCTCCTTCACCCACATCAAGAAGCTCTTTAGTTGCTCTTCACTTTCCGCCATGAGAGTGGTATCATCTGCATATCTGAAGTTGTTGGTATTTCTCCTGGCAATCTTAATTTCAGCTGGTGATTCATCTAGCCCCGCCTTTTCCATGATGTGCTCTGCATATAAGTTAAATAGGCAGGGAGACAATATACAGCCTTGCCAAACTTCTTTCTCAGTTTTGAACCAATCAGTTCCGTGCCCAGTTCTCACTGTTGCTTCTTGACCCGCATATAGGTTTCTCAAGAGACAAATGAGATGGTCTGGTTCTCCCATCTCTTTAAGAACTTGCCACAATTTGTTGTGATCCACACAATCAAAACCTTTAGCATAGTCAATGAAGCAGAAGTAGATGCTTTTCAGGACCTCCCTAGCTTTCTTCATGATCCAGCGTATGTTGGCAATTGGATCTCTAGTTCCTCCCCCTCTTTGAAATCCTGCCTGTACTTCTGGTAGTTCTCGGTCCACATACTGCTGGAGCCCAGCTTGTAGGATTTTGAGCATAACTTTGCTAGCATGTGAAATGAGTACAGTGGTGCAGTAGTTTGAACATTCTTTGGCATTGCCCTTCTTTGGGATTGGAATGTAAACTGAACTTTTCTAGTTCTGTATCCACTGTTGAGTTTTCCAAATTTGCTGGCATATTGAGTGTAGTACTTTTCCTCCTTCGTCTTTTAAGATTTTGAATAGCTCAGCTGGAATACTGTCATGTCCACTGGCTTTGTTGTTGCTCAGACTTCCTAAGGCCCATTTGACTTCACATTCCAGGATGTCTGGCTCGAGGTCAGAGACCACCCCATCGTGGTTATCAGGGATGTTAAGCTCTTTCTTGTATAGTTCTTCTGTGTAATCTTGCCACCTCTTCTTCATCTCGTCTGCCTCTGTTAGGTCCCTGCCATTTTGGTCGTTTATCATGCCCATCTTTGCATGGAACGTTCCCTTCATATCTCCAATTTTCTGGGAGAGATCTCTGGTCCTCCCTATTCTATTGTTTTCTTCTATTTCTTTGCACTGTTCATTTAAGAAGGCATTCTTGTCTCTTCTAGCTATTCTCTGGAATTCTGCATTCAGTTGAGTGTATCTTTCTCTTTCTCCCTTGCCTTTCGCTTGCCTTCTTTCCTCAGCTATTTGTAAAGCTTCCTCAGACAGCCATTTTGCTTTCTTGCATTTCTTTTTCTTTGGGATGGTTTTAGTTGCTACCTCTTGTACAATGTTGCGAATCTCCGTCCACAGTTCTTCAGGCACTCTGTCTATGAGATCTAATTCCTTAAATCTATTTGTCACCTCTACTGTATATTCATCAGGGATATGATTTAGGTCATACCTGAGTGGCCTAGTGCTTTTCCCTACTTCTTCAATTTAAGCCTAAATTTTGCAACAAGAAGCTCATGCTCTGAGCCATAGTCAGCTCCTGGTCTAGTTTTTACTGACTGTATAGATCTTCTCCATCTTTGGCTGCAGAGCACATAGTCAGTCTGATTTCTATGTTGGCCATCTGGTGATGTCCATGTGTAGATTCGTCTCTTGGGTTGTTGGAAAAACGTGTTTGCTATGGCCATCGTATTTTCTTGACAAAATTGTACCAGCCTGTGCCCTGCTTCATTTTGTACTCCAAGGCCAAACTTGCCTGTTATTCCAGTTATCTTTTGGCTTCCTACTTTAGCATTCCGATCCCCCATGATGATAAGGACATAATTTTTGGGTGTTAATTCTAGAAGTTGTTGTAGGCCTTCATAGAATCAGTCAACTTCAGCCTCTTCAGCACCAGTGGTTGGGGCATAGACTTGGACTACTGTAATGTTGAATGGTTTGCCTTGGATTTGAACTGAGGTCATTCTGTCATTTTGGAGATTGTATCCCAGTACCGCTTTTCCTACTCTTTTATTGAGTATGAAGGCTACTCCATTTCTTCTGAGGGATTCTTGCCCGCAGTAGTATACCTGATGGTCATCTGAATTAAATTCCCCCATTCCTGTCCATTTTAGTTCACTGATTCCTAAGATGTCGATGTTCAGTCTTGTCATCTCTTGTTTGACCACATCCAGCTTGCCTTGATTCATGGATCTTACATTCCAGGTTCCTATGGAGTATAGATCTTTACAGCATCAGACTCCCCTTTCACCACCTGATACATCTGCAACTCTGTGTCCTTTTGTCTTTGACCCAGTCTCTTCATTCTTTCTGGCACTACTAGTACTAGCCCTCCTCTCTTCCCCAATAGTATATTGGATACCTTCCAACCTGAGGGGCTCATCTTCCTGTGTCATATCTTTTTGCCTTTTGGTACTGTCCATGGGGTTTTCATGGCAAAGATACTGGAGTGGGTTGCCGTTTCCTTCTCCAGTGGATCACGTTTTGTCAGAGCTCTCGGCTATGACCTGTCCTTCTTTGGTGGCCCTGTACGGCATAGCTCGTAGCTTCATTGAGCTATGCAAACCCCTTCGCCACAACAAGGCAGTGATCCATGAAGGAGGGAAGTAATTTCATATTATAATAGTATTATGTATGTATGTATAAATAACTAAATATTCTTACATTTTTGCTTATATTATGACATACTGTTACAGAGCACTTTTCATTGAACAGGCATTTGTACTGTTGCTTAAAGAAAGACTGTATTCTTGTAGAAATCCTAGCTCTTTTCCACTTCAGGTCATCTCATATCTAGCCAGTTCCTGGGTGGTCTTTTCCTCGGACTGCTATTCATTTGACTGTGTGTAGCATAGCAATCCCCTTATAGCCTTCTGTTAGTGTTCATTGTAACCTAAGTACATCTGTTAGTGTCTAGGTTCTCAAATTTCACATTATCTTATCCTTTTACAGGTCCTGTTACTCTCAATCCTTTTCAAATCTTCGCAAGTCCTAGAGTTTATATTGATAACCTTCCTTATTCTTTCACATGTATGTTTTATTAATATTGATTATATATTTTGCCAAATCATATGTTACATTTTCAAGTATGACAATTTTCTGCTTTCCTAGGTCACTCTCAACACTAGGTTTGGTTATCTCATCACTTGCAGACCAAGCAGCAGGAAAGGGGAAAAACAAATTTGTGCCTTACAGAGACTCTGTACTCACATGGCTCCTCAAGGTAAAAGATTACCCTCTTTCATACATAGACGGAAAAAATGGAAATATTATAGACTGATACATGCTTTCTTGTGCACCATTATACTAGCTTTTGAACTTAAATGACTGGGAAACTTTGCAGGTACTTTGGGCATATCCAGTACTTCCATTCTACTTAAGCAGTTGATACAGTACATAACCTCTGCAGTGTGCCAACAGGTGTAAAGGGGTGGTGTGACGGTATGAAGGGGTTTCTGGGGATAGTACTCACTCTATCTGCAACATACTAACATAATGCTACAGGTGGCTTACCCTAGCAAATATCAATTGTGTAAGCAGAGCAGCAGTGTTGGATACTTGCTGATCATGCTGGTTTAACTTGCTGTTGCTTGCTTGCTTGTTTAACTTGTTGTTTAAAAACATTGTTTATTGGTTTATTGATTTTTACATAATTTCTAATGCTAAGAGTAGTGTAGGTCAGATCCATTTGAAAAGGATACCTATAGATTGCAAAAGTATGGGCAGTATCCAGTACTATCACAGTATTCACACTGACTCTATTAGTATTTGCTAAAGCAACTTCTTTAAGCTTTATTCAGCTGCCCTGTTCTAGAAAGTAGAGTTCCAGTTATTTTTGCTGACTAAAGATCCATTAGTTCTTCGTCGTGGCCTCTGTGCATCACACATATGGGTACTGCGCCTGCGCAGTGCCTGTGGCCAGAAGATTGATAGCTAACGGTTTGGCGGGAAAACTCCTCTCCCTTCCCCCCTAGCAGCATATATGGAGCGGATTGTCCGCCATTTTCCAGTCTTTGCGACCGCCGTTCATTGTGCCTCGTGCCACTTTCGCTCTTGCTCTGACCATTTCTCGTCTTCTCCAATTTACGATTGTTCTCTTAATTCCAAGTTTACATCCCCGTTCTTCGATAACTCCTGTTGTCTCTCTTCTTGTTCTTCTTGTTTACTTACTTCTTTCTTCTTTCTAAAAAAAAAACAAAAAACAAAAATATATTATTACCCTCTGCATTATCTTCTTTTTTCCTTTTCCAACAATGGCGCAACAAGCGGCTTTCCGCAAGTGTGCGGAATGCGGGTCGAAAATGTCTCTGGCAGACCCGCATGACCTATGCCTTCTCTGCCTGGGAGAAGGACATAGGATGGACAAATGTGCTCACTGCCTGGCCTTCTCCAAGCAGGCCAGGAAAAATCGTGAGAACTGCCTTCATAGGCTTCTGTGGGACCGTGCACTCCTCCAGTCGGACCCACTGGTTTCTCGCCCTGCTGCAACCGTGGCTGCGGCTGCTCGCCCAGCCTTGTCTGCCCAGCTGGCTTCCTCTTCCACAGTCCCGCCCTCACGCCCTTCGGATGAAAGTGTGCCCACCGTGGGGACTCAACCTCCCTCCTCGCCTAAGAACATGAGAAGTGGAAGCATAGTCTTTCCGACAAGCCATCTGAATATAAGAAGGCTAAGAAGGACAAGACTGGGAAGCCGCCCAAAAAGCCTAAGAACCCTGAGCATTCCAAGCCCCGAGTCTTGGGTTCGTTGGTGCCCTCGGTCCCGACCGCCGTCGCGGTACCAACACCACTGGGCCCAACAATTCAGGCAGCCATGTTGGTTACCCCTCCCGGGTCCCCTCGGCGCATGGGCGAGCCAGTGACGGAGCCTCTTCAACCTCCACCTAGGGACTCGATCTCCGATGGGGAGATTCGAGATTCCCCACCCAGGACTAGGTCCCCCACACCTATGCTCTCGGCTGGATTCAACGTGGAAGCAGAGATGTTTCCTTCTAGGAGTCGAAGAAGCTGCTCGTCCGAGCAAAGGTCTGATGAATGGTATCATCCGCAGTCGCCTTTCTATCATGGATGGGGGGACTACCATTCTGTTGGACGCTACCCAGCTCCCAGAGGTCACTCCTCTCTGCCAGCTCCACGAGAACACCCTACGTCCTCGGTCCCAAGACCTGCTCCCGAAGCTCCGACCAGAGAGAGCAGTTGATCCTTCTCGCCAGCAGGGTCTTCCTCCACCGCCCCCCCATACTATGGGGTTGATTCTGATGACTCCGATGCCGAATCAAGCTCTCCGGATATCGCGGTGACTTCCCAGGGCCCTGGGTCTTCCGACGAATCCCACATTTCTTTCATGGAGGTGATGTCGCATCTGGTCCAGTTGCTGGAAATTGATGCCATACAGCGACCTGGCCCTAGTACCGACAAATTTTAGGATGTCATCCATGGGGAGCAATCGACGTCGGTTGTCTTGCCCCTCATTACCACCTTGTGGCAAACTATGACCCAACTGTGAGACCTTCCTGCCTATCCACAACCGAGTTCTAAGAGGTACGAAGCCATGTACCAGGTTAGGGAGGAGTACATTCTGTTCCTCCTCTGTCATCCTAAACCGAACTTGGTCGTGGTGGAGTCCTCCCAGGGCAGGGAAGTGAGGGGTCACACCGCGCCCAGAGATAAAGAAGGGAGAAAAATCAACACCCTAGTTCGCCGAGTCTATGCGGCCTCTGGGCTTGGCTTGGAAATATCAAATTATGAGGCAACACTGGCTCGGTGCCAGTACTTCATTATACAATGCCTCAACAACGTGCTTTCCACTCTCCTGGGCAACCAAGGCGACCTCTTCAACTTTTCTTCAACAAAAATTTCAGGCCTCAAACAGACTTACCTACAAAGTTACTTTGAATCCCATCATCTGTTCTTCACTCCTATGGTGGACAATCCCAGCCAACCTAGCAGTTGGGGTTCCATTTCGGCCCCGGTGCCCCTCAGTGACTCTCGGTACCGATGCATCCCTACTGGGATGGGGGGCAGTGTGTTCCAGTCTTCGCACCCAAGGCGTGTGGAATCGACAGGAATCCAGGAGCCATATCAATTTCCTGGAACTTCTAGCAGTATTCAAGGCCCTGCGTTCGTTTGAGGACATTCTTCGGCACCAAGTCATTCAGATAACTTCAGACAGCATTGCTGTGGTCTTTTAACTGAACAAACAAGGAGGGACAAAGTCCCCAACGCTAGTGTGGATATTGATGGAAATCTGGGAGTGGTGCATCCAGAGAGACATTACCCCGATAGCAGTGCACCTAGCTGGTACGGACAGTGTGGAAGCCGATCTTTTAAGCAGACACATGTCCATGTCTCACGAATGGGAACTAGATCGCCAGATGTGCGACCAGTTATTCCATCGTTGGGGTCACCCAGACATAGACTTATTCGCCACCTGCCGCAACAGGGTATGCGAGACTTTTTGCTCGAGAGTGGGAATCGGAGAAGGGTCATCAGGGGATGCCTTCATGATCCCTTGGAACAATATGAATTTTTATGCTTTCCCTCCGATTCCCCTCATTATCAGAGTGCTATCGAAGATAATCTACGACGGGGCCACAGGACTGCTGACAACTCCATGGTGGCCACGCTTCTTCGCGTTTCTCAGGGAGAATATCGTCAACTCCCACAAGTTCCATATCTCATCACCCAGCAAGAAGGCACAATTCGCCATCCGGACTTGACATCGCTGAAATTGACAGCCTGGCGAATTCGATAGCAGTCGGTGCCGATTCGCTACCGACATTATCTACACGTTCTACGGATCCTATCCCCGGATCCGACGTGTTGCGCCATGCCTCGCATCCATCTGCCATCCGTCTTCGGATCCAACGGATGTTCCATCAGGTTCAATGCGGTTTCACCTGAACATCCAACGCATTCTCAGTTCTGCGCTAAGGCCATCAACTCGAAAGTCATATGCGGCCAAGTGGCGACGATTCTCTGTCTTTGCCGAGTCTCGTTCGTTCCTTCCACAGTCAGCATCTATAGACCACATCCTCCGGTTCCTTTTAGAACTCCCATCATTCTGGACTTAAGCCATCTTCCATAAAAGTGTACACGGCAATTTCATACTAACAGGGTTCAGTTTAAGGCTCCTCCATCTTCTCTCAACCACTGATAAAAAGATTCTTCAAAGGCTCCATAACCTTCACCTGATGATTAGACCGGTTATGCCTATGTGGAGCCTATCAGTGGTATTACAAGCGCTAACAAGAGCTCCTTTTGAACCCTTGGCGACGATAGACCTTCGTCTTGTTTCTTGGAAAACAGCATTCCTGGTAGCAGTTATGTCAGCTCGGAGAGCTAGTGAACTCTGTGATCTCAGGGTGGACCCTCCGTATCTGAATTTCCACAGGGAAAAGTGGTCCTATGTATGGACCCCTCTTTTCTTTCCAAAGTGGCTACTTCCTTCCACTTGGGTCAGGAGATTGTCTTGCCTGCCTTTTTTCTGTCTCTGTCGAATCCGATTGAGAGAACCTTGCATACGCTCCAGGTACGGCACTGCCTGGCCTTTTATAGATCAAGGACTGAGTCTATTCGACATTCCACTAAACTTTTCATGAAGTACTCTGAGCAAAATCAAGGTTTTCCAGTTACCCCTCAGAGACTTTTTAAGTGGATAGTCCAAACCATTACTCTTTCCTATCAATTGGCCAAGATAGACTTACCTACAATCCCAAGAGGCCATTCTACTAGAGCTGTAGCTGCTTCTTCAGCTTTTGTGTTGGGAGTTCCGGTTGACGATGTCTGTAGGGCTGCCACCTGGGCCACTCCATGTACATTCGCAAAGCATTATCCGCTGGATGTCCATGCTAGGCAGGATTGTTCCTTTGGCAGAGCCGTTCTTTCAACAATTCTTAGTTGATGACACCTTCCCTCCTTCCAGTCTGGGTAAGCTTGCTAATCTACCCATATGTGTGATGCACAGAGGCCACGATGAAGAAAAGCAGGTTGCTTATCTGTAACCTATGTTCTTCGAGTGGCCATCTGTGCAGTCACACAACCCACCCACCGGCCCCACTCGGTGTCATTGGGTGGTGTTGTTTTTCGGTACCGTGTTACTCTTGCTCTCGGTACCTACACAATATTTTTTCTTCTTGTCGATAAAAAAAATTAAATTAAATTAAGCAAATTAAATTAAACTTAGTTACAATTTGTGCAGTCACACAACCCACCCACCGGCCCCACTCGGTGTCATTGGGTGGTGTTGTTTTTCGGTACCGTGTTACTCTTGCTCTCGGTACCTACACAATATTTTTTCTTCTTGTCGATAAAAAAAATTAAATTAAATTAAGCAAATTAAATTAAACTTAGTTACAATTTGTTTCTTAGAGAGCAAACCTACGGTCTGTCAAAGACTGGAAAATGGCGGACACTCCGCTCCATATATACTGCTAGTGGGGAGGGGAGCGGAGTTTTCCCACCAAACCGTTAGCTATCAATCTTTCGGCCACAGGCACTGCGCAGGCGCAGTACTCATATGTGTTACTGCACAGATGGCCACCTGAAGAACATCAGTTACAGGTAAGCAACCTGCTTTTTCTTGTTGCACTAGTGCTATGCATTATTAGTACATCAGCATACTTTCTCTTGTATGTTAACAGTTAAAGAAATAGTACATCTAGAACATGGACCTATTTTGAATCTATCTTACATACTAATGTGTTATTCAGGACAACTTGGGAGGAAATAGCCAAACAGCTATGATAGCAACAATCAGTCCAGCAGCTGATAATTATGAAGAAACTCTCTCTACACTGAGATATGCAGACAGAGCTAAAAGGATTGTTAATCATGCTATAGTGAATGAAGATCCAAATGCCAGAGTCATAAGAGAACTCCGTGAAGAAGTAGAGAAACTGAAAGAGCAACTTTCTCAGGCAGAGGTAAAATTTATGAGGAAAAGGTATTGGTGATGCTTAGTGAAATGTGTGCTTTTGACTGCTCATTATTATAAAGAATGGACACGGTTAAGTTTGCCTTTTGAAATAGATCTACCATAATAGTTTTGATCTGTTGTAGAACTTGTATCAGAACAGGTTTTTGAAGATAAATTTATGTTCTTGACTGGATGTTCTTCATAGGAACAGTGAAATTAAAATGGCAAACAGACATTAAATAAAATGAAGAACAATGTTGAATATTTGAATATTTATCTCCAAAGGCGTGATTGTTGACTGTCATTGTGGCAGATCCAAGATAACAAGGTGATTCACTGGGGAGAGCTGCTGCTGGCATTGATAGGCAGATCTATGATGCTGGCAACAGCTGAGTCTGCTTCAGTCCTACTTTGCATTCCTCATGTTATGAACAAGATGCAGGAGTGAAATTGGCAAGTACACTGTGCTGATCCTCCAGCTTCCCTTCATGGGGAAGGTAAATGATGAGTGAAGCTGGGCTGCATACTGCTTCCTGGATCTCTTCTGAGTGCCAGTTGAGTGTGCATTGCTCCTGCTTTTCATTCCCTGTGAGAGATGAGAACCAGGAACCAAGCTGGCTGGTTATCCTTAGCTCATCTTTTGCTTTTTATGAGGAAGACAAAGGAGAAATTAAGCTGGGCATTCCTGAAAGCACTAACTGGGTGTGCTACTGTCCCACATCTTAACCCAATCAGGGAAGGCATAGGACATGCAAACCTGGTTATAATAATGGCTTTTCCCCAGTGTAAGTAGTTTCATGTACTGTGAAGCCAGTTCCTAGCCAAGGGATCAAAGAGACCATCTATCTTGTGGGTTGGCCAAGGGCCAGATGATGTTGGGCCATGACTCTGCCCTAAAAAGGGCTGGGGGGGGGGTGTATCTGGCCTCCCACTACAGATGTTGATTCCTGCTTATGCTCCCCTCCCCCCATTTATTTAACTCATAGTTTAGAAGCAGAAGGACTAACAGAACAGGATTAAAATTTTCATGTCTGAAATGGAATTGTAAAAGGATTGTAACTGACATGTTTTGGACACTATTAAGGCTATGAAGGCACCAGAGTTAAAAGAAAAATTAGAGGAGTCTGAAAAGCTTATAAAGGAACTGACTGTCACCTGGGAGGAGAAGTTAAGAAAAACAGAAGAAATTGCACAGGTATTTAAGCATTTTCTCTACCTTTAATGATCATTAACTAGTATGACTTAATCCTATGTAACAGAGGTGGCCAAACATGATAGAGCAATTATCTGATTTGAACATGCCATTTCCCATTCAAGTTGTTCTGTGGATCTTACCATTCAACTGACTTAATAGTTAATAAGTATACATTAACACTGTAAAGCAAGACTGCTAACACTCAACACTGACATACTTGCTGTGGTTGCATAGGCTTTGTTCAGGGCTTAAACAAAGCTATGCACACCATAGATACAAAAATAACAGATCAGAATCCGCAGCTGAAGTATGTCAAAGCCCAAACATTCTCTGGTAGATTAATAATCATGACAGCTCAAAACTCTTTGTATTAAAATGAGAATCAAGCATACCCATTTGAAACAAAGATGAGGTGTTCCAGAGTTGGGGTTGGAACATTAGCATATGGCTTAGTTTGGACTGACTGAATCTTATTTCAGTGTATGTTTGTATTCTTTCTTCTTTTATATTTTGTTTGCAACATTTAGAAGAAAATATAAGAAAAGTAAGTTCAGAATAAATTACAAAGTCTAGGAACTGTTAATGTCCATTAACTAGTTCTATCCTTTCATATTCTGTAGTACTAAGTAGCTGCTCTTGTGATCAAATGTGAAGTGAAGATGATGAAAGGGGTGACTATATATAATAAAGTAATATTTTTAATATTTTCCTTTTATGTAATGTCTTGATATCAGTTTACTGGTATAAACTGTAAAGTTACATCCTGTTTTTCATTATTTTAAACAATGCTGGTAGGTCTACATGCCTGACTTCAGTAGTTGCAGTTTCATAATAATAAATAAGAGACATAATGGAATGGAAAGCTTAGTGGAGAGTTGTTTATATATTGATCTGTTCTAGTTCTGTTATTTTAGCTGAGTGCAGATTAGTGCTACTTGTGCTTTTGTTTACATTAGTGCCCCTCAGTATGAAGAATATTGCTTCTACTCACAGAAGGCTTTGCTTTACGCCTACAGTAGAACATTGTCCAAGAAATGTGCATCTGATTTTAAAGATGATATTCTGCTTATGCAATCTGATGAAAAAGTGAGCGCATGGAAACCGATATTAGACCTATCTGTTACTGCATTCGCTGAGGAATTAGAGCAGCTGTTTTTCTTTTACTTTTATCTCTTTCAGTACAGTCTATAACATGAAGATTTATTTCCACCACACTAACTACATTTGACAAATTGTATTTTTGTGTATTTTACAGGAAAGACAAAAGCAACTAGAGAGTATGGGCATTTCTCTTGAAATGTCAGGCATCAAGGTCAGAGAAGACAAGTGCTATCTAGTGAATCTTAATGCAGATCCTGCTCTCAATGAATTACTTGTTTATTATTTAAAGGTAAAAAGGAAAATAAATTTCATAGCAGTCCATACTTTAGAATGTTTTGGTGCTTTCTTTAAAAAATACTGGCTAGCCTAGGAATATTTTCACTATGTGGTGAATATAAGCATTTTTGAGTGAATTTGCCTGCTAAGTTTGTATTTCTGTTAACAGAATCAGAAGATTTTATTTTTTATCATCTCTGTCTTAACCAGGATCATACTAGAATTGGTGCAGATACCTCACAGGATATTCAGCTGTTTGGAATAGGGATCCAGCCAGAGCATTGTGAGATAGATATTGCACAGGATGGAGAAGTTTCTCTCTCACCAAAAGAAAATGCAAGGTAATGGCATCTATAAGATTAGTTTGTTGTTTAAAAAGGTACCCTATCTTTGGAATTTGAGCAGAAGGACCTCTCATAATCAAAGAGGAAGTTGCCACAACCAGCTTTTCAACAGTTATTGTGATAAGCATAAAAACAAAATATTTATCCTGTTCTTGTGCATAAGTGTACTAGAATAGATACTTCTCATCTATTGCAATTTCTCAGTCTACTTCAGAAAATGCACACATATATTCCACAACCTAAGTACTGAACCTAATTTATGCACACATTCCTCAATATAAAAAATCTGTTTCACTAAACATGGTGCTAGATCTAGCATCAATAACTTGAGTGTAAGGTACTTGGTTAAGATAATTTACGTGTGGTTCACTAGTATGTTAAACTTAATTAAAATTCAGTTATATTTTTTCTCTGAACAAAACCCTTTTTATAATGAGAAATGTGAAGGAAGTGTATTTTTCAAAATCATATAGTCCTTAATGTAAATTGCACATCTTGGCTTCATTTTAATATGAGAATTGCAATTTCACATTGATGTGGTATGTTAACCTTTAAAACACAGTGTCCACTTCTATGGCTTGATAAAAGTGCAAATGCCTTGAAATTGGCATGGTTTATTCCACATGTTTTACTGTAGTATTTCCAAGATGTACTTCAGTGTGCTGTACTGAAATGCTGTGGACTTAAGCACAAATTCCAAACAGATGGTATTCGGAGTTGTTATGATAGAATGACTTTGGTAGGAATTAGTCATTTTGACTAGAAAGAACAAAGAAGCATGTCACTGGAAAAAATTATAACTAAATGGGCTTTGTTTAGCTTGTGCTTTATCCAAAATGTCTAAATAGGCACAAACCTTGTTACCAGAGTTACAGTTGACAATATATTGAATCATTTCATTTCTGATTGTCATATGGATTAAAGTTAACTTCTTTGTGATACAGTGGTGAATTTAAATATTGTTGCAGGTGGTTATTTACTTTCCTATTTTTATGTGGCTATATTTAAGAACAGGATTTTATACAAAATTACCTCTCAGAATTTCCCTCAGCCTGAAATAAAACCATCCCAAGAAGCCATTAATGGGACAGTCTATAAAAGCTTTAAATAAATAAATAAATAAATAAATAAATAAATAAATAAATTTGTGCTTTTAGCTGGAACTATCATGTAGAATAAACTGCCCTTATTTAGACTAACCTACTTTTGGAAGAATGTGTTTAACTGAAGGAACAACACATATGCACACCAGTTAAGAAGGGTTTAACTGGTGTGTACAGGCTGTTTTACAGTGAACAGGCTATGACCCAGTTATTTAAATGTATGTGCTACATATCTCACTGCTAAAATAGAATCTCTGTCTCCCCTGTCCACAGGGAGGTGCTGTAACAGCAATAATAATTTGTCAGTAGGAATTCACCTCTTATTAATTACAACCTTCATAATTTAACACTTAATCTATGCTTCATGCTTTTATTTCACGAATATTTAACATATGGTGGTAGAAAATCAAGACTGGGGATTCTCCTAGTAAGCCTCTCCACTAGTGAATCAAGAAAAACATCCCTAGCCCTCTCCAAGCTAAATGAATGGGTAATTCATCTGTTGACATACATTCATTTCAAAGCTTGAAACAGACTGGCTAAACAGAAGAGAGAACATTTCTACCTAGCTTGAGTGCAACATATTCTAAGGTCCAAAAGGGGAATGTCTAGTAAACAAAAACGATAAAAATATGGTAACATCTCTTGGGCATTCTTCCCTATCAAGCAGTGCTAGGTGTCATGGTAGGACCTCATTTTACAGACCATCAACACATATCAAAATGGAATGGAAATAATAAGCAAGGGCTTGTTACTACCTTCGAAGCTACCATGCCTTGGTAGGAAGGCTTTCTACTTGGAGAAATGTGGAAATGAGAGCTAGAGAATGGAGAAAAGCTCGTGTGATTGTGTATATGAATGGAATACAAACTTTTGCTTTTTCTGATTAGCATTATGTGTATAAGAGGATCTCTCTAATGTGGTTCCAGGTATCCAGAAGATGCATAGATCAGGTGACTGCTGCCATACCTAAGGGCAGTTGTAACCGTATGTTAGGAGAGAAGAAACCCCCCTGTGGATTGGAATGAGTTAACAGTCTTTTGCAGATGGAAGTTGCTGTTTAATGCAGATCTCAAAATACTACTGAATGATTTTGCTCTTATTAGTCTTTTTTTTTTTTTTTTTTTTAAGATCCTGCGTAAATGGAACATTGGTCTGTTCTATCACCCAACTGTGGCATGGAGATAGAATCTTATGGGGAAACAACCACTTTTTTAGGTAACAGTTTTTTCTTCTCCACCTTCTTTCAACAGCTTTGTTCAAATATACTAGTGAATAATTTTGCTGCCAAAGGGGTTTTCAAATAGCTTTAACTAGAAATTCATTTATGACCATTCAGACTTTTGGAAAGTTAGGTTTTCTAGCCTGGAGCTTGGTGACATACAGGCTACATTTAGTTAACCTATCAGTCAAAACAATACTTTTTCCAGATAATTTTCTCCTGTATAACTATAATATACTGTATATACCAGCATATAAGGCAATTTGTGTATAAGATGAGGTTGGTATTTTGGGCTGTTTTTCTGGTGCTTGCCATATGTCAGGGATATAAAACCCCAATTTTTGCTTCTGTATTTCTGGTTTCAAGGGTCCCCTTATATGACAGTATATACGGATATATCTCTAGCAAAAGAACCTCAGCAAATATCTCTAGGAAAAAACATGAATATCTCTCAAGTCTTCATGTCCATTAAGAGACAAAGCACATGAGTGAGGCTGTTTAGTATCAGGGCAAAGAGCATGGCATCTCCAAACAAAGTCCCTAGTAATCGTTGTGGTTTTTCTCTAGATATATTTGAAGTTTTTTCCTAGAAATACAGTTTTTCTAATCTGTCTGGGGGTATAGAACCTATCCCTCACAGATTCAGGAGTCTTACTGTATGATGAATAATTTTCACCTGGCATATAAGACAACCCCTCTGATTTTTGCCTTGCTGTTTCCATTTCAAGGGTCATCTTATTTGCCAGTATATATAATAATATATCCCCAGAGAGGTCCACCTGGCGCCAACGTTATACTCCTTCTGGCGCCAGGTAAAGACCTTTTTATTTAACCATCATTTTAATAAACAAGGGTTTTAGGTGTTTTAAGATTTCCCCCCCTCTCCACAGTCACACTTTCTATTCTTTTCCTCCCCTTTCTTTTCTCTAAGTTCATGATGTGTTGTTTTATATTGTTTTAATAATTTTATTTAATTATTTAATTTTTCAATTTATATCCTGCCTTTTTCCTACAAAGGGCTCAAGGCAGATGCTTTACTATTCTGCTATTGTAATTTTATATTGTGTAAGTTGTCCTGAACACTTGTCGGAAGGATGGGATATAAATGTTTGTAGTAGTAGTAGTAGTAATAGTATTGAGAAGAGCGTGAATCTGTGAACACACTTTCTCAAAACTACTTGCACCATGCTTTAAGAGTAAGTATCATGGAGCATGCAAACAGTCATGTAACATCTTGAAAGAAAGCTGCAACCACATATCTTATGTTGACTTTAGTAAATAAAACCCTCTTTTGCAGTGCAGAAATGTTTAGTACATTTTGATTGCTTCTTTTTTGTCAAATTATCGTATGCATTCTGGCACTGGGAAGAATTAGCCTTTGGTACTTTCTGTCTCATTGTTAATACAAGGAGACTTTTTCCATACCCTTGATTCTCTAATACAAGTTAGAATTACAATGAAACATCAAGCAAGGGTTTGAAAGGCAGCTGCAAAAAAGGTTCTTCGTCGTGGCCTCTGTGCATCACACATATGGGTATTGCGCCTGCGCAGTGCCTGTGGCCGGAAGATTGACAGCTAACGGTTTTTGGCGGGAAGCTCCGCTCACCCTCCCCCCTGTGGCCTGTAAAGAGTGGAGTGTCCGCCATTTTGTTCAGTCTTTGCGACCGCCGTTCACTGTGTCTCGTGCCACTTTTGACTTTTGCTTCGACTGTTACCTTGCTCTCGATTGTCCTTCTTTCCCAGTTTTTTCTTCTCCTTGCTCCCAGTTCATTGTTCCTCGTAGTTTTTTCTTGTTATTTCTTCTTTTGATCTATCTTTCTAAAAAAAACAAAACAAAAATATATACTTACCCTCTGCACTATCCCTCTCTTCTTCTTCTTCTTCTGCGATGGCGCAGCGAGCGGCTTTCTGCAAATGCGCAGACTGCGGGTCAAAAATGGCACCAACTGACCCGCATGACATATGCCTTCTCTGCCTGGGAGAGGGGCATAGGACAAATAAATGCACACATTGCCTGGCCTTCTCCAAGCAGGCCAGGAAGAACCGCGAAAACCGCCTCCGGAGACTCCTTTGGGATCGGGCTCTGATGCAATCAGACCCGCTTGTTGCCGTCCCAAAACCTGGCTCCGCTTCTGTGGCCCCACCCTCACGGCCTTCGGATGAAGGTGCGTCTGCTTCGGTGGCTCCCTCTGCTTCACCTAAAAAGAAGCATGAAAAGTGGAAGCATGCCGAATCCGAGAAGTCAGCAGGCCATAAAAAGGTCAGGAAGGAGAAGGTCTCCAAGCCTCCCAAGAAACCCAGGAATTCGGACCGTCCAGACCGTCCCCGACATTGGGACTCGGGACCTATGGGTCCCTCGGTACCAGTGGCGCTTATGGTACTGACTCCGCCCGAACCGGTCCTCCAGGAGGCTATGCGGGTTACCCCTCAAGGGTCTCCCCACCGTGTGGTTGACCTCCCACCTGCACCCCTTCCAACTCTACTGGGTTCAATATCCGACGGGGAAATCCAGGACTCCCCTCCTAGGACAAGGTCACCGACACCCATGCCCGCTGTCACAATGGAAGCAGATGTTGGACTGTCCCCACCGGGGAGCCGGAGGAGCCGCTCTGTAGAGCAATGTCCGGAGAGCTGGAGTCGCCCCTACTACCATACTTGGGGTGATTTGCTCTCCGTAGGGTACTACCCTGCTCCCAGGGCACGATCCTCTCCTCCATCCTGTGACCAACCGCGCTCATTGGATCCGAGGCAGGCATCACCTCGATCCCCACAGGGTGGAAGCAGCCGCTCCTTCTCCCCGGAGGAGTCGTCATCTTCAACCCCACCCTACTACGGTGCCGATTCGGCCGACTCAGAGGTCGACTCAACCTCTCCGGACGTCGCTGTGGCATCCCAGGGTCCTGCGTCGCCTGATGAGTCCCACGTCTCCTTCGCGGAGCTGATGTCTAGATTTGTCCAGTCCCTGGACATCGACACTGCCCAGCGCCCGGGACCGACGACAGACAAGTTCTACAATGTCGTCCACGGGGAGCAATCGACATCCATCGTCCTGCCGCTCATAACCACCTTGCGGCAGGTGATGATGCAGACCTGGGACCTGCCATCACATCCTCAGCTGACGTCCAGGAGATATGAGTCGATGTACAGGGTTCGGGAGGAGGACATCCCCTTCCTCCTCCAACATCCCAAACTGAACTCTGCGGTCGTCGAATCCTCGCAGGGCAGAGAGGCGAGAGGGCACACGGCACTGAGGGATAAAGAGGGCCGAAAAATAGACTCCCTGGCTAGGCGAGTCTACGCTGCTTCAGGCTTGGGGCTCCGTATATCAAATTACGAGGCGACGTTGGCGAGGTTTCAATACTTTATTATGCAGCGCCTGCACAATGTCGCCTCCACCCTCCCGGACCACCAGGGTGACCTCGCGAAGGTCCTGATCAAGGAAGCCATGCAGGTCGCGGTGCAGCAGTTATCCACGGCGAGGCACCACGTGGATACTGACTCACGGGCCTTGGTCAGTGCCGTTTCTCTCCGAAGGCATGCATGGCTTCGGAATTGTAATTTGCCAGAAGAAACCAGGCGCCGGATCGAGGAAATGCCTTTCGATGGATCTGGGCTTTTCCATTCTCGCACCGACCACAAGCTCGAGAAGCTGCATGAATCGAGGCTGACGGCATGCAGGATAGAGATACAGTCCCATGCCAGATGTAAGTGGTCCTGGAATCGTCCATCCTACAGGCAATCAGATCAACCGAGGCAGCAGCCACAACACCGCCAGCAACAGCAGTGCCCAACAACGCTTCCAACAAGGCCGCCGTCATTTCGATGATCGGAGGCAACGTTGATGGGACTGGCGAACCATTCCTCACGCTCCACCAATACCCACCCCCCTCTCATCTGGGGATCGGCTTTGAAGCCGACTCCCCATTTGTGAGTCCATCACATCTGATCGGTGGGTATTGTCCATCGTTCAACACGGCTATCGAATAGAATTCGACATCGTTCCTCCATCGAGTCCGATCTGGTCCACTTCATGTTCACTGGTACTGCTGTACGAAATACATCAACTTCTTCGTAAAGGAGCGATTCGTCAAGTATTGCCATCTGATGGACTCCACGGATTCTATTCCAGATACTTCACAGTTCCTAAGCGGGATGGTGGTCTACATCTGATTTTGGACTTACGGAACTTAAATAAGTTTATTGTACCAAAAAAGTTTCGTATGGCTGCCCTTCAAAACATTTTGCCGTTGCTAAGGAGAGAGGATTGGTTCGCCTCATTGGACTTGAAGGACACCTACTTCCATATTTCAATTCACCCAAGTTACAGGCGTTTCCTTCGTTTTGCGGTTGCAAACCAACTTTATGAGTTTACAGTTTTGCCTTTTGGACTGGCTACAGCTCCGAGGGCTTGTACCAAGTGCATGGCTCCTGTCTGTGCCTTCCTATGCCTCCAGGGCATACAAATTTATCCGTACCTTGATGACTGGCTGTTGGTGTCGCAGTCCAGAGAAGGACTCCTTGCGGCCATCCATACAACTTGTGCCTTGCTCAATAGCCTAGGCCTATGTATTAATACCGAGAAATCTTCTTTTCTCTCGACACAGACGCTCACCTTCATTGGAGCTTGCTTGGATTCGACGTTGGAAAAAGGCTTCCTCCCTCAGGACAGGCAACAGACTCTTGCTCGCCACATCCATCGAATCCGACGAGAGGGAACGGTCCCGGTGAGGTCTATCCAGAGGATCCTGGGGCATATGGCTTCCTCAGTTGCTGTAGTTCCACATGCCAGGCTTTGGCTTTGCCCACTGCAGCTCTTTTTCAACAAGGTGTACCATCCTCAAAGAGATCCGCAGTCGAGACTGATTTGGATCCCAACTTCCGTGCTTCACTCTCTGCGTTGGTGGTTGGAACAGACCAATCTTACGATAGGAGTCCCCTTCAGGGCGCGACCTCCTACGATAACCCTTGGCACCGACTCGTCTCTTCTAGGATGGGGAGTGATATTATTATTATTATTATAACATTTCTATGCCGCCCCTTGCCGAAACCTCGGGGCGGCTTACCGGCCTATCTACCCAGGGTACGTGGAATCGTCTAGAATCCACGAATCATATCAACTTCCTAGAACTACTGGCAGTTTTCAAAGCCCTGCGCTCTTTCGAGGACATCCTTCATCATCAGATCGTTCAGATAACTTCGGACAATATAGCTACCGTCTTTTATCTGAACAAGCAAGGGGGAACAAAGTCACCGACTCTAGCCAGGCTTTCTGTGAAAATTTGGGACTGGTGCATCCGGAGACACATCACGCTGATGGCTGTTCATCTAGCTGGTGTAGACAATGTGCAGGCGGATCACGAGTGGGAACTGGATCCCCGTACGCGCAACCACCTTTTCTGGCGCTGGGGGTTTCCCGACGTGGACTTATTCACTACCCAACAGAACAGGGTGTGCGAGGCTTACTGTTCGAGAGCGGGAATCGGACACACATCCCTAGGGGACGCATTCATGATCCCTTGGAACAATATGAACTTCTACGCCTTCCCTCTGATCCCTCTTCTGATGAGGGTCATAGCAAAGATAGTGCATGACCGAGCATCGGGGATACTAGTTGCCCCTTGGTGGCCACGTCAAGCATGGTTTGCGAAACTACTTGACATCTCTCGCGGGGAATTTCTTCATCTTCCATCGCTCCCATATCTTATAACACAGGTGGATGGCACACTTCGCCACCCAGATTTGCTCTCATTGAACCTAACAGTGTGGCGAATTCGATGATTGATGTTCCATTGGTGCCAACGACGGTTTCGAAAGTTACGAATCCGACAGCTTCTACTAATCCGTCGGTACCGACGATGACTTCAACCACCTCGGATCCAATTGTTGAACACAATCACTCGGGTGCTTCCCCCCTCTCTGGTCTCTCTGTACTATCTGGTTCGAGACAAGACCCGTCGAATCCGAATCCGACTTTTTTGCACCCTGATATTCCGCATATCATCGACTCTGTCTTAAAGCCATCCACAAGGAAGTCATATAAGGCTAACTGGAAACGTCTTTCCGCCTTTGCTGAGTCGCGTTCGTTCTCTCCATTCCTCTCATCCATTCAACAGATGCTTCAGTTCCTCCTGGAATTGCACCATTCCGGACTGAAGCTGTCGTCCATTAAAGTGTATACAGCCGCAATAGCCTACTACCGTGGCTTAGTCGACGGATCACCTGTTTTCTCATCCTATCCTCAAAAGATTTTTGAAGGGACTATATAATCTTAACCCATCAATTAGACCGGTTATGCCCACATGGAGCCTCTCTGTAGTTCTACAGGCCCTTATGAAGGCCCCCTTCGAACCTTTGGCGACGGTGGATCTTCGATTGGTCTCTTGGAAGATGGTATTTCTTGTAGCTATCACTTCAGCCCGGAGGGCCAGTGAACTTTGCACTCTTCGCATAGTCCCTCCTTATTTAAACTTTCACAGGGAGAAGGTCGTTTTATGCCTCAACCCGTCTTTTTTGCCTAAAGTGTCTACACCTTTCCATACGGGACAAGACATTGTGCTGCCTGCCTTTTTTCCGTCACCGTCGACTCCATTGGAAAGATCTTTGCATTCACTCGATGTTCGCCGTTGCTTAGCCTTTTACCGATCGCGAACGGAATCTATTCGACGATCCAATAAACTGTTCATCAAATATTCTGCTAGGGATCAGGGCGATCCAGTCACTCCACAGAGACTTTCTAAGTGGATAGTCCACACTATAGTCTTATGCTATCAATTAGCTAAGCTCGAACTGCCTTCAGTTCCTCGAGGCCATTCTGCTAGAGCTGTTGCAACCTCGTCTGCATTCGCATCCGGGGTCCCGATTGATGACGTCTGCCGAGCCGCTACTTGGCGAACCCTTGCACCTTTGCCAGGCACTACTGTCTTGATGTTCGAGCTCGATGGGATTGCTCCTTCGGTAGAGCTGTTCTCTCCTCCATTCTTCAATGAGGACACCTTCCCTCCTCCTTTATGGTAAGCTTGTTAATCTACCCATATGTGTGATGCACAGAGGCCATGACGAAGAAAAGCAGGTTGCTTACCTGTAACTGATGTTCTTCGAGTGGCCATCTGTGCAGTCACACAACCCACCCGCCGGCCCTGCTTGGTGTCGGTGAGTGGCTGCATCGACCGCTTAGTGTCGGTGAGTGAATGCATCTTTCGGTACCGACTATGCCTTTTTTCATGGTACCGACATCAAAAACAAACAAACAAACAAAGTTTTTTCAATAAGATAGCGTACGTTTGGTCGCAAAGACTGAACAAAATGGCGGATGCTTCGCTCTTTATAGGCCACAGGGGGGAGGGGGAGCAGAGCTTCCCGCCAAAAACCGTTAGCTGTCAATCTTCCGGCCACAGGCACTGCGCAGGCACAGTACCCATATGTGTGACTGCACAGATGGCCACTCAAAGAACATCAGTTACAGGTAAGCAACCTGCGTTTCAGAGTGGAATAGGTGAAGTAAGTTGGATGCAATATCACTTATCTTGTGCTGTGAGCAAGGATTATAGTCAGATCTCTAACTTGTACAAAGCTTCCTTTATTTTAAAATAAACCTTCATTCCTTTCCTCACTGCCTCAACTCTTTCAGCGTATAAAAATCAGAATCAAAAGAGGAATTACTGTTCTCCAACCCTTTTCATATACGTACCAAGATCTTTACTAAGTCTTCTACTAAGTTTTCTATTTTTAAACAGAATTAATCTACCTAAAAGAAAGCGACGAGATTGGTTGAAAGACTCTGAAAAAGAGATGCTGTCAGCAGAACATGATCTAGATGCAACTAGTGAAGCTTCTTCAGAACCAGACTATAACTATGAATTTGCACAGATGGAAGTTATAATGAAAACACTGAATAGCAATGGTAAGAAAATGGTGGTTCAGTATTATTGAAAGTGCCAAACATTAGCACAGAAATGTGTAGATCCCAAAATACTTTAATCTGTTCCCATGTCTTGACTGTCAAGCAAAAATGAATGCATAACATTTTAAAGTTCAACAGCAGTAAATTTCTAAAAACAGAAGCCATAATGGAGTAAATAATGTTTGCTCAAAAGTTGTTTCCATTCTGCCAGACAGATTTAAGAATATTTACTCAAAACTACTCTTCTCAGTTTTATGAGATATTCCTCCAGGTAAAAATGCTTTAGATGCCACTTTTGATCTTTACTATAAGCCAGTGTAGGCTATTACAGTAGTTTTGATATTGGAAGGATGGGTAATGGAGTCTATGATACAGTGACTTTTTTCTTCTTAGATCCAGTACAAAATGTGGTCCAAGTCTTGGAGAAACAATACTTAGAAGAGAAACGTAGTGCTTTGGAAGAGCAGCGAATGATGTATGAGCGTGAGCTGGAACAACTCCGACAGCAGCTTTCACCAGAAAGACGATATCAGCATTGTAGTGACAGGCTTGCAGATGCTGGCCAGACTGCTCAACAGAAAGTGAAGCTCTGGTCAGAAGAGAGGTAAGAGTACTGGTGTTGAAATCTTAAGCAACTGAAACAGATAATGGATTATAAAGAAAAATATCCTCATCCTATCCTCAACTTCTCCCCACCATGTACTGCTAATTAGAAAAGTCTTATTTTTCAGTTTAGCTCCAAGAATCTTTTTGCTTCTAGGGATATGTTTTAGAAGCTTCCTTAGCAGGGAAGAGTAGAAGAAATATTGTAGGTTAAATCCTGACAGAATAACATCTGTTGGGTTCATCGCTACAAAGTTACATTGTCACTTTCTTCATGCATTAATTGTAAAATTATAAAATACAATATTCACAGACTAAGTTTGGTACTTCAGTTATGCATTTTAGAAAGGGAGGAATAAGAATTTAGAAATACAAACCTGACTTAGAGGCCTGATCTCATCCTACCACAAGCACAGTGCTTGTGAAGGAATTGTTATATGACTTAACTGTTCTCATGGTTGTTGCATTTTGTGAGTGCTTCTCTTGGGCTAGCTGTTTGGGAGCCAGAATCAGAGTTTGAACAGGTTGGTGTCGAACTCGGCATATTCAACGCCTGCTTGCCTATAGTAAAAATTAATCAAATGCAAACCTTTAGCATTGGTTTCTTTTAATTTCTATTACTTAGATAAGAGAAGGGAGTTGGGCAGGATTACCTACAGCTGCTAGTTGTGCATGTACAAAATCCAGTTTACCCCAACCTGATACCCTTCAGATGTTTTACATTACAGACTCCCATCATTCATGACCATGCAGTCATTGCCTGATAGGAGTTGTAATTCAAAGCATTTGGAGGACAGCAAGTATCATGGGATCTTTATAGCATTTGTGGCATCATCATGGGATATACTTCAAAGAGGGCTCCTGATCATACAATTTCAGACATCGTATCTGCTACTAATGCTTTTGGTGTTCCCAGAGCTAGATTTATAAAAAACTGAAGAAAACTGAAGGTGAATTACCTTATAAAAAGCATTTGTTGAAACAAGCCCTAGGCTGGATGTTTTAGTATATTCAAGAAAATGCAATATAACTCTATTGAGAATTTGTTGGCTTTTTCTTTACATATAATTTTCTTCAGAGTGCCTATAAAAGTTGACTATCATGTGCTGGGATTCATTTTGTTCCTGGACAGCATATTCTGGATAGATCTGATTTTCATTTTAAAACTATTAAGTTTCTTTGAACTTGTAAGTCCTAGTTTGGTCTCTTACTAAAAATGTTGGTCATATTTATTTTAGACGTTATCAGAACTGGAAACTGATCTCATACTCTTCAACTTGGGGAAAAAAGTGCATTGTCAGATCTCCCTGAATATTTGCTACATGCAATGGACATGTTTTTTTTCCTTTACGTTTTTACATGCTTCACCCCTTCTCACCATAGGGATGAATTATTCCGGCAGAGCCTGGCAAAACTAAGAGAACAGATAGTTAAAGCCAATACGCTAGTGAGGGAAGCAAACTTCTTGGCTGAAGAGATGAGTAAGCTAACAGATTATCAGGTCACACTACAAATCCCTGCTGCTAACCTGAGTGCCAACAAGAAGGTAAAAAATTTGATAATTGATAACCATTTGGTAACCATTTTGTATAGACCCTTGAAAGATGCAAAGCCATATGAAAATGAACTAGTATGGGTGTGTGTGTGAGTGAGTGAGAGAGAGAGAATTGTATTTAAATGAAAGTAGTTGTAAGTCTAGTATAAAGCTTTTCAAGTCTTCTTGTCTCGGTAAGCTTGTACAGTCTCTGTACATATTCAATAAAAAGAGAGCATTTATACTTGTGCTAATTTGATGTGAACAGTTCAGTTTTTAGGTTGATATGGAATATATTTTATCAAAATTATGAGTATAATCAGTGCAATAAGAATACGGACTGATCCATATATTTTAAACAAAAAAGACACTAAGTACAATAGAATGGGCAAAACAATCAACTAAAATACCTGGATAAACAATATTTTTTCAGCTGGAATGTAAACAGTTGCAGTACTGGTATCAGTCAAATTACTGTAATGTAGATATTCTATAGTCACAATGCTACAGCCAAGTAGTCTCTCCTTTTTGACACATACTGTACCCCAAGGTACTTGGAAAAGAGCCTTCCCTGATTATCTTAACTATGGGCCCTCTAGTTTAGACTGATACGCTTTGCAGATATTTGGGTACCCATCCATTTCCATGTTAAAGATAAGCAGCAGCAGCACCTTGAACTTTACTCTGAAGCAAATACATACGTAGTGTGGTCCTTTAGAACTGGTGTAATAAGATTTCATCTGACTGTACCAGTTCTTTAGGGTTTCTGTGCATCGCACATACGGGCTTTTTGTGCATCCAAGGAGCCTGTTTGGGAAGATTCCAAAGCCAGGGCACATTTATTTCACTGAAAATAAAAAGCAGTATGCTGGGGTAGATTTTTTCATATGTGGGGAAATTTTGATAATGTCACATAAGAAATGCACATGATTGACGCTGTTAAAAATGCTATATCCCTGCCTACATGTTTGGCTGAAGTAGGAAGCCAAACGATAACCAGAATAACAGGCAGGGTTGGCCTTGGAGTACAAAATGAAGCAGGGCACAGGCTGGTAGAATTTTGTCAAGAGAATACGATGGTCATAGCAAATACTGTTTTCCAAAAACCCAAGAGATGACTCTACAAATGGACATCACCAGATGATCAACACAGAAATCAGATTGACTATGTGCTCTGCAGCCAAAGATGGAGAAGCCCTCACAGTCAGTAAAAACTAGACCAGGAGCTGACTGTGGCTCAGGGCATGAGCTTCTTGTTGCAAAATTTAGACTTAAATTGAAGAAAGTAGGGAAAAGCACTAGGCCTCTCTGGTATGACCTAAATTATATCCCTGATGAATATACAGTAGAGGTGACAAATAGATTTAAGGAATTAGATCTGATAGACAGAGTGCCTGAAGATTGTGTGGATCACAACAAATTGTGGTAAGTTCTTAAAGAGATGGGAGAATCAGACCATCTTATTTGTCTCTTGAGAAACCTATATGCGGTCAAGAAGCAACAGTGAGAACTGGACACAGAACCATTGATTGGTTCAAAATCAGTTTGGCAAGACTGTATACTGTCGCCCTGCCTATTTAACTTATATGCAGAGCACATCATGACAAAGGTGGGGCTAGATGAATTACCAGTTGGAATTAAGATTGCTGGGAGAAATACTAACAACCTCAGATATGCAGATGATACCACTCTCATGGCAGAAAGTGAAGTGCAACTAAAGAGCTTCTTGATGTGGGTGAAGGAGGAGAGCGCAAAAGTTGGCTTGAAACTCAACATTAAGAAAACTAAGATCATGGCATCCAGTCCTCTCACTTCCGGGCAAATAGATGGGGAAGAAATGGAGGTAGTGACAGATTTTATTTTCCTGGGCTCCAAGATCACCGCAGACGAGGACTGCAGCCAAGAAATTAAAAGATGCTTGCTCCTGGGGAGGAAAGCTATGGCAAATCTAGACAGCATACTAAAAAGCAGAGACATCACCCAGCCCACAAAAGTACATATAGTCAAGGCTATGGTTTTCCCAGTTGCAATGTATGGCTGTGAAAGTTGGACCATAAGAAAGGCTGAGCGCCAAAGAATTGAGACCTTCGAATTGTGGTGCTGGAGAAGACCCTTGCGAGTCCTTTGGACTGCAAGGCGATCAAACCAGTCAGTCCTAGAGGAGATAATCCCTGACTGCTCTTTAGAAGGCCAGATCCTGAAGATGAAACTCAAATATTTTGGCCACCTAATGAGAAGGAAGGACTCACTGGAGAAGAGCCTAATGTTGGGAACAATAGATGGCAAAAGAAGGGGATGGCAGAGGATGAGGTGGCTAGATGGAGTCACTGAAGCAGTCGGCATGAGCTTAAGTGGCCTCTGGGGATGGCGGAGGACAGGAAGGCCTGGAGGAATGTTGTCCATGGGGTCGTGATGGGTCGGACACGGCTTCACGACTAACAGCAACAACATGTTTGGGCAACTGCTATCTTTTTAGACAAATACGGGTAAGTGTAGTTAAGAGCACTTACACATCTTCCTTAATGGGCAGGGTATTTTCAGTCTTACATGAGTCTGAACAAAACTACCTTCAGCTGTAATTATTATTCATAAATAATTTTGAAGGCACAGATAAGGATAAGTAAGGTATGCAAAACACACTTGACTATAACTCTGATAACATGAAATAGTATAGCTCAGTATTATATCCTTTACCACTTAAGTTACCTTTGTCCTTGTTCAGAGAGGTGCAATAGTAAGTGAACCAGCTATTCAAGTACGAAGAAAAGGAAAAGGAACTCAAGTATGGACCATTGAGAAGCTAGAGAACAAATTAATTGACATGAGAGATCTGTATCAAGAATGGAAAGAGAGAGCCCATGAGGTAATGATCTTCTTTTTTTCAGTGTGGCCAAAAGAGACTAATGGGCAGTACAGAAATTGAATGAATGGATTAATTAATGTTTCTCCCCAGTAGTGTTTTTTATTAAAGGAATGTGTGCCTATAAATCTCATTTACCAGTCACCTGTTTTTGAGGATATCTCTGACAGACCCCACTGCCACATTCAGTTGTATTATTAGTCTAATGAATTGCTTTGGTTTAATGTTCATATTCATGTTTGATAACAGACTTTATTGACTGTGCATTTTTCTATAATCTGTCGCTTCAAAGCACAACAGCATTGGCAAGTCATGCTAAACCACCCTGCAGGTAAGCAATGGTGGGTTGTCTGGTTGCTGACCAATGTATGGTACCTTAGACAAGCGAAATGACATGTCAAATGTTACAGTTTAGAATGTTCTTGCCTTATGAACTACTCTTGTACATTTCCCTGCTGTATAGGGCATATGGGGCAGAATCAGGATCATTGTTATTTTTTTTCCTGAAGTGCCATTTCCAAAAGTTACTATGATTTTGTATGAGTTCTTATTCTCTTACCCTTTGTAAATGAAACTTTACTACTACTTTCATAGCTGTGTAGGCTTTATTACTAAATCCAGAGTTTCCCTGTGGCTCCTTGCTACTGTTTAACAACTCAGGCTTGAGGCTTGTGCATAAGGTGAGCTGCAGCTGTACTCCTTTTCCCCAAGCTTCAAGAGTGTCCTGTAAGATCTGAGAGTCTCCTGGCTCAGGCAGCAATGGATATATGTGGTGATGACAGCCTATTTCAGTAACTGTTTGGTTCCAGGATATGGTTCAGGGTCTTTGGGGAGTTCCCCTTTTCACCTCACAAATCATGATATTAAATCATTTATGATTTTAAAATTAAAATTGCCTTTTCTTTTATAAAAATAGATAAAGCGACTCACTGGAAAAAGAGGTGATCCTTTCTATGAAGCACAAGAAAATCACAATTTAATTGGTGTAGCAAATGTCTTTTTGGAGTGCCTTTTCTGTGATGTTAAACTTCAGTATGCAGTGCCAATAATTAGCCAACAGGGAGAGGTAAGTTTAAGGGGCCCATGCTACACAGAGATCAACTGGAATGTTGCTTTTTGGTGTCTAATCTGTCCCTTATTTTTACTGGTACAATCTGCTGTCTCTGCTAGCCTTGGTAGGAGGAAGGTGAAGCTTGTGACTTGAAGGGAAGAATGAAATAAAAAAGTTGATAGTTAAAAGGTGCTAAATCACACAAAACATAGGGACAAGAGGAATTTTGTGCCACTGAGATGCACAAAATAGAATACATACGTAGAAACTGTTGAATTTGGCCAAGTAAGTGGATTTCATGTTTGGCTGAAGTTTACTTGATTTTCCAAAAAGTGCTGCAGTGTGCAAAATCTGGGGAGCAGATCAAAGGAGAGTCTTGTTACTACACAGAAGACTTTTATAAAGAACTATCAGTAACTTCCACTTGAGTAAGCAAGTTGGAATTTTAGTACTTAGATATAGAATTCTGAATCTCTAATATCTGGTTTATTCTGAGATTGTTTTGAGAATGGGAAAGTTTGTACAAATGGGTAAAGTACCCTGCAGATAAGTTGCACAGTGTGGTTGCTTGCAGAACAACTCCTGGTGTTCCTGGCTGATTATCAGGCTTACATGGGGGGGAGGGGTCATTCACCCCTTCCCTTCCACCTGCTAGTCCTCTAGCCAGTAATTCAGGGTCCTGTTTAGTAAAACCTGTCTAGTCTCATCCTCCATGCTCCAGTTGTGACCCCATCTTCATTTGCTAACGTTGTTGTTTTGCTTGATGCCACTGAAAGTAAAAGCTTCTCCAGCAATGTTCCAGCAACACTTTGGGATGACTTTGGGATGTCACATTACTGCTTAACAAACAAAAATAGATGGCAGAAATGTGAGCAATTAAAATAATTATTTTTATTGTTACTTGACGAAGTGTATACTTGTGACGTCTGAAATGTCGAGTCTTACCTGGTAAGTGTCCTGATAAGTGTGTTTTATTACAATGCAGTTGGTAACAGCCATGGACATTGACCAGATGAGGCTGTATATAGATACCTTTGTGCACACTTGACAGCTGTGAATTGAGAAACAAAGTGGTAAAGGTACTTTAGCTGTTAAAGGGAGTTGTGATCTCCTATTTAGCAGTGTGGTCCTCTAGTTTTTAATTATTGCTCTGATGGTTCTTCCACATTTTCCACACTTCCCTGAGCCTCTAGGTAAACCAGAAAAAACTTGTCTGACAAATTTAAACATGATTTTGGACAGGTAAATACACAATCATGAAATGTGTGTGTATTTTCCTGTCCAAAAGAAAAATATAGGCAAGCTTCCAGTTGACATCTGCCAAGCAGACACACACAAACCTATACAGAACTCCACTTTGTCAGTGCTTATGTATCCACTGCATTTTGACAGGAGACCTTTGCCAGGACAATGAAATGGCGGTTTTCACATTTCATGCAACTGTAAGCATGCACTTGTGAAAAACTGGCTTTAATTTTTTAAATGACCTGAATTGTACAGATTTCTGCCCCCTATCTCCCTAATAAACTAGAGACTACTGCTCCAAAATTCTGTTTGGGATTGGTGTAGTGACTGCCACTGGCAGTGGCATAGATGAGCAAGCCACCCTATGAGAACTGGTTCAGGTCTGGACCATAACAAACCATCTTGCTTATTACACACTGTGGGTGGCCATATCACACAAACCCAATCAATATCTGACTTGTATTTTTGTAAGCATGTTTTCTTCTATTCAGTTGCTGAAGGTACAGTTATATTTGGGAAATCTGGGTTCTAGTCCCCAGTCAATCGTGAAGTGCCCTGGATGACTTTGGGCCAGTCACTGACTCTCAACCTAACCTACCTCACAGGTTGTAAGGTTGTTGAGAGGATAAGATTGAGAGGAAGAGGAGGCCTCTAAGCTGCCTTCAGTTCTTTAAAGTAAAACGCTCAAGATATAAATATAATAAATACAGTAACATACATATTTATGTCTTTTGATAACTGATGTTCTGCAGTACCTGAAGATCTTAAATATTAATATATTTGTAATGCAGGTTGCAGGGCGTCTGCATGTTGAAGTGATGCGTGTCACTGGTGTTGTCCCAGAACGTGTAGCAGAAGGAGATGACTCTTCTGAAAACTCCAGTGAAAGTGGAAGTTTAGAAATCATGGACAACAATGGAGACATTATCCACAGGCCAAAAAAGCTCACTTGCAGGGTTAGTGCAATACAGTGTGTACACTAATATTTTAAAATGACAATGTTTTAGCAAAACAATGTTCTGAACCATTTGCATGCTGTAGTGGAAAATGCCTGTGCCACAACAAAAACAACCAAATCACATTATAAAATACATTATTTAAGGAAGGGGAGAATCCATAGCACTATAATTACATTACTTATATATTAATATATAACAGAACATACTGTTGTGATTAACAATAATTATGCATATACTTTGACAGAGTCATCCCAAATCCCCACATATTTATCCATTTGTAAGTTATACCTAAATGCCAGCTCTTCAAAATCTAAAGTTTCATTAAATTGTCCACCCATGATGTTACTGCAGGTGGCTGTTTATCTTTCCAATGTAGTAATGTTGCTGTTGTTAGTCGCAAAGTCGTGTCCGACCCATCGCGACCCCATGGACAACATTCCTCCAGGCCTTCCTGTCCCCCACCATCCCCTGGAGCCCACTCAAGCTCACACCAACTGCTTCAGTGACTCCATCTAGCCACCTCCTTCTCTACCATCCCCATCTTCTTTTGTCATCTATTGTTCCCAGCATTAGGCTCTTCTCCAGGGAGTCCTTCCTTCTCATTAGGTGGCCAAAGTATTTGAGTTTCATCTTCAGTATCTGGCCTTCTAAAGAGCAGTCAGGGTTGATCTCCTTTAGCACTGACCGGTTTGATCGCTTAGCGGTCCAAGGGACTCGCAGGAGTCTCTTCCAGCACCACAATTCAAAGGCCTCAATCCTTCGGTGCTCAGCCTTCCTTATGGTCCAACTTTCACAGCCATACATTGCACCTGGGAAAACCATAGTCTTGACTATATGCACTTTTGTGGGCTGGGTGATGTCTCTGCTTTTTAGTATGCTATCTAGATTTGCCATAGCTTTCCTCCCCAGGAGCAAGCGTCTTTTAATTTCTTGGCTGCAGTCCCCGTCTGCGGTGATCTTGGAGCCCAGGAAAATAAAATCTGTTACTACCTCCATTTCTTCCCCATCTATTTGCCCGGAAGTGAGAGGACTCGATGCCATGATCTTAGTTTTTCGTAATGTTGAGTTTCAGGCCAACTTTTGCACTCTCCTCCTTCACCCACATCAAGAGGCTCTTTAGTTCACTTTCCGCCATGAGAGTGGTATCATCTGCATATCTGAGGTTGTTGATATTTCTCCCAGCAATCTTAATTCCAACTGGTGATTCATCTAGCCCCGCCATTCTCATGATGTGCTCTGCATATAAGTTAAATAGGCAGGACAACAGTATACAGCTTTGCCGAATTTCTTTCTCAATTTTGAACCAATCAGTGGTTCCATGTCCAGTTCTCACTGTTGCTTCTTGACCCGCATATAGGTTTCTGAAGAGACAAATGAGACAGTCTGGTTCTCCCATCTCTTTAAGAACTTTCCACAATTTGTTGTGATCCACACAATCAAAGGCTTTAGCATAGTCAATGAAGCAGAAGTAGATGTTTTTCTGGAACTCCCTAGCTTTCTCCATGATCCAGCGTATGTTGGCAATTTGACCTCTGCGAAATGCTGCCTATACTTCTCGGTCCGCATACTGCTGGAGCCTAGCTTGTAGAATTTTGAGCATAACTTTGCTAGCATGTGAAATGCGTGCAATGGTGTGGTAGTTTGAACATTCTTTGGCATTGCCCTTCTTTGGGATCGGAATGTAAGCTGACCTTTTCTAGTTCTGTATCCACTGTTGAGTTTTCCAAGTTTGCTGGCATATTGAGTGTTGCACTTTTAGTGCATCATCTTTTAAGATTTCGAATAGCTGAGCTGGAATACTGTCACCTCCACTAGGTTTGTTGTTGCTCAGACTTCCTAAGGCCCATTTGACTTCACATTCCAGGATGTCTGGCTCGAGGTCAGTGACCACCCCATCGTGAGATCTCTGGTCCTCCCTATTCTATTGTTTTCTTCTATTTCTTTACCTGTTCATTTAAGAAGGCATTCTTATCTCTTCTAGCTATTCTCTGGAATTCTGCATTCAGCTGAGTGTATCTTTCTCCTTCTCCCTTGCCTTTCGCTTGCCTTCTTTCCTCAGCTGTTTGTATAGCTTCCTCAGACAGCCATTTTGCTTTCTTGCATTTCTTTTTCTTTGGGATGGTTTTAGTTGCTACCTCTTGTACAATGTTGCAAACCTCCGTCCAAAGTTCTTCAGGCACTCTGTCTCTCAGATCTAATTCCTTAAATCTATTTGTCACCTCTACTGTATATTCATCAGGGATATGATTTAGGTCATACCTGAGTGGCCTAGTGCTTTTCCCTACTTTCTTCAATTTAAGCCTAAATTTTGCAACGAGAAGCTCAAGATCTGAGCCACAGTCAGCTCCTGGTCTAGTGTTTACTGACTGTATAGAGCTTCTCCCTCTTTGGCTGCAGAGCACATAGTCAATCTGATTTCTGGGTTGACCGTCTGGTGATGTCCGGGTGTAGATTCGTCTCTTGGGTTGTTGGAAAAGAGTGTTTGCTATGACCATTGTATTCTCTTGACAAAATTCTACCAGCCTGTGCCCTGCTTCACTTTGTACTCCAAAGCCAAACTTGCCTGTTATTCCAGTTATCTTTTGGCTTCCTACTTTGGCATTCCAATCCCCCATGATGATAAGGACATCATTTTTGGGTGTTAATTCTAGAAGGTGTTGTAGGCCTTCATAGAACCAGTCTACTTCAGCCTTTTCAGCTCCAGTGGTTCTGGCATAGACTTTGACTATTGTGATGTTGAATGGTTTGCCTTGGATTCGAACTGAGATCTTTCTGTCATTTTGGAGATTGTATCCCAGTACTGCTTTTCCTAGCCTTTTATTGAGTATGAAGGCTACTCCATTTCTTCTGAGGGATTCTTGCCCGCAGTAGTATACCTGATGGTCATCTGAATTAAATTCCCCCATTCCTGTCCATTTTAGTTCACTGATTCCTAAGATGTCGATGTTCAGTCTTGTCATCTCTTGTTTGACCACATCCAGCTTGCCTTGATTTATGGATCTTACATGCCAGGTTCCAATGGAGTATAGATCTTTACAGCATCGGACTTTCCTTTCACCACCAGATACATCTGCAACTGAGTGTCCTTTTGACTTTGACCCAGTCTTTTCATTCTTTCTGGCGGTACTAGTACTAGCCCTCCGCTCTTCTCCAATAGCATATTGGACACCTTCCGACCTGAGGGGCTCATCTTCTGGTGTCATCTCTCTCTGCCTTTTGGTACTGCCCATGGGGTTTTTATGGCAAAGATACTGGAGTGGGTTGCCATTTCCTTCTCCAGTGGATCACATTTTGTCAGAGCTCTCTGCTATGACCTGTCCTTCTTGGGTGGCCCTGCATGGCATAGCTCATAGCTTCATTGAGCTACGCAAGCCCCTTCGCCACGACAAGGCAGTGATCCATGAAGGAGAATGTAGTAATAGTAAGTCCACAAAGATTCTTGAAAAGGATGCAACTTCTAATCATAGAGAATGGATTGGGCCTCCCTGACTTTTCCGTTTACCATCAGGTCTGTCTGTTGATTCAGATTCAGTTGTGGTCTTTTCCACTTACATGACATTCCTCTCCCTGCTCTGTTTTGGAATATTCATTTTTGGAGCGTGTTTACAAATAGATTGCATTGGGCTCTTTGCCATGCTAAAACAGATAATGAACCCCCTCCAGTTGTTACATCTAAAGAGTTGTGGCATATACTTTCCCAATGATGACACTTCAACACATTTGCACATGCAAAATTAACTTTATATGGAAACCTGGTTTTAAAAATAGGCAAGCAAATACTTGTTTGGACCTGGATGGACAGGATCATTTTTACTTTCAATCAGCTTGTCAGCACTTAGGAAATTTTTTTGCCATTCTCTGTTTTGCAGACCAAATATAAATTACCAGGAATGGCTGAATGACAATACATGCCATCGAAACATTTGTTAAAATCAAAGTTCAGTTCTTCTGTTTTACTTGCTTCAGAGCTGCTTCTGTTATTCAAAGTATTGAGGCTTAAAACTTACCTCATCCTACAATTTATGTATATAAATATTTAATATCAGTGAATAAATATGATACACAGACTTTCAAACAAGGATGGTATAATGAATTGGAACACCCCATATTGCCTCGCCAATGAAGTGCAACATTTATCTATATCCCAATTGACTGTGGCTTTCAGGCTATGCTTAATTCAGCAAAAAATGTTTTGTATATATAGGACACCACAACATCTCTTATTTAAGGGCTTAGCTAAATCAGCCAACTTTTCGCGATATAGTGCTGGTGGTACTTCTTCATATGTTTTGGTAGTGGCCAATGGCAGCTTCCTTTTGGAAGGAGGAAATAATTTGGATAGACCTTCGGCTGGAAAACTCTTTACTATTTAAAGATTGGTTTGGTTTGGTTTGGTTTGGTTTGGTTTGTACTCATCTCCTGGAACATAATACAAGGTTAACGTAAATGGATTTTCTTTGCCTTGTGACATTTAAAAGAAGATGTTAAAGAATTGGGGATGGATAATTTATAGCAAGTTAAGAGTTCAGTGCTAGCCTACTTGTGTATGGATGGGGATTATTTCTTAATCAGTTAATATTGCACCAATTTGTTTATTAAATGATTAATCTCTCAATATATGCAATATAATATATTTTGTAAAATAGTATTCTGTTTAGAAACAGATTGCTATAAAGGTGTTAACATACTGAATTTGTTTTATTACTGTCCAGGTAAAAATTAAAGAAGCAACAGGGCTACCACTGAATCTCTCAAACTTTGTCTTTTGTCAATATACCTTCTGGGATCAATGTGAGTCAACTGTTGCAGCACCAGTAGTAGATCCAGATGTGCCTTCACCTCTGAGCAAGGATGCTCAATTTACTGTTACTTTCTCTCATTGTAGGGTAATTATTCCTATTTTTTGTTTAGTGTTTAGTACTGAGCAGTGCTTTTTTTGTAAAAAAAAAAAAGGTGTCGGAACTCACGTCTTGGGGTCACACTTTTACACTAAAAAAGATTTTCAATTTACCTTTTGCACGTAGCCATTCACTCTACACGCACATAAACATAACAGTTGCCGCCAGCAGTAAGCACTCAGTGCGCGACCACACGACCAATCCCAAGCCGAGCAGCATCCCAAGCCAAGCAGCGCCCTCCTAATCAGCACGGACACACAAGCAGCCTGCATGTACTGTTTTGACGATTTTTGTCGCTGACCTGCTACGCCCGACAGGGCGATTCAAAATCATCACTTGGAAGAATCCGTTGGAAAAATCTGTCAAAAAAAGGTGCCGGAACACCGTTCTGGTGTGTTCTATGACAAAAAAAGCCCTGCTACTGAGACATACATTTCAGTGCATATTGTATGTATTTGATTCCATCATTGTACGGGGAACAGTTTGGATGTTCTGGGCAAACCCTGGGTTAATGTGCTCAAGCAACATGCTGATACGTGCTTCCAAATTACCTCAGTTTGGCTCCTTCTGGAAGCAGGAGTGGCTAAACAAACCATGGACCTTCCCTCTGTGGTCATTATCATTATGTGTGGATTAGGAGTTCTGGTTTGTCTTTCCCCAGACAAGCCAGATTCATAAGCCAACAACAAATCATGACAGGTTTGACAAATCAACAACAGAAACGGACAGAAAGTCTGTGGGGTTATTTGAACACTCCCACTTGCAGGAAGATCCAAGTGGGGGGCAGGGGTATTAGGAAACAAAGCAAAGAGTTACTTGAAGAATTTCCCCTTTTATTTTGGCTTGAATGAACAGTTGGAAAGGGCACAAAAAGATTTCCAAAATGTCTTTCTGCAAGGCATACCAGAGAGTCCAAGACAAAGACAGCACTCTGGTTATAGGTTACCTTTATTCTAGCCCATTCTATGCATCTTCCAGGAAAGCATCAGGGAAGTCAACTTAAACCTAAAATCTTCCAACACATAAGTTATGACACCTTCACCTCACCAGTGCCATAGTCCTGCAAATTGTTAGCAACATCAGATACAGGAATATCGTAACCTGTTTTTTGTAATAAAAACTAATAGCATTTCACTTGTGAATGCCAGTAGAAAGAGGAAGACTGGCAGAATATACACAATTCACACCTTCAGAGGATCTGGTCAGTCAGTACCTGTTAGGGAAAATAAAATAAGATGAAAGAAATGAAAATTTTATTTAAGGATTTATGTACTGCGTTTTCAAAACAAAAGTTTTATCAAGGCAGCTTATAGTTAATTTCCTAAAATGTGTACAAGCTATATATCATAACATTTAACTAATAAAAAGCATGTTATCATTAAAGACAGAGAGAAATAACAGTCATCATTATAAAAGTGACTGACATGGCATTCTTCCTGGTCCCAGAAAATGGAGTTTTGTACTTTTTAGATTGGTAGGGATATAAATAATTCAAAGACTACTATAAAATGAAAATCTGGTAAGCCTTGCCAGAAACCCTTATGGCACTACATATTGTTGCATATGAGCTAACTGATAGAATTAGTCAGTTAAAAGCACTAAGAACTTTTACTGACCAAGAGAGGCTATTAACTTAAAGATCTTTTTCCTAGTGATATCAATTTTTTGTCTGTAGGACTGATAAAAACAATTTCAGTTTTCTGCAGTAAGTGTTCCAATTTTCTAGGATTATGTGGTGAATGTAACAGAAGAATTTCTGGAGTTCATTGCAGATGGTGCACTTGCTATTGAGGTGTGGGGTCACCGATGTGCTGGAAATGGCAGTTCTGTTTGGGAGGTGGATTCTCTTCATGCAAAAAACAGGACTTTGAGAGACAGGTAAATCTGTATTGTATCATTCTTGTGATCGGGAGGCCTTATGACCAACAGCATATGCATCAAGGAGGGAGGAGGAGGAGAAGCAGTGCATCTGCTGGGAATGTGTGAAAACACAGAAAAAGGATGATGCATGTGAGAATGAGAAATGCATGACCAAGAAGAAGCAGTGCTGGCAGCCAGTTGATAGGGGTATTGGAGAGAAAGATGATACTTGAATTTACTAACTTGCATATCTGTAGCACTGAATAGAATTAACACTTCTAGAAATGCTCCATGAAGATGTAGAAGAGCTTTTTATAGTAATCTTGTTGCTGCTTGGATTATCTCTAGGTGGAATGAAGTAACACGTCGAATAGAAATGTGGGTTTCGATTCAAGAACTCAATGAAATGGGGGATTATACAGCTGTAGAACTCCATCAGGCAAAGGATGTAAACACAGGGGGAATTTTCCAGCTCAGACAGGTATAGTGAAGTTTTGCTTCTCAAAAAAGAATACCAATGTGTTAACGTTTTGCCTTAGTTTAATTTTTCTCCCCTTACCCTTGCTTTGTATGACCAGGGTCATTCTCGTAGAGTTCAGGTAACAGTTAAACCAGTACAGCATTCAGGAACCTTACCACTTATGGTAGAAGCCATTCTTTCTGTCTCCATTGGCTGTGTGACTGCCAGATCAACCAAATTGCAACGGGGCTTGGACAGTTACCAGGTAAGATAAGTGGCCTTAAAGCACTAAGTTATTACAGTCCTGTTCAATTCTGTTTTTTACACTGTCTGGAATTATGTGTGTAGCCTAAGCAATATATTGATGATAATTTCACCAAGTACAATTAGACACAACAGATGTACTGTTAGAGTCAGTATCCTTTTGGAAGGACAAATAGATGATCAACACTGGCCTCGTGCCTTACTTGTGAATAAAGGCATCTTGTTGGCTATTATGATAAAGAGAATGCTGGACAGATAAAACTTTGAGTGGAAGTAGGCAGTATAGAGAAAGCATATGTGCCACCAAAAATGGCTGCACTCTTTTTCTAATCCTGACGTCTGTTATTGCAAACTAATCATGACATGCCTTCGGCTCATGTGTTCCTTCTTCTTTTCCATTGCATATGAAACAGAGTGAAAGTTTCAGTTTTCACATAGACAAAATCATAGTTCTGCATTACATATAAATTATAAGAACTGCAATTCATTTTAACTGAAGTTAGTTATAACAAATAATCAAAACAAGTGTTTGATCCTAGTTTATTTTCACTACCTTTGGTTAAGACAAACCATAGTTCAGAATCTGTAGATAATACAGAAATACACTTTGTTCTAGAATGAAAGTAGAGATTTTCTCTCTCTCATGTGCAGGGATCATTGTGGAGGGGGAAAACACAAGCCTGAGGCTTTCATGGCTTACTCTCTATTAACTGAATGATGGGTTAAATGATCATCCAAACCAGAGCAGTCTATGATGTCATATAATTAGGTTTAGTTGATTTCCTAGTCCTCTCTGATCATTGGCTACTATTTGCAGAGGTGGGAAAACTCTTAGTGCAGTTATGTGTTTTCACACTAACTATTACCAGGGAAGAGGGAAGGAGGAGTTGAGGGCTGCTGCTTGTCAGTGCAAATCTTATGTAGTCCATATTAATTAGTTCTTAAGTTGTTCTGATTTAAGCTATCAATTCTTATGCCATGAGCCTTTAACAAATACAGGTAAACACTCCTCAGGCCTAAGAGCTGCAGCACATGATTATAGTGAGTTTTTGAGTTACATGTCAGGCTGTTGTGAAAAGGGCAAATTCCATTTTGAGTTACATTAAGAGAAGTCTATCTAACTTGTGAGGATAAAATGTGGGGAGAACTATCTTTTGCTACCTTGAACTTGTTAGGAAAGGCAGGTTATAAATGTAATACTGTATTTCCACTTAATTGTGTACTTTTAATCTATATTTCTGTGATTTACGTGTGAACATATTGTGTGATAATGTTGCTATTCTTCCTAGGATTCTATATATATTTCGGACAGAAAGCTGTATTAAATTTTTAAAAAATCAAGTCAAAGCTGAGTTGACTAAGTTGTAGAAAAATAAAAAACAAATGATTTGTGTGTCATTAAACATTTTGACCTTGCTAATCTAAAGCAAGTCAGCTGTATAAAATGAATGCACTCTAATCTGGCTAGGATCCAGCCATAGATGTTGAATGGAGAGTATTTTCCACACTTAAAAAATGCCCACCTGCTCTAATCTTTTGAGTAGTGTGCATAATTTCATTTGTATACACTCTAACAAGTACTTGATCCAACAAGCTTAGACAATTCAGATTACTTGTCTGGAGAGACTGTGGTCCAAGTATCTCCACCACCCTCAAGATATGATCATTGCATGCCCACTGTTGTAAACAAAGATTCATATATTGAATGCATAATGATTAAGAGTACAATTCAATGCATGTTTAGACAGAAGGAGACCTACAACTCCCACCAGGCCCCTAAGAAATTGTAGGACTTTTTTCTGTCTAAACATGCATAGGATCACACTCGTGAGACATTACCAGTTATGGTCCTCATGTGACAGAGGAACAGATGGGTACTTCTTTGCTCAGCTGTCATTCCAAGTATATGTGAACCAGGAGTTTCCTGCAAATGCCTGATTACATGGAGGTCTTGTTTCTGCTATTATCTGCATTTAAGTATAAGGGAGTATAATTTGCACAAACCAAGGGCTCAGCATGAAGTAGTGGTAGCATAGAGCAGGGTGTAGAACTTCAGGCCTGGGGGCCAAATCCAATCCTCTAGGGTTCCCCAGAAGGTCATGCCCACATTCCTTCAAAATTAATAGTTGGGTGGTTTCAAGATGTGAAGGTTTTCACCATTCTAAAAGGCATTATGAAATGCTTCTGTAAGGATTTGTTACTGGCCATAATAGGTCTAAGTTACCATATGCTGTGTCGTGGCCCTAAGTCATTTTGCCTTTGGCCCTTCCCCTTTTTTGCTTTTAGTCTCATCATCCAGTGAAATGTGAACCCCCAAGAGCTTCTCCAAAATGAAATTCAGCCCTCAGGCTGAGAAAAGTTCTGCACCCTTTATGTAGAGGCCATAGCTTGCAACTTCTCTGTAATGAGTGAAAGGAGGGAGAGGTATCTACCTTCTCCTTTTCACTATACTAGTGGGCATCTGAGGCTATGTTTGGAAGGTTTAAAAAAACTATTATTGTCTATGTTACATTTGTGTGTGCTTTTATTTGGGATGTGCTAGCAAGAAAAATGCATGTTCTGTGTATTTCTAAAGTTTATTTTTTTCTACCAGAGAGGAGGAGGAGATGATGGTGGTGATATGGATAGTTATCAGGTATTGCTGCTGTCAAATCACATGGCATGGGGCACAGCTAATGCTAATTGTCATCAACTCCAAATTGTTTCTAGAAGAAATTTAGCACATAAAAAAGTAATGTTTGCCTTTAAAGGCATCTATTAATCAATAGATATTTGAATAAATATAGATGTAAAATATTTCATTTACATCTGTTTGTATACTATGCCATTGTATACTATGACATCCCTGACTACTGATATGCTATTGGTAAACCAGTTGAGCGATTTGTTAACTGGAAATGTTTTAACCCCACTTTTCCATTTCAAATGCTCAAAGTGGCTTGCCACATAATTAAACAAATAAGTATAATAGGAAAGCAACAGTATAATACAAATGTAGGAGAAAAGACAACATTTAAAATTTCATTAATTAAAATGCTGGAAAATTAAAAACCATCAGCAGCCTGACAAACTTAAATGGTTGTTTTCATGCATTAATTGGCCATTAAAGAGGAGGGAAAACAAGCTTCTCAAGAAATGAAGTCTGGGCATAACAGAGATGCATGAACCCAACCAAATGTAACTCAACACTTGGTGTGAAACAAAGGAGACTCTATAAACATGAGTTACACAGTAGAAGGATTCATACAAAAAGCTAGACGTTAATTCTCAAGCAGGTAAAGAGCCAGGATGTGCTAAAAATGTGGAGGGCACTGAGAATCGTCAGTTCAACATTCAAAAGCCAGAAATTACATAAGGGGATGATACTGTCTCCCTCTCTTTCGTACACCCACTGAGTCACTTTTTCCCTTTTATTCTTCAGTTGGTATCTGTGAGCAAATGTGGATTTGTTATCTACTTTAGTTCCCTTTGACAGCTGAAACTTTCAAGGCCATTAACAACACTAGACATCAAACAGCCATAATTGTCCATAATTTCACATTGTGAAAGTTCAGCAAAAATAATAATAAATGATGAACACATTTGTGCAATTTCTGGTGTCAAATTAACAAAGAAATGCTGCTGGACCAGTGACAATTGGTCCAAAATGCAACTTAGGCATTGGTGGAGATGTTGTCACTGGCAGTGGCATAGACAAGATTGCAGAGGAAGTCGGGTTTTTGAAACTCCCACTGAATGTCTTACTAACCACTCCCTGCAACCCATGATATAAATAATTTCTCAGGTTGCAGAATTCATTATAAATGTCATTGTGTGTTTTTTTTAAATTCAAACACAGCAAGTATTTACTTGTATTGATAAATAATAGCACAGTAAACATTGCTTCCCTAGTGACAATAGCCTTAATATTGTTTTGAATTTATTGATAAGGCTCCCAATATAAAAGGAAGGTTCATTTAAGCAGGAAAACCAGGAGTAATATAAGGTCCAAATAGCTGCTCTCTATAGCTAAATAAATTACACAGTTGTTCCAGAGACCTAAAGCTTGAAGTACATGTGATAGCTGATTCATGTTTAAACCTAGGTCTGTCCAAGTTATGTAGAAAGATCTAACTTAAGAGATTTATTGCTGAGGAGAATTGAATCCTTCCTTCTATGCCAGTAACTTTCCTACCACACTGCTCCTCAAGCATACCTCCCAGATTTAGGGGCACTTCTCGAATTATCCCTGGCTGAGAGAAAAGTGGCTTCAGAGGATAAACTGCAAGGAGTTAAGCCACAGGCAGGGGAAGATTTTTGCATGTCCTGCTCCTGGGCTGCCACGCCCCCCTCCCCTCCAATTCCCTGCTTTCTGTGAGATTTGGACTGATCCAGGTTTAAATGCACAGTTCTGCTGCTTTCACAAGTAGTTTGAGCCTAAATTATCTACTAATTTGCTTGAAGCTTTTCATGGTGCTTTCTTGATAATATATTATGAAGAATGGATCAAACATTTCTATTAGATCAGTCAGCATGATTGCATGATGGGTTTTTGTTTGCATGGGGATGATTTCATTGCACTGTTAGCAGCTACATATGATGGAATTTATGCAGGTGTAAGGGTATTTATGTTGATGTCTGTATAATCTTTTTCACTTCCATATGCTACTAAATAGTTCTTTGGCCAGTGCATTATTTCTCTGCTTTGACTTGAATCACAAATTTATGAAAGATGAAATAGATAAAGAGTGTCTAACTATGGAACAAATGATGCAACTCCAGCTTTTCTTTCTTCTTGCTATTTGCAAGTTGGGCAAGCTTACTTTCTTGGTTGATGTACTGTAAATGAAACATTTACACTTCACTATGTTCGTAATCAAAACTATGCAATAACTTTCGCTAATCAAAGCTGAAAATTGCATAAAATTAAATGTGTTTGTCATTTCTTTAGAAAAATTGTGTGTTTAGAAAACATGCTCTCTCTTCATTAGGAGGAAGACTTAAATTGTGTGAGAGAGAGATGGTCAGAGGCACTAATAAAACGCAGAGAATACCTAGATGAACAGATTAAAAAAATCAGCAATAAACAAGGTATGTGGTCCTTGTTGTTAATATATTTTATAAGTATTTTGTGTCTTGTTTTTTAGGAAAAAATGAAAAGTGCTACCCTGGAACATGGGTCGTCAAACTATGGCCCGCAGGCTGGATATGACCTGCCATGCTCCTTTATCCAGCCCGCCTCAGAGCTTTTGAACTCGCTCGGAGAAAATTATCTCTGAACGAGTCCAAAAGTTCTGAGCCGGCACAGGCATACTCAGTAGAGAGATGGCCGCGATCGCAGGCATACTCGTGCAGGGAAGATGGGCATGATCATGGTCGTCGTGGGGGGGCAATGGCTGCAATCAGGCCCACCTTCCCTGCATGAGTGCGCCCACGATCGTTCCCTCCTTCCCTGCACAATTGTGCTGGGGGAGGGGATGGCCATGATTGTGGTCACGCTCGTGCAGGGAAGATGGGTGTGATAGATAACATGCTGGGGGGGAGGGGGGAGATGTCCGTGATCTCACCTGCCTTCCCTGCACAAGTGTGACCACAATCGCGCCCATCTTCCCTGCATGAGCGTGATCACATCCGTCTTCCCCCCCAGCACAATTGCACCCATCTTCCCCCTCCCAGCACGATCGCGGACATTGTAGCTATGTCCCTTGAATATAGACATGCTCTTCCCCACCTCCTGTGCTGCTGCTGCAGCCCAAGCGAGTGGAGCAAACATTTTTTAAGTTTTTAATTATTTTTAAAAATTTTAATTAATTTTTAATTAATTTAATTCAAATTAATTTTCCATTTATTTTAATTTTAATTAATTTTAATGTGCAGTGTGCATAGGAATTTGTTCGTATTCTTTTCAAAGTATAATCCAGTCCCCCAACAGTCTTAGGGACAGTGAACTTGGCCCCCTGTTTAAAAGGTTTGAGGACCCCTGCCCTAGAATATTACCAACATTTAAAAAACTAGTTGTATTTGAAAATTAATCTTAAAAGAAACTCTTAATGAAGCAACCATTGAGAAGTTCAGCTCACTATAAAGAGAGTACCGGGTATCCACTTTCAATGACAAATTCCTATTGCCTTAAGCACTGCTCATTTGCATCAATTATAGATTAAAGACTGCCATACTGTTACTTTGAAATGCCAAGCAAAATGTGCTTGTAAGCCATGCATTTAGCATATTACATTTTTCTTCCTGTCTGCCCTAACTCATATTGTAGAGAAAACTGAAGATGACATAGAAAGAGAAGCACGACTTGTAGAACAATGGGTTGGATTAACAGAAGAGAGAAATGCTGTACTGGTTCCAGCACCAGACAGTGGGATCCCAGGTGCTCCTGCAAATTGGTAGGTAGAGAGAGATTGTTACAACTTGCTTACAAAATAACTTGAAATGAATATGATGTGCAGTTAACTAGATGATAAAGATCTGAGGGAAATAGAAGTTCCTACATTGCTTCAATGTGCATATTAAAAGTGTCAAATTTGGTCAAAACGACCAGGTTCTTATACTTTGTGAATCTATTGGTTAAGCAGCCCATGCAATGATGGGAGAGAGTGAGAACACTTGCTTCTTGTATGACCATCAATTCTGATTAGCTTCTCATAGGATTAATTGGCTATTTAGGGGCTAAACAAGCCAACAGTTAACTCATGTAACAAACTGTCCATGAGTTTATCTTATTGAAGGCCACATGAAGTTGTGTTAGCAAATTTGAGCTGGGGCCTAAACCTACCAGTTTGTAAACAAAATAGGACTGCACCCAATATATTACTTTGTAAATTAAAACAAAACAAAAACAAAACCCTTAATGGCCCAGCAGTTATTAATGTCCAGTAATTTTCAGGACCATCAGACTGTTCAGCACAGTAGAGCTATTGGGCATTGAACGTGTCAGCTGAAAGCAAAAAAAGGAGGGGGGAAGAAATTGTTATGCTTTAGTGAGGAACCGTTTAGAACATGGGTCCTCAAACTACAGCCTGGAGGCCCATTTGGACCCACCACGCATGTGCCCACTGCCGCCCACCTTGCCCTGCACGCGGGGAGGCAGCAGTTTGCTCACTTGAAGAAAACGATCTCCAAGCGAGCAAGCCGCTGCCTCATGCACCACCTTGGGGCGGGCACCTGCCCACACCTTGCCTTGCCTCCCCTCGCTGCGCGCGCGCCCCCAACTGTGTCTCGCCTCCCTGCGCTGCGCACCCCACCCCCACCTCAGCTCCCGCGTGTGCCCCCGTGCTGGCCCCCCCGTGCTGGCCCCCACACACTGCCAGCACCACCTTTCTGGCCCGCGCTCAGCACCGGCACCTTTCAACTGGCCCCCTGGTTAAAAAGTTTGAGGACCCCTGATGTAGAATATCTTGCATATTCATGCCTCTTACGTTGAGATATAATCACACTCTTGAGTTGTTGCTTTTATAACTTTCCCTCTTCTGTCTGTCTGTCTGTCTGTCTGTCTGTCTGTCTTTCTGCCCACTTGTGCCACAGTACCTCTGGGCGGCTCACAACACAAGATAAAAACGCAATAAAACACAATAAAAACCTATATATTAAAGCAACAATAAAATACAGTAAAACATACTGTATTGGCAATTAGTTATTAAAATGTTGGTTTTTTTTAAAAGGAAGGTCTTTGCCTGGTGCTGAAAAGAAAGTAAGGAAGGCGCCAGGTGAAACTCCTTGGGAAGAGTATTCCAAATAGGAGGAGCAGCTGCAGAAAAGGCCCTCCTTCTAGCAGCCATCCCTCTTACCTTCTTAAAGGATGGCTCACATATGGAAGATTATGGGAGATTAACATAGTTAAGATACCTTCCCTAGTTTCTCCATTCTCAAGAATTCTGCATCCATTCTCCATAAGAAGGCAAGAGAGCAGGAAGGTGCTGTCTTGCCCCCACTCCAAAAAACTTTCTTTGAACCTTAGAAAAGAACTTCTGTTAGAGACTGAGGATATATTGCATTTCAACATTTATTATGAACCTCCACTTGTCAGTCTCTAGTGTTGATGCAAATTTGAATTATGCTTTTAAAAACTGATTTGAGCATTCCTTTAAAATATATATGCATGTATATGGATTACTATATTGATGAGGATACTTCTTTACTGTTAGGATCCCACCTTCTGGAATGGAAACGCACATTCCTGTACTTTTCCTTGATTTGAATGGTAAGTTGTGGCTTGCCAAGGGAGTGAAAATAATTCATATTGCTGTTCTAGTGCTATGTGGGAAGTAAAGAAAATTTGTGTTGTGTTCCTAAATCTGAACTGACTTCTGGAAAATTCAGTTTTTGTTTAATGAATATGCTGAGGAAAGTCCAGCTTTGGGGAAGTACAGTGGTACCTCAGCTCACAAACATAATCCATTCCACAATTCTGGTTGTGACTCGAATTGGTCGCGAAACAAGTCAAATTTTCTCATAAAGTTCAATGTAAATAAAGTTAATCCGTCCTGTAATTTTTCTTTTATCACAAAAATTTAAAACAAAGTAAGAACAACGAAGTAACAAAGTACAGTACAGTAGAGAACCTAGGTAGGTGGGAGGATATTGTTTGGAGTCCAAACAATTATCGTGCGATAGCGATCGTGTTCGGGTGGGGAGGGGGCAGATGATCGTGATCATGCTCATGCAGGGAAGACAGGTGCAGTCGTGCTTGGGGAAGAAAGGCGTGATCGCACTCACACTCGGGAGGATGAGCACGCTTGTGCAGGGAAGATGACTGTGATCGTGTTTGTGCGGCAACATGGCCGCGATTGTGGTCGTCACCCAATGTGGAGTTCGCAAACCGAGGCATTTTTTGACCCAATTTGGTTGTGATCTGAGGTGTTCATGAGCCATGGTACCACTGTATATTCCATAAAGCATAAGGACATATCCTTGAATATTTTCATTAAAACATCCAGAAGGCTGTTTTGAACTAGTAAGTATTACTGTGCTGTAGCATTTTGAGCTACAAAATACATTCTATACAAATTTAACAGAACAGATTAAGATAAGTCTCACAAAAAGCAAAACTAGCTGTAATGGCCAGGAGGAAAAAATCCAAAATCCACAGTAGCACAATAGCATTAATTGGACAGTGCAAAGGACACAAAGAATAAACTTTTGACTCTTCCAGAGCTTCTCATCAGGTTAGAAATAAACAATGTGAAAGTGAGGAGAGGGAGGTGGAAAGCTGACTGCTGTTGAGGCCATTGAGCCATTTATATAGTTAGTCTTAAAATGGCACTTGGGAGATTGCAGACATTCAGGTTAGGCTGTTCTAAGTACTATCATGGTTTCATAGGAAGTTTTTATAAATCCAGGCAATATCAATTGTCATTCCATTCAAAATGTTATTTTCAGTGGTGTAATATATTTAAGATTAGGTTTTAAGTTTATTTTTTAAAACACTGTGGCAGATAGAACTTTCTAGGGCTATAACTTGCTGTCTTGTAACTTTCTGTTTGTTAGCTGATGACCTCAGTGCGAATGAACAACTTATAGGTCCACATGCATCAGGAGTTAATTCAATACTACCAAAGGAGCATGGAAGTCAGTTTTTTTATCTGCCAATCATAAAACACAGTAAGGATGAGGTAAATTCCTAGTAAATTATCCTGGACAACAGATATTTTGGTTACTGTATTTCTACTTGTTTGTCTTCTGTTGATGTGTTTCATTGGTATTCATATTTCATAGAATCATACAATAGTTGAGTTGGAATGGGCCATGAAGGCTATCGAGTCCAACTCCCTGCTGTTTTAGGACACCAAGTTACACCATCCCAATCAGATGGCTGTCCAGTCCAATATTTAATAAATTTAGGGTACAGTCCCATGAGCACGCCCATAACCATTCATTATGGACATCCTGTGGAGCAACAGAGTTCACCTCCTGTGCTCCTGTGACTCTGCAAAGCACTTAGATGCCTAACCTTGGTCATCCAAGTGCAGCACTTTGGAACAGCAGGAGGGAAAGAGAAAAGAAATCACCAGGTTTGTCTTACTTTGAAGCCTATCTCCTCCCTTTCCCACCCCCTGGATCATACACAAAAGTCCTTCTCTGAGGTTACTGTTAGAAATTTGGAGAAGCAGACATTGCAGTTCTTTCCATGCCAGCAGCAAGGGTGCAGAAGCTCAGGTCTTCAGCTATGAGGCTGGACAATTCTATAACTGCTATGGGGCTGACTAGCATCCACTGCCGATAATATGCCAGCAATTTTATATATCTTTATCTTGCTATTGTATTTATTGGATATTTATCACACTGTAAGATATCCAGAGACGAATTGTATAGGACTGGATAAAAATATCTGAATGAATGAATGTTTTAGTATATACTCCTAACAGTGGTCTTTGATTAGGTTTAGCTCAAGCAGACATGAAAGACTTAGTTTCCCAGTTCTAGTACTTTGTAAACTGTCCAGAGAGCCATTTTAGCTAATGAGTGGTATAGAAAATAAATAAATAGTAATGAGAAAGATTGATTAGATGGATAAAGAATTTAAAAAAGAAATGTCTGTCTTGAACTTCCTCTCAGTTGCTTAGCTCCCATTAATTTGGCCTTCCTATTGTCTTTTCCACTAGCTTTCCTCTTGTTTTGCTGCTTCAAGTGAGATAATACTTCAAGTGAGATAATACTAACAATTAGAACTCAAACCACCTGCATATTTGCTGGGCGAGGGAGCAACGTCGAGAGAGCTCTTGTTTTCTTGTACTGCTTGTGGGCTTCCCAGAGACATGTGACTGGCAATTGTAGAAAACCAGATGCTAGAATGGATGGATCTTTGGTCTGATCCAGCTGGGCACCTTTGATGTCCTTTGAATAATACTTTGCATTATTTCACCTTACTAAAGAGCCAACCACATGCCTTTGGGAAGTCCACAAGCAGGACTTGTAATCAGTGTGACAAGTCAAGCATTTCAATGGTTATACTCTGAGTTTAAGTCTGAAAAATATTATTTATTAATGTGTTCAATGAGTTTTGAATGCAAGCAGCTAGCTTTTTACTTCTGAAAAAAATAAATCTTTAGCTGCAAAGCTTAAATTGCCTGAAATGCTTTATTTGGGTTGATGTGGGTTGAAAGAAAGTATCTGCCTGCTTCAGATTCTTTTCCTAGATTTATTTCTACCTTCCATAGTCAATGATTAAATGATTTGTTCCAAGGTTTTCAGTTAAGCTTTTTCTTTAATTGGTACATTAATTGTTAAGGCATTTTGGAGCTAGGGTTAAGCAATTTCTCTTTTCATATATCCACCATTATGCTCTCAGGTTTCAGCCACCGCTTCCTGGGACTCTTCTGTGCATGATTCCATGCACTTGAATAGGGTAACACCTCAGAATGAGAGAATCTACTTGATTGTGAAAGTTACAGTCCAACTCAGCCATCCTGCAGCAATGGAACTAGTGTTACGTAAAAGGATTGCTACAAATATTTACAATAAACAGGTATTTAATCAGACCTACTTTTAACTTGATGTGTCTTGTTTTGTTTGTATTTTGTTTTCATTTTTTTATATTAGTGGTTTGAAGAAAAATGACTGTAATGATAAAGGAGGGTATGTGTGTGTCTGCACTGTAATGCCAAGACCATGAAACCTAGGCGTTTGAAATTGGCATGCATAGTAAGGGAGCCTAGAGGGATCACCATGGGGTCATTTTCATTCATTCATTCATTCATTCATTCATTCATTCATTTAGCAGACTTATATGCCGCCCCATTTGCCTAAGCCTCGGGACGGCTTACAGATAACTTTAATATTATTTTTAAAAACTAATAGTGTGGTTGAATCCTGCAGTAACATCTCAGGTCACTGTGGGCAGAATTGTTATCCATGGCATAGCTTTGCAATCACTACAGTTTGAAGTCATGGGAAATTAGTAGGTTTGGGGACATAGTTATGTAGCTTCCACTTCCCACTTTCTGAAGACCAGCTCCCCATTTGAAATGACCCCTGTAAGGGGTGGTTATGAGTGTATCATATACTTAAATTGCTTAAACTATGCCTAGAGGTGCCAGCAGGCCTTTCTTCACTCAGTGGGGTCAGGCATATAATAGTTTTGCATACAGCCTTTACTGTATCAGCCTAAGGGCTATGTGAAGGCAACTCTGTTTGCCAGCTAATAAAAGCTAAGCAAGGAAAAATGTCCATTCATAAACGCTAGTGCATTTATCTGAAACCTACATATTTGAGTACAGCAGTGAATTTAATTGTGCTAAAATCAGTATTGTACTTGGCCTGACAGGTGTCAGTGACTGGGTTCACACAATGTGTTAAGCCGTAGTGGTTTAGCAGGTTGCCCCTCTTTCTGCAAGGTAGTTTATCAGCCACCCCAACTAGCCTGGCTTGTGGACAGATTTAATAAACCCACATGACTTAGTGTTTTCCACATCCTGAAAACAAAATAATCCACAGTCAAGGGAAAAAAACAGCCCCTTGACAGGACAGCAGAAGGGCTTGCCACTCTAGCAAAGTAGATAACAGGTGAGCGCCTTTCCCAGGCACCAAAGAACCAAAATAGCACTTGGGGACAGTTGAGAAAAATATTATCCCCTCCTTGCCAGCAGCAGGCAAGCACTTCAAAATTCAGGGAAATCCCTGTGTGAAGAGGCAGGCTTATCTCTAAATCACAAGCCTTGCACCATTCCCACTGGGATTTGCCTCAGGTTTAACCAGTTTCTAAGGTGCTACCCACTCAGGTTAATTTGCAAAACTGAAGAGATAGTTGTGGCTTCCTGTCCTTGCTGTTTTGTTTCATCAAGTCATCCCTGACTTATGGCAACTTTATGATTGAATGCCCTCCACAATGTCTAGTCCTTGACCAGCCCTGCTCGGTTCTTGTAAACTCAGGTTGTGTCTTCCTTTAAGGAACTGATACATCTCATATTTGGCCTTATTTTTTCTTCTCTGCCTTCAGGGGGCATCCTAGCACCCCAAAAAGTCCTAGGTATCCTGCTTGGAAGGGGAGAAAATTGAGGGGTTATCTCAATAATAATCTGTATTATACAGATTCTTGAGGTTATGGGGGCGGGGGCTGTTGTGCCTCTGTGCTATCTGCAGTTGGGAAGATGAAGGCAGTCCAGGGTCACATAGACATCCCTCCAAATGCCCGAGGATTCTGTGGCAAAGGGTTCTTTCCACATGCCCATTTTTTTCAAAAATAGTGGTGGACTATAAAATTGCAATTTGGCATGGACACTGTATCCATGAAGACAAGTGTCCATGCCAAATTGCAGCTTTGTAGCTCACTGCTTTTTAAATATTTTTTTAAAGTGGGTTTAAGAACCCTTTCCAGAAGAATGCTCAGGATTTGTGGGGTGGGGGATTCAGGTGGCCCTGGACTGCCCCCACTTTTTCAAGTGTGGATCACACAGGGACCCTCTTTTAAAAAGTCAAGACATGGCCAGCTCTAAATGGCTTGATGTACCTCAGGGGACATCTTGGTGTTCCTGCAGCACCTAATTGTCTGTGTCTCGGGCACAGAGCAATTTTAACATCAGTGTATGGTTAAAATTTTGTAAAGAGAGAACTTGTATGAACCCAGGTATTGTTTCCTTTGAACTGCTATCTTTGATAATTTCTTCTCAGCGTATATTTATTGACATAAGATCTGACTATAGTAATACCCAGTAAATCAGATCTTTAGATTACACCTCCCTCTTGTAGATTTGTATTTAATATGTCTCTTTCCTTTAACCTTCCAATTAAACATAAGCTACAGTAATTTTAGAACTAGTGATCACTGTGATGTCAGACATATGTCAGTGTCACTTTCTTTGCTAGAACCATATATGACAGTTATGGCACACAGCTTCTTACTGGCCAAGTTTCATGGGTTTTTTTTTTATTATTATTATTATAGTGAGTTTCTGTCCTTCCTTCAAAAATTCAAAGCCAAGAGGTTCCCAGTGGTTCTAAACAGCTACTAGATTGATAAAGTCCTACAGTATAGGCCTTTGTGTGCTTATTTGCATGCAGGCAAAGTGACAGATATACACTTATTCCACATAGTTTTCCTACAAAGTGAACCTAGGACAAATTGCTTGTCTTCGCGATTTAAAATTCTTGATAAGAGGATTTCAGTAACTAAGTTCTATTCAGGAGAGGTAATTTAATTTTGATTTGCTGTTGAAATTGATTGCAAACTTAGAATTAAATACAAAATAATATTTCAAAAATAGCTGGCTTTGTTCCATGTTTAGGAGCTTGCTTATTTGGTTACAAAAACTGTAGTTTGTTTTTTTTCTAGAGTTTTACCCAGAGTCTTAAACGAAGGATATCCCTGAAGAATATATGGTATGCTTGTGGCGTGACCTATGAAATAGTATCAAATATACCAAAGGTAATTTTTACCTTTCTTCTACCAAGAGCTTAACATAAATGGGCACGTTAAAGTAGAAGAGAACTCTACAAACTGCTTCTGCAAACTACTGTTTGAGATATTTTGAAGTAGACTCTATATCAGGAAAAGCTAAGTAATGTCGCAGTCCAGTTGTGGCTCTGTTTAAACATAAACAGTTTACATTTTAGGCTACAGAAGAAATTGAAGATCGGGAGACTCTGGCTTTGATGGCAGCCAAGAATGAAAATGAGGGTACATCTGATGGTGAAACATATATAGAAAAGTATACACGTGGAGTGTTGCAGGTGGAAAATATTTTGAGCCTTGAACGACTCAGACAGGTAAGTACAATGGAAGTGTCAAGCTTGCTTGGTATAGTTGCTGTAAAACTGCCAGCATCGTTACCCGTAGGATCAGGCAGCTTGCAGACACAGTGGACAGGAACTTGCTTTCAGAGTGTGCTTTTGCTGTTATGTTCTACCTTTGACCTTTCTTCAGAGATACTGAAGTTAAATAACATTGCCTGAAACCTGATTATGTAAAAGTAAAAACAAGTACTTTGTATAAATATATATTATTTTTGAAATGAATTTTAGCCTGCAATTGCAGGTGCACTTTCCTGGGAGTAGGTCTGATTGACCTACTCAGTTTGAGTAGACATGCTCTAGGTTGCTGTTGCCTAGATCTAACTGACAGTTCAATCATCTCTTTTTGTCTTAACACAGGCAGTTACAGTCAAAGAAGCTCTTTCTACTAAAACTCGACACATACAGAGGAGTATTAGCACACCAAACGTTCACAATGTAAGAAGCTTTTCCAGGGTGACAAACTTATATATTATTAAATAAGTTAAGTTTGTAGACAAATATATATCAACTCTGATGCTGGGGAAAAGGGGAGCATTTTACAAAGATGTCGCAAAATGCTATAATCAACTCAGTGGTACATTCCTGATTGTTAATTTGTGGCAATATGCAGTTAAAACATGAGCCAGAAGAATTAGTTTGCTAAGTATTAGGAAGATATTTTTCACCCTAAAAATATTCAGTAAAGCAAGATGCGATATAAACTGCACAGAGGATATCTGTTCATGGTAATAGTGATTTAAAAACTTCAATTTATAAAAATGAATAAAAAATAAAATATGAGCTATCATTTGTCTGGGATGATTTGCTTGTATATTGCTTTCTGAAATGTTGGATGAAAGTCAGGTTCTTTAAGTTCTTTCGCCGTGCTCCTTTTTTTTTGTATTTTGATCCTGCAAGTGCAGACTAGACTTAGTAGTAAGTGAAGAGACTCTGGCTTTCCTGTGGAACCAAAAGGTGGACAGCATTCACCAGCTTATACCTATTCCTTGTTGTGTTTTAGGTGTCCTCTAGTCGGTTAGATCTTTCTGGCTGTGATGAAGATAAGGTATGGGCATTCAGAAAAGCAAATTGGGAACCCTTTGTACCATATAAGGGGTTTGAAAATGTTCTAGGATAAAAATACCTCTTCCTCTATCTTGGATATGTGAAATCCTTAACTGTTGTTTTGAGTCATATATTATTAAGGAAAATAGGAAAATATTTGTAAATCATTCTAAATTAGCATTCAGAATTTAGCACAGCATTAATGACTAGAAAAAAAATCAGGTGATTTCTGTTATTTCTCTTGGGAGGTGGGGAAGAGGGCATAATAAACTTGTTGCAAGGCAGATTTAATTCATTTCAATATTTCCTAGGAATTTCAGAATTTCACAATAAAATAGGAGAAATTACTGTATGGTTTTGTAATATATCTTGACAAAATTATTATCAAGTGCTAATGAACACTGCCTGCAAGCAACCCCCAATTAATACAGTGGAACTTCTTGCAGAATAACCTTGCAGGAATTACATGGCACTAATTTTGGGAAGCTTAATTGATATTAGACTATGTATATGTGAGGGAGAAAATAAATAATTTTGAAAAAAAAAAAAAGAACTCTTGTACTTCAGTTTGCAAGTTAATATTTTCCTTTTTCCTGGATTTATAATGTCAGGGTTGGTCAGAAGGTCATCTAGAGGTATTAGATTGTTCTTCAAGTTATCAAGATGTATCATGTTATGGCACTTTACCCAGGGATTCACCTCGCAGAAATAAAGATGCTGGTGGTAAGATGTTATTTTGTTTAATTAGGTTAGTAAATGCAGTTATTAAAATAATGAAAATGAATTTGATTGTGCAAGGGACATTTTCCTCCATTTTACTGCCTTTAAACTCTCAATGTATCTGCACATGTGTAAAGCACAGTGTATTTGCATATTTTTTTAATGTGTTATCAATGGCCATTTCTCTAACTACTACAAACAAAACTTAGGTGAAGAGTGAATGTTTCCTGGGCTTTGCTTAATAACCTGGACATGCAGCTCTTTTCAGGAAAGTATGTTACCAAACAATTTTGACCAGGCTTTTCAGTAGGAAGCAATCTTATTAAAAGTATTTTGGAGAAGAACAGACAAAAATAGCAGTAAAATTGTAAACAGTTATCCACAAAGTACTTCTACAAAGTGTGCAGTTTAATTTTGTGATATCACTAGCTAAGGGTTGAGTGTTTGACGTGCTAAATCCAGGCAAGTTTATTATACAAATTCCTGAAATTGAAACTCAGAGAAAATTGATACAAAAGGAAGAGAACTATTGTGCACATTTATTTATTTATTTCACCCAATAAAAAGAGTTCTCTGGACTGGTTACATAAAGCTTAGTGCATAGGAACCTCCTGTTTTAAGGCACCTTTTCTTGGATAAAGGTTCTTTTCCACTGTTACTTCTGTGCACAAACAGCAACATCTTATAAGAAGTAAGGACTAGTTGACCATAAATTACTAAATTGCATAACAATAAGGGAGAAATTAATGCCCTGTGATGCCTTAGCTTCCTTTTATTTCATGTAGTTACTAATTTATTTTGACAATTATTGTTAGAATTGCTAATCTATATTATGTGTATAATTTTATATTCTATTCTCCAAGGTTATGTATCAGAGAATCCACAGGCGTCAACTGTTAGCCCATTTAAAGCATTTTCTCCACAACCACCCAAGTTTTTTAAACCCTTAATGCCAGTAAAAGAAGAGAATAAAAAGGCCTCTCTTGAAACTCGGCCTCTTCTAAGCAAAGAGGTAGGTGATTGGGGGAAAAAAAATGAAACAATACTTTTCTGAATCTTGCTATATTGATACATACGTTATAACCATCTTAAACTTGGATTTAATATATGGAACATTGAGAATCCTGATTAATTTTTTTTCAATTTTTTGCTATTAATTGACATTACATACTAATTTGAGTTTTGTCTTCTTTTCTTAACCATTCTTGTATGGAGTGTATCTTCTGGCTTAAATGTACCTGTGTGTGTGTGTACACATCTGTCTTGTCAATTTCCATTAAACTGTAGCACCATACCTGGAGAATGTTTCATATTTCCTTGCTTGGGTTGTTTTAATAAGTTAACACCTTCCTTTCCAAGTTGCATGGATTTAAAGTCAGTATCTTCTTTGTGTGTTTTGTGTGTCTTAACATTTACAGAACATTCCATCAACTCAGGTACATAATGCTGGTTGTGTTGTACCCTCAGGAAGTAAAGCCAGTAGCATGCCAGTAGAGCACAATAGCATGCATGAGAAGAAGATTGTAAGTGTTGCATCAGTTTCTGCTATAATGCCTGGTGGTGGTCTATGAGCACATTCCTGTGTTCATAATTCTAAGTGTTTGTCTTTTGGGCATTTATGCTGCAACTGTTCAGAGCAAAGGTATATATAAACTATGCCTTATTGCATGCTAGCTTCTGTGCATGTGACAATGATAATGCATTGACTGATCATACATATATAACTTTTTAAGGTCAGAAGTTATATTCTCTTGGGTCAGATTAATTGGTAAACATGAGCATTTCTTTCACCTTTCCCATAGGAATACAACTTTAAGAATTCAAGTTTTGGCCTACAGCTCCCATGATCCCTCAATATTGGTTATGCTGATAGGAGCTGTAGACCAAAATATCTGTAGTGCCAGAGGTTGCCCATGCCTGCCATACACAATCTCATAATTACAATAACCCATGAGAAATGTACCTGAGTAATGTCAAGTTTGAGTCTACAACTTTAGATTGCAATTTAGCAAGGCTTAAACTTGCCTAGGAAAATTGCCTATAGAAAACATTTACAGGGTATACAGTTTGCTAGGGGGGGATTATATTTAGAATTGTCCAGGTTACTTTCACAATAAAAAAGAGTAATTCCACCAGATGTTAAGAACAACTACTTAAAGGTATTGAAAACATGTAGATTACAGGTCCTTATTGTATTATCCATCTGATACCACTCAAATCTAATTTTACCCTGGCTTTTATGTTTTAACTGAAAGCTTCCTTCAGAGTAGAAAAGGGTTGCAAGGAATTTTTTCCTTTGTTCCAGGACATTGACTGGATACAGTATGATGACTGTTGATAACTGAGCTAGTGGAGGATATGCAAGACAATTCTGAAAGCATTAGAACATGTTGGACTAGTTTTTTAAAGTCTGATGAATGCTGAGACCCATTTTACAGATTACCGTAACTGTCATAAAAATTTAACAGGTAATAGTATATTGCAATTCTGAACAGAATACTTCTAACCACTTTTCAGTATTAATTTTCTCACAAATAGAATTATACTCAGACTATATTGTTTTGTTTTCATCTGCCCAAATGGGTTAAAATAGTTACTGTATAACTTTAGATTGGTATGTCAAAGAGAATGGCTAGATGACAGTAATAGTAAAACAGATAATGACAGATTTGGAAAGAATACTAATTTTCATAAATGGGTACTTGTAAGACAGTTTATAGCAATTGATCAGGAGCTGCTGTCTCAGAATGAGATAACTGGACCTTAGGGGCATTGAAAGTTGTTTTGTTACATAGCCAAAAGTACTCTTCCAGCTGTCATAGGCAGCTAGGATTTGGGGATAGAATTTATTTATTTCATGGAATAAATTTCAAAGATCTTTCCTCAAAATCACACCTACGTACCTCAACAACTTGTGTTAAACCTTTATCTACCAATAAACCTTGGTAGAGGTTTATTCATCCATTTTTTATTTCCTTGCTGTTCAAATCCATGATGATACAGTATTAGAAAATATTATTCTAGGAGCAAAGAAAAATAAAATGCAGAAACAAATTTCCTAGTCAAATGTCAGATCAGTCCTAATAATTTAAAGAATTGATACTTAGCCCAAACCCCTAACCTCATAAAAAGCTTACTAAAGATAAATTCACTAGTCAAGATTTTTAAAAAATCAATTAGCTCTTCAAGTTTTTCTCCTAGCCTTTGATCAAACAAACATTTGTTCTCAAAAGCAGTTTTCATTTTTCCTGTGGAGCAACCTATTCACATGAAATTCCAAATCATGCCTAGCTGGTTTCTTGGGAAACAGTATCTGAAGTATCCCTTCACACCATTAGCTATTTGCAGAAGTATTTGGTATTTGTCATTATATTGTTGGATAGTGTGGCAAATTCTTGATATATCTGATTTTTAAAATAAATCCTGATGATTTTGTTAAAAACAAAGAACTGTGTTACATTTGGAGTTGCAGGATTTATGGTTGTTGGGCAGAAACTAAGAACAATGTTGAAAAGTTCTATAGGTCATAAAATGTATACATTTATTAAGTTATTCTTTTAAACATAATTTAAGATACAGATCTGAGTTTCATGTACATACAGCGGGGCTTTCCTGCCTCCTCATTTCTTAAGCCCTCTGAAAATTGCCTTGACCTTCTAAAGTTGCATGGCATTATGGTTCAGAGACTGTAGCAGGAAGAAGGAATCATCCAAATTGAAGGATTGCCTCTGTTTAAGTTAATGGAAGATTTCATATTTATGCATCTACACTTGTGGATCAGAGCTATGGAGTGTCTCTGTTTTACTTGCTTGTTTTTACCTCAGGTGTAGTTTATGTAATTGTATTGATGGAGTAATGTAATAATTTACTTAATACTTGTCTGATGAGTGTATATTTAAAATATAATAAGCTTTCTGTTACTCCCATTATTTTGTTCCAAATGCTCTGAGTAGCCCTGAGTTTACACAGTTCACACCAGCAGTAGGTTTTGGTGTCTATTAGTATTATTACAAACTAGTTGACAGATGTAGAAAGCTGCAATTTTTAAATGAACAAGCTTTGCAGTCAGAGGTTGGTAAGGGAGAGTAATTTGAGAAAGATATTCTAGGTAAGTCAAAATTTTAAAAATAGGTTTCAGTTCTAGCATGTCAATAGAGTATGAGGTGTACATAATTACAGTAGTTGCACCAGATTTTCCCATAGTGATCTTGTATATTGCTTTACTAGTTTGGCACATAATATGGTTTACACATGGCAGAAAATGGTTCTAAGGTGGCCTTAGTTAAGGTTCATTCCAGCACCAATAACTGCACTGGTAGCCTAAGACCTGTTTATAGAAACAAACTATTTGTATATTGGATGATAAGTAACTGGAATTAAAAATTCTACATGGACAAATCATCAACATTAGATGATTTGGCTGGACCTCAGTTAGAGTAAGAACTTGTTATATGAAGTGGCTTAAAGTTTAGGGGCTGAATTCTTTGTTCAGGTTCCAGTGAATGGAGCAACTACTTCTATGGACCCAAATTAGTTTCTTGCTTTTCTCAAACTACACAGTGCTTCACTCCCATCCATCATAGCAAACTGTTACATCCAAAGAGAGTTTGTGATATCACATCAGACACTGAAACATTAAACATTCCACAGAATGCACATAAATCTCTGAATGAACTCAAAGCAGCAATTTCTGGATCAAAGAAATAAAGCAGTCAAGAGATCTAGGAAGGCAGTCAACTTCATCAGTATAAGCAAAGACCATATAGTGATTTTTAAAATGTTCTTTAGCCTCCTAGATAACCAACAGTGTGTTCAGTGTAGTTCAACTTTGTAAAATAGAGTGCTCATACATTGTGTACATCACTGCAAAATTCATGTAAGTGTTTTGTCCTGATGTCCATGTTTGGATGCTGCTGTACACAATGTCCAAATTGTAGTAAAATTAATAATGAGAAAGATTAATTTCTCATTATTTGCAAAATTTTCCTTTATCAGTAGAGAAAATAGAATTTGGTCATTTTGAATGAGAAAAATATTAAAATGTTAATTTATGAACATAACACAACTTGTAATACCAACTTGAATACATGTAATCTCATGAACTGGTCCAGTTTTGAAATGGTATGGTTATAGTATCTTTACTGATATGTTACACTAAGTCCTCAAACCATACTGATGAGTGGTTTTTTCTGTACCTTTGTTACCAAGTATTTATCATATTTAATTCTATTTATTTTTCAGTTATAATTTGTCATGCTTTTGCTTATAATGTAGTAATAGTAATTTTGTACTTTTACAATTTCAGCAAGACTCTGAGGAAGAAGATGAGTTGGAGGCCATTAACAAGAAGCCTTATGTGCCTGAGGAATTTGCTGACTTCAGTGTTTACAACGCTAGCCTGGAAAACAGGGAGTGGTTATCCTCAAAAGGAGATTTTGTAAACTCACGTGTACTTGACAAAGAAGTATCTCGCAGCCCTACCACGAGCAGTATTACTAGTGGCTACTTTTCCCACAGTGCCTCTAATGCTACTTTGTCTGATATGCTTGTTCCTTTTAGTGATAGCACAGACCAGTTAACTAGTCAGATGAGGGATTTGGACTCTACTGACCATTCTGTAGTTCATCTAACCCATGATTTAAAATCTTCAAACACTGAGGCTTCAGAACCAGAAAAGGACTTGGCTAAACTTAAGAAAGCCATGTCACCAGTCAAAGGAAACTGTGCCTTAACAAAAGAAATGTCAATGTCTGAAAGCACTGGCAGTGATGCAACAAAGTTACATTGTTCAGCTAATAAAAGTAAATGGCATGGGGTTGAATTCTCATCTCGAGAAGCAACAGTTGAACACACTTCAAATGTTTTTGAGGATCATGCATTTACAGAATTCATGGGTGTTGGTGATGGAAAAGAACTTGAACATTCAGGAGGTCCACAGTTTTGTTCCAGTGGCTCTTCAAGTAGAAGAAAAAAGCTTTCAGTGGCTGGAATGAACAGTGCCTCAGGTTTTTCAAAAAATACTTATGACCAGGACAGTCCTGTGAGCCATTTGGAATCTACACCAGTGGAATATCAGCTGTCAAACAGTACTGAAAACCCTTTGTTGTCTGTTGGAGTAAATGAGGCTTCATGTTGCCAGATGTATGCAGATTCTTTCCTAACAGATGACTTCACTGGAGAAAATCACTTTAATATCTCTGGTTCTGAAAATGTTACTTCTGAAGAGTACCCAAATTGGGTTTCAGTGGGTGAACAAGTGTATGTTGGTAGCAATAAGACTGGTGTAGTAAGATACATTGGGCCTGTAGATTTTTCAAATGGTACCTGGGTTGGCATTGAATTACATCTCCAGATGGGTAAGCTATTGTTGTATTTACAGTTTTTTATAGGTGCATTGCCTGATAGAATTTGCATGTCCCTGTTTCAGGACTGGAGAATTCCAACATGAAAGACAGTAACACCTGTTGATCTTCATTATTTATATGCTACCTTTCTTTTGTAGTGAAACTCAAGGCAGCATATACAAGCTTCCCCAGAAACAGAATTGGGAACAAAGGGTCACTGATTAGTATTTTTATTACACTGCATTTATAGCATGATCTTTTTTTCCTTATGAGGAACCCAAGGTAACTTATATAGCTCCATTTTATCTTCACAACAACCTTGTAAGGTAGGTTAGGGTGAGAGTGAGTGACTGGCTGAGTGGGCACTAAAACCCAGATCTTCCAAGTTTCCAGTCTAATACACTAACCACTACACCAGCATTGATTTTCTCTAAGATTGGCTAAAGAAACTGAGCAGAAATGAGAGCATAACTTTTATTTACTGATACATTTACAGTGCAGCCCAATGGGGATGCCTGTAAGTCTTCGATATTGGAGGACTGGAGACATCCTGTGCAGGGCAGGAGGGTGGGGAGATGATCTTTCTTGCCATCTTCCTCCTACCCTGCAAATCAAGTACATGGGCAATTTCAGCTGGCTTAAAATTGCCACACTTTAGAAGAGAAGAAAGCTGAAGCAACCAGGATAAGTTATATTCTGATAGACCCAGATCCTTCCTTCCCTGCCCCTTGGAATGCCGCTTCACCCCTTCTCTGAGGTCATGACTTTGTAGATGCAGGTGACACCAATCTTTCTGCCCCTACTACAAGAGAGTACAGGTGGATCCAAGCACAGATCTGTTGTAGATTTTACTGAATTAGTTCACAGGTATCTAAACATTTCTTTAATTAACTATGCAAGATTCACGGTGGCTCAAAGCTCATTATATGAATCACTATATACAGTTTAGCTCTTGGAAAAAGAACAAAATAACAATATATGAACAAGCTCAGAACAAATTAAAAATATGTAAGCTGTTACAATGATTCACAATTGTCATAACTAGATAAACATCCAGAAATTTGTTGTTTTGAAGTCTTTCTGCATTGAGGTAGTAGCATTGTGTGGCAAGGCATCAACCAGTTGGTATAAGAGTTAGTGAAATAAGACTTGCAGTTTCCCACTTGTGAGATTAAAGCAGTTAGAGCTACAGTATATATCACAGGTAATAAGGACCCCCACAATATGTCAGCTGCATCTTATTTTCAATCATTGCCATTCATACAGGCAGTCTGCTTCAGTGAGGTCTCTAGGCATGTTTTACACAAGTATCTGTTCTTCAGAAATAGGGAAAATAAATTCTCTTAACATATAGAGGTCATTTGCATCTAACAAATTGATTTGCTGGATTGTGTGCCATGCATGAACCATTTCTGCTTTCAAAGACAATCTCTGATAGGCCCACTGTACATTGTGGCATGATGTGTAAAACCCAAACACTTGGGTTGTTTGTGGGATAAAAGGACCAAAGTTACCCAGAGAACCAATCCTGCATTAATTTTGGTTGTTAAAAGAACAACCCAATGTGTCTGGGTTTAAATGTCATACAACAACCTTTGGTGTGACTAACCAGAGGTTGATTATGCAGAAGAGCTGGTGCAGAACACACAACCTAGGCTAACCAACAAAGAGTTTTCCACCTTTATGTATGAAGTAGCTTATGGTAGAAATATGGAAACCTCTTTTCTTATAAGGAAGCTTTCCAAAACCTAGTGCCCTCCAGATATTTGGGCTACAGTTTCTCTGTTTTGACCAATGGCTAAGCTGCTGTGGTTTGGTGTGAGTTGAATTCTGAAATATCTGGAGGAATCCTGGTTGCAGAAAGGTAAGAACCAATTCTACAACTGGCACAACCCACCTTACACATTAATTGGTAAGACAACTTTATTTAGCATATTTAGTTTGTCTGGATAAAAACAAATGGGAACACTGCAGGTTCAACAACTCAGCTTCTTGGTTGTGGTTAAGATATTTGAGTTGAACAACATACCACATGCTCATTTGTAAATCCTTTCTGCCTTTTCATATTGGCTAAAACAACCATCAAACTTCAATATGGCTAACATTTACCAGTGTTACTTTTGATCAGGTAGTTAGCAAATTGAGGTAAAGAATTACCGTCATGCAGTAACTATAGTTAGGAGAAGTATTAATCTATTGCTTAATGGTGGTGAATGGGTGGAATAATTAACTATAACTCTGAAGAAGAATTCATGTTCATGAACTAGAGGAAGGAAATCTGAGATCATTTAACTGAATCCAATGGATTGCAACTACTTTGTTTACCCAGTATAAACAAAAGTTACCTTTCAATAATTTATTGGTTACCTTTCAGCCATTAATTTACTATTCATCATAACAGTTCTTCATAAACTGTATAACTAACTTTGTTACATTCTTGCACATATTCAGAATTTCTTGTTAAAAACTAGTACATTTCCAAGCTAATTCTTACTGGAATTGAATTCAATCAAAGTATAACAAGATGGTTCTTTACCTCTGTTTGTTTTTAAGGGAAGCATGATGGAACTATAAAAGGCAAAGAATACTTCCGCTGCAAGCCGCAACACGGGATATTTGTTCGTCCTGAATGGCTCTCTAAAGCACCAGCTCCAACAAAAAAATGCAGCAGTACATCACTATCTCAGGTATCATCCAACTTGGAGAAGTGGAAGAGTTCAGTCCTTTTTCAGTCACCCTCTTTGAAAACGGGGGCAGGAACCCTCTGTGAATCAGGAGATGCAGCTGCTTCTGCTTTTTCCAGAAAACAGGAGAGCAGGAAATCTTGGATTAACTAAAACTGCAGTTTTTTTCTTGTTTTTTGCACTTGCTGCACACATCACTGTGTGGAAACACTTTTTCAAAGTTACTGAATGTCTGAATTACTGACATAATTATCTGATTCTTTTATATGAGTGTGTGTGGATGGGTGTGGGTGTGGACTGTGTATTATTTGCCTATCTAAAGGCAAACATGACTGCACACTAAATTACCATTGGGCTACAATCCTATACTCACCTGAGGTTAAGCCCCATTAAACTCAGTAGGATTTACTTCTGAGTAAGTGTGTATATGATTGTACTGTTTGTAAATAAAACTGTGAGGTACTTGACTATTTGTTACTCAAAAAGTTGGATCATACTTTAAACAAAATATTTTATTGTGTGGGAAGGTGATGGGATGTAAATATGTATTGAGGGAAAATCTACAGTATGCTGTTAATTACCAAAGAACTTGTATCGGACAAATACACTTGCTGTTTATATCTTGGTTTTTATTGTATATGTTTATTTTAACTGACAGCTTGGTGCCATATTTCTAGAGGCTAATCAGAGGCACCATGCTGCCTTATATTCTGTGTTTAAGAAGCACACTGAAGAGTATTTTCTTGTTTTGTTTTCTTATGGGTGTACCACTGTGCCGACTTCACATTTATTGAAACTGTAACAATGCCTAAAGCTAGTATGTTTGGCATTTTTCATGTGTAAACAGGCAATCAGATGCAAAAACAGTATTACTGCAGAAGACAAGGCAGACAAAATTTTTAACAAATGGCTTTCTTTCAAAACGGGGACAAGAAACAAAGCAGCAGTAGCTAACAGCTACAAACAGTGCACTGTTTGTTGCAGGATTTGACCAAGCTCAGATAAAACATTCTGAAGTGATTTAATCTGTAAAGTTAAGTTTTAATTGTGATTTTTAAGATGCTTTGAATTTGTGGGGATCTATTTTATGTGTAGATACTGTGCCAGATATTTGTAAAGTAGCAAATGGAAAGATAATGGTCTGCTGTATTCTTTATTTTTTAGAACATAATTGAGATAATGGGACCTTACAGGCTGCTGCTGTTAATGATTTGTATGTATAGTAAGCTAACTCTTAGTATTTGCAATTACTGTAAAGAAGTGTAATTTATATTCTATTTCTGCTATACTGTATTTAATTGGTACAGAATATTTGCATCCTAGAATACAAATGATTTACTTCTGATTTTAATTTTTGTGCCTATTTGACTTCATATTCTGTAAAATAATACTTTATTAGATATACTGTTTCAATGGCAAAGCAGTACGGCTTTTTCACACAGATTAGAAAGAACATATTATATAGTCTGTTTAGAGACTTTGAGTGTATAAACTTGTTCCAGCAAAATAGCTTTTATTCTACTTCTATAATGACTACACTGTCAACATAATGTGGAGTAAACAGTAATCTTGTTTATTTGAATGGGCCACTCAATTAAAATAAGCCATGGTGATTTATTTACATTGTGGCATGTACAAGGCACAATTTCCATAATCACTGTCCTGATGCAGCTTTTTGTCATCTGAACAAGAGTGACATAGTCTGTTGGAAGGAGAAACAACCATCTCACAACCCATTGGCTGTTGTAGGATTATTGGAGGGTTGTTTCCCTGTCCAATAAGCCATGCTGCCTGACTTCAGATGAAGTGGTGAGTTGCACCCAGTGTGTATCAAGATATGGATAAATGGTGACTTATATTGATCATGTGAATCAGCTCATAGTGGCTTCATCAACTGCGCTGAAGTACTTCAGCACTTAAGCAAACTGCTTTTTTCCAGAGGGTAGGTGTACATGTACCAAGTAAAGCACAAATGCACCACCCATAATACTATAGTTTTTATATAGTGATTCTTGAAAATTTGTTCTTGGGAAATGTTGAAAGTTGTGGTTAAAATGAAATATATTTTAAATAAATGTTTAAGGGTATAATCCTACACATGTAGGACTTTTTTCTGTCTAAACAACTCCTAACATACCCCAACTGGCATGACTAGCAAATGCAGGCCTCTTTTTTGTCTAAACATGCACTCAAGTGGTCCAAACCCATGAAACAATAATGTAACAATTTACCTAATACTATATCAAACTCCAGAAGTCTTCATAGTTGCATGTTCACGTCTGTTTATACCTTATATGCACGTCTCTGTTTACGGAACCCTAAGACAGTGGCCATTCCTGGACAGGTACCACTTGACCACTGGCTCATGTACTGCTTGTGTAAAACCCTAATTATTGCAATGTGGTTTGTGTGGAGTTGTCCTTAAGGTTGACTCTGAAGCTGCAGTTGGTGCAGAATGCCTCAGTTGGACTGGTAATAACTGGCTTGTCATCAGTATATTTCACCTATGCTGAGGGAACATTTACATTGTGTAAAACTCCAGTGTATCATAGAGATTAGAGTGCTGGATGGAGATCTGGGTTCTAGGCCTCACTCAGCAAACTGGGTAATTTTAGGCCAGTCACTGACTCAGCCTAACCCATCTCACAGGGTTGCTGAAAGAATAATATTGAGAGGAGGAGGAGGATTATATAAGCCACCATGAATCCCATGTAGGTGGGATAAAAATATAATTAACAAAAAGCTACCCAGCCAGGTTTCAGGTTTTGATACTTGCTTTAAAAGATATGAAGAACCCAGGAGAATACTGATTTTCTGCTTGGTTGCTGCACTCATCAGCAGATACTCTTCAGGCATTAACGTAAAATTTAGAAGGTTCAGAACAGCTCACAGTAGGGCCTTTAGTAGGGCCTACTCTCTGAAACTTCCTACAAATCCAAATGAGTTAGCTGCCAGTACTGCTGGGTTTTCAGTGCCTTCAAAAATACAGTTTTTCCAAGAAGCATTTCTAGGAAATCAATCTTGCCCTCTGGATGATGAATTCCATTCGGGAGAAACTCCTGGCTTGCATTCCATTGGTGGGTAGGTCTAAAGGCAAATGGGACAGACCCAAAAGACTAGCATGTTCTAGTTTAAAACTGTTCCTGTCAGTAACTAAGCCTTATGAAGAACCATTTGTGTCTTTCAGAATTGGGGTGAGGGCACATAAAAACTAGGAAACCCCCAAATAATGACTGGGGAAAGGGAAACCGCATGCTTGCATCTTACCTGAAATTATTTCAGCACCTAATTTGAATATCTTCAAGCTTGTTCCATCTCCATCCTTGAGACTGTAACTAAATCAAGGCTCCATGGCTTGAACATGATCCACTTCTCCTGAGTACCAGAACTCTGCACAGATTCTCAGCCCAGCCTACCTCACCTGGGAGCAGATGTGGGGTAAGATTGAGAGCAGGAGGAGGAGAATGTTTTTAGTTCTCTTTAAAAGGGCGGTGGGGAACAAAGGCAGGATATAAGTTTAATAAATTTACCACACTAGTTGCTTTCACAGAGGAGTAAGGGGAATTTCTAAGGGTACACAGGGGAGGAAATTGAAGCAGCCAAGATGCATGGTAAGTTCTGAGACACTCCTGCTAGAGGTGAAAAAGACTTTCTAGCCAACATGCAGAATAGGAGGACATGGAGGCAAAGATTGCTTTGCAGCTCCTTACAGTCTTCATTGAATGTAAGTGTCAGGGCTTACAGACATCCCAAGTCTGCATATAAATTTATTGTTTTTATATACCATGCAACAGCCATACATAGTTCCCAGAACAGTTTACAAAAAGCAATGGTTTACAATATAATTAAAAACAAACACAATCACAAGACCATTATAAAATAAGTCTATAAATCTATTGGCTGCCAGTCTACCCACCTCTTACCCTTACTCACCCGCATATTAACAGTGGCCACATGATTGTAACTCTTCTTAATAGTAAAATAATTACATGAATACAGACAAGTATTTAAATAACAGAACAAAATTAAATAGATACAAAAATAAAGATAATACCTAAATCATAAAAATAGTTATAAAAGTAGTTAATCCACAGCAACCACAATTACTATAAAATATAAAAAACATTTGAACAAAACATGGAGGAAAAAAAATGACTTTGGCCTGGTGCTGAAAAGCATAGAGTGTCAGCATAAGGTACACCTCTGAGGAGCTGGTCCCACAATTGGGGCGCCACCACAAGAGAAGGTCTTCCCCACTTCCTGGAGCTACACCTCCTGAAGAAGAACCTCTGCCACTGACTTTAGAGGTCAGGCAGATACATATGGAAGTAGGCATTTCTTCAGATAGGCCCTAAGCTATTTATATACCATTGTAAACACCTTAAAGGCCTGGAACTCAACAAGAAGCCAATGCAGCTGATAAAATATAGGTGTATGATCCCACCGTGAAGTATCTGTTAACAGGTGGGCAGCCCCATTTTGAAAGTAATACTGCTGCTATTTGCTGTGGAATTAAAAGAGGCATGCCAGGAGTTTGCAGCTTTGCTTAAGGATGGCTTTGCTTATTTCACTCTCTACAGGTAAAAGTTCAAATGCTGCTTCAGACTGCATCTATATATTTGTACCAAATAAGGAATCAAGCATTATTATGCACAAAAATCTGGAAAACAACTGAAGACTTCTAATTATCACTAGATTTTGGTTGTTGGGGGTATGCAAGGTTGCAAAAGAGTAAGCAAGCTTTTGAATAATGCTTATAGTCTCCTGAATAAGCTGTTACAGATGTCCTGTCTCACCCATACCATCAAGAAAAACGGCTTTGCTCTGTGTTTCTTTTACTAAGAGGGACAGAGTGAGGTGACCATCCTCTGGATTTGTCTAATGCACTTCAATTTCATGTCACTACATTGGCAAAAAGGAACACTTCTATGCACAATGGCATTTCCCAATAACTTAAAAATATTTAAATACTCCTCTTGGATAATTATACTGTTGCTAAATGTCCAAATCATGCTGCTGATTTTTGATAGATCATTGAAAACGTTTGTTGTTAATCTTTAGTCTGATGCATGGTTCCCTCATTTTAAAATTGCTTTATCATGGTATATAAGTGGTTGAGTACTATGATGAAAGAGACAATGGGTGGATGCATACAACACAATAAACCACCCTTCAAAGAAGCTATGGTTGGCTGGTTGTTTGCAGAACAATCCACTGCATGTCCAACAGACCATTGTGCTTATTGGGATTTGCTTTCCGTCTCCTTTCCTCTTGGTCTGCCAGCTGGGATCCCAGTGTCCTTAAGCTTTCTTGTCTCTCCTCCCACTCTTATTACTACCTTCTTGTACATATATTTTTAGCTCCAGAAAACTGTGAAATTATATTTTAAAAATTATTTCATTAGCTTCTGTGCAGGCACAGCCCCCATATGTGATGCAGAGATCACAAGGAAGAACCACAGTAGTAAGTGCTCTATAATGTAATTTAATGAATATCTTCCTTTTCTAGAGCAACTGGAGACTGAGGAGGTGATATAAAGGTGCAGCACTGGGAACTGTCCGTTAAGATAGAATTGTGCCTTGAGGAGGTGATATTGTTGTGACCCCCCCTTGTTGGGCAGCAAAAAGGGGTAGCAGTTGGAGCAGGAAAGAGTAGACAGGGTGTATTCTGCCACCAAGGACACAGCTATCAGCTGAGAGCCCGGGAGGAAGGAGGGGAAGTACAAGCTACCGTGAGTCCAACCACCTGTCAGGTAAACTGGGTTGTTCTATAAACAACTCACACTGTGTTGCTTATTTACAAACACAGCTACCTAGTATGAATTACAGTGCAATCCTATAGCTGTTTCCTCAGAAGTCCCATTAAGTTAATTTCGGCTTTCTCCCAAGTAATTGTGTATAGGATGGCAGCTTTCCTATCCAGACTTGTGCTTATACTCACTGAAAATAGCGAGACTTATTTCTGAGCAACTATGATCGGGCTGCATATTCTTACCAAAATAAAACGTGAACAAATTAAAGGTTAAGGAATGCAAATAAGCAGTATCCCGCCCCTCCCCCGGCGTGCTCTTTCCTCAAGAAATCAGTATGACCTGACTCCACCGTAATTTAAACCAATATTTAACATGTTTATTCTTTAATACTACGACCTACGTTTATTTTTAAAGCGGCCAGGAACAGATTTCGACAAAATTCTTCCTCCCTCCTCCACAATCGGAACAGTTTTTGTCCTATGCGTCCCTGAACGGGTGATAAGAGACGCCCGGAGGAGGAGGGCAGCGGCGTTGAACATCACCGCCTTGACAGCATTTTAGCAAATCAGGTGGAAGACAAACATTAATGATAAGTAAACAGAAAGATGAATTCGAATGGAGATAAAACTACGCCGCGGCTTCTCTAGCTGCGCTTCGGCGGAGACTCCCGCCGGCGGCGCCCTCTCGGTCCCGCGGCTGCCATAGCAACCCCGCGGCCGGCGCGGCCCGTGCAGGGCGGAACGAGCGGCAGACGTGCCGCGCCTCACGCAGCGCCGCCTGTCAGAGGCCGCTCCGGTGCTCGGGCACGCCCTCCGCCGGCGCCGACACTTCGCCTGCTCGCAGTCGAGGCCGCTGCTTCTGCCGTGCGGTGGCCTGGCGGGGGCGGGTCTGGCTGGGCCTACGGCGGGGCGGTGAGTACAGCCTGGGCTCTCCGAGGACGCCGAGGCTGAGCAGCTGGGAGCGCGGCGGTCGGTGGTTCCGCAGCTGCTGCCCCAGTCGGCTCCTGTTTCCCTGCGGAGGCAAGGGAGACCAGAGGAGGAAGAGCGGCCGGGGAGCTGCCTTACTTCCCGCTTTTGGCTGGCCTGGCTCGTTCTTGCAGGGGAAAGAAAAATATTCGGGGATAGAAAGCGCTGCCTCAGCCGCAATATCCAGGGCACAGGGACCACTGGAAGTACTCCTTGTATGAGGCAGCGCAGGTTGGTTCTTTAGGCCTCTGTGCTTCCCTTGGTTGGAGGAAGCATTCCTTTTCGTCGGCAAAAGTTACTGTAATAAAAAGGTATAAATGTTTTCTTTCTCAAACCCTCCTCCCCCTCCCCTCTTTCAGTGTAGCGTACCAAAATAATTCCTAGATTTCTTCAGCTGCAAGCAGACCTGAGTTTAGGTGGACATGCACGGAGTGCAGTCAAATGTATTACGTGTTTGGAGGCTTGTTGTCTTCGCAACGGTCCTGACTAGATTCCGCATATCCCTTCTCCGTTCTATAGACTGGGATATTGAGGTTTACCCAAATGGTTTGTTATTAACCCAGGATGGGGGTTGAGGCTGGATTTAACCCTAGCTCTGAAAACACAAATTCAGCGTCTGATTTGGCACGGTGTTGGGGCTTATAAGCATGTCCAGAAATTCTTTCTTTCCCTTTGCAGTTATTTATAGGTTACCTTTTTTCCTAAGAAACTTAGATGGTCTCCTGTCCAGAGACTTAGCAGATTCAGGACTACTAAGGTTTATAAGATAGTAGTGTTGATTCTTGCAGATCATGCTCCCCTTCCCCACCCTTCTCTCTGAATCATTGCCAGAAACAGACTTTAGTAATTTAAGCCGTGTTGCAAAAGGTCCAGTATTTAGTAATGTGTTGAGAACAGGGCTACCCAAAACCCTAACTCTAGGAGGGGGATATTACAGATTAAATGTGTATATGTGTTGGGGTACTTTGTAGAAAGTACACACATTCCTTCCCTTCAGCGTTTGTATTTAGCCATTACCTTGCCTAGAGAGATCTGAAAAGGTCAACTCGGAGTTTTAAAAGTGTTCTGAATGCATGGCCACATTGTTTAATAATACAGTAGATGCGATTTCCCAGAACAGGAGTACCTGATCTCTGGGTCAGGGAAAAATCAGGATGGGAAGCTAGGGTTTTTTGTTTTATTCAGGAGCGCAGGTTGGGGAACTTGTGGCTCCCTTTTTTCTCTGAAAAAAGATGTGTAGATCATACCTGAGTAGGCTGAGTGACTGTAGCAGTCACAGATAGATTTCAGTGCCCTCCTCAGGTACAGGGAAATTGAAGAGTTTATGGGATGCATATAACAAAGCTAGAATCTAAAAATTAATAATGTAAGCTTCTTTGAAAATGCTATCTGGAGTACTCTTTTATTGAGCAAAAATTAGTTACATTTTATGATCTGTGCAGAATATTTTCAAAAGCTTTAAGTGATGGGCTAAACTGGTATCTCATGTACTGATCCTGTAGGTTAGCCTTGTAAATAATCTCCCAAAGTTACTAGTTTGCGAATATTTTATGAACATGCTGGGAACTAGTAGAGGAAGAATAGAGAGCTGCGTTTCTAAACTGGATGCAGAAGAGCCACCTGTGGTTTTTATGGTGGACACAGAGGAGTCTTTCTTTCCACTAGAGCACTAACTTGGGTGTACACAGTATCTGGTTGCATCTAGTACATGGCCACCCCAAGCTAGTACTAGAAGAGTAGTAGCCATGGGAGATTCTAATACAAACAAACATAAGAAACAGAAAAACAGCACTATGTGTGCTGTGAATGTTTTTAGGGCTACAGTGAGAATGAATGTTGCTATTGTATTTCTTATATAGCAGTGACAGTTGCCCTAAGGTTGCCCATAATCCTCCACACCCAACAAAGAAACTGGATAGTCATCTGAGTGGGATGGTGTAAACTGGTGACCTGCAACAGTAGAGGGTTGGACCTAATGGCCTTCTTGGCCCCTTCCAACTCAACTATTCTGTGATTACTGGCATCCAATCAAGCCTCCATGCTGTTCAACCCTGCAAAAGAGATATGGCTGATTTTGGTTGGCTGTGTGTTTTGTCTCTGCTCAAGAGGTGGTGGAATTGAGGCACTGCCAGGTTCCTTCTATCCTGTGTATCCTAGAGGAGTGTCTCTCCTCTCCATTCCCCAGAATGCCAACCCTGCACCAGCTGTGAAGCCACACTTACAACTTTGGTGCTGCAGCCAGTGCAATATGAATCACTCCAAGCATGAAAGCTAGGGTAGTGTTGTTTTTAGTATTGATTTTAGTGTTGTTTTTAGTATTGATTTTATATTTATGTGATGCTGTGCCCTGATTATTTATGTTATTGCCACCCTGAGACATTGCAAAATACAGTAGTACCTCGGCTCACGAATGCCTCAGTTCATGACCAAATCGGGTTACGAACAGAAATTTCATAAAAATTTGGTCGTAGGTCACAAACTCTGCATCAGGTGACGATTGTGAGCGCACCCGCCTTCCCTGCACAGGCGCGCGTGTGTGTGTGGGGAAGATGGCCACGATCGTGCTGGGGGGGGGGGGGGGGGGGCGGGGGGGGGTTGGGCCGTTTTTTCCTGCGCGCGCCCGTGCACCCCTCCCTTCCCCCCCCCCAAGTGACAGGGGGGGGGGGGGGAGATGGTTGTGATCTTTGTTCTTTGTCACTTTGCTTCAAATTTTTGTGAGTAAAAAAAATAGTTGCAGAATGGATTAACCTTATTTACATTGACCTTTATGGGGAAATTTGACTTGGTGCATGACCAATGTGGGTCGCGACCAGAGTCCTGGAACGGATTAAGTTCGTGAGCCAAGGTACCACTGTAAATAAATAAATTTCAGTTTGCAACTGACTTTGGCGCATATTTCCAAGGACAGGGCTGGGACTCTGCTTCTAATGTTCCCTTGACCGTCTAGAGGTCATAGGATTGCACTCCAGTGTGTCAAGGTAGTAGGCATTTCTTTCTGAGTACTGTGAGGAAAACAAATAATCCAATAGGGAGCAAGACATTAATCACAATGGGGTATATACTAGATAACTGCAGGTGAAGTTTGACAAGTTACCTGTGGGCATGCCTTAGAATTTGTTTTACCATCTGTCAAGAAAGTATTTTCAGTTTTCCATTTGCTTTTTCCCCCCATTTTCACTAGTACTATCCAGTGATCCTGATGAATTTTTTCCACTTTACTACAAGAAGGTTGGTTTCTCAAGTATATTGTGGACTTAAACCGGCATCTTCCAAGAAACAATTGACCTGCTTTGAAATGGCAAGACCCAGTTCAAGTAAGAAGGGATTCTTTCAACGTCATGTGTGTTTTTCTGTGTGTGTATAAGATAAGATATCATTAAACTGAGGTGCAAGAATCTTCCCACTTTGCTATCTTCCACATTTGAATGTTTCAGATTTCAAGTGTTGTTAATACTGTTAAAGAAATTTAAAAATTTTGATGACATCATATAAAAAAACTGAGTAAAATTCTCACCCATTCCTATGGTAAATTAGTTATTTCTTTTCCTTGTGTAATGAATGCACTTTGACATGTAAAAAGATGAACACTTCCAACTGAATCATTTGGGCTTTGAGAGTCATCGCTGATGGACATGACTGCATGGGTGACAGGATCTGTTTTAAGGAAATGTTTTACTGTGTTCTTATCTTCCTAAGGATGGATGAACTGTATGATGCCTTGGTAAATGTATATGCCTAAATACACTTGTGTGCAGTGGTGGGGTTTATGGGATGAACTGGTGGGAGGACCGTGTCTTAGGTCTTCCAGTTGTATTCAGTTTTCCCCTTCCTCCAAGCTGGACTTACTTCTGGTTTTGAAGCCCAGATGCACAAAAGCACATTTTAAAATAGCCTCAGGGATGGGGCAAGGCAGGCTGATGCTTTTTGTAAAACCATCCTCTGTGTGTATTATTTACTGGGAAAGTCAGGCTGAAATTTAATCTAAATTTGTAATGTCCACAGAGCGCACAGAAACATGCACTTATATCTGAGTTAAATCAATGGACATTGTTAGCACTTTGCTGTGCCAGGTTAGCTCCATAATTAGTAAGAAACTTATAAATGCAAATTTAGTGATAGCTAACCACAGCAGCTGTGGCCCTAGAAAGCATAGCTAATTGTATGATAAATAGATAGAATACCTACTTTTACCTTGACATATTCAAAAAGTTTAAAGAAAAATGATGAAGTTTATTCTGTTGTATTCAGCTAAGTCTATACATAACCAAGTACTGTCAGTTTCTGTTAACAGTTAAGTTAGGTTTTGATTCTCAGGATTTGCTAGTCCTGCTACTAAGATCCCTTAAGGGCACAAACCTGTGCATGTTCAGACAGGAAAAAGAGTGTTTCTGTTTCCAGCAGCCTCTAGCCAGCCATGCTGGAGCATGCTGGGAATTGTAGAACTTTTTAACCATCTAAATATGCATTTGTCTGATTGAACTTTGAGACCTCACAGATGCAAAACATGCTTTTCATTTATTTGTGTTTTTAAAGATGGATGGACTAATTGTTAGAAATCATTAGTGTGCCCACTTTGATACATTGAGTTATAGGATGAATGGTTATTCATATACTGCAGTATTGCTGAAACCATATTTGTGGCTCTTATTTAAACATTTTTATAGGGCCAACATCATGCTAAGGTAATTTTTTGTGAAATATTTCCTTCAATTCTTGTGCATAGATGTTTCAAGATCTAAAGCTAAATAATAGAATTTCAGCATGAATTTCCCAATTCCCAGGCAGAATAGTTTTATATATATTTAAAACATATCTTATATACATTCAACAAATCATACTTTCCCCCCTTTCTTTTTAAAGATATGGCTGATTTCCGAGAAATATTTGCAAAAGCAAAGCACATAGCTATTATTACAGGGGCTGGTGTCAGTGCAGAGAGTGGTGTTCCAACCTTTCGAGGTGCAGGGGGCTACTGGAGAAAATGGCAAGCTCAGGTATGTATTATTGGTCCATATTTTCAGGAATGCTAAGTTCTGGTAATAGTTTGCAAGGCTGTCTTACATTACATTCTACTGCATATTTGCAGTAAATACAAACATCATTAATTCCACCAGACCAGTTACTTTTCAGCTTTAGGCTTAATCACTAGCAAATGAGTTAGCAACACAATCTGTTTGGTTATAGTGCATTAATATGTTATTTTTCCTACTTGGGATACAAATAGCCAGAATGTTTTACTTCTTCCATGATTAGTCACTTTTTCAAGGTTTTCCATGAAATGCAGGAAAAATAAATGCCACATTTGCTTTGGGCACACATCCTAATTAGGTTAATAAGTCTGATACTGAGGCTGAGGCTGAGGTTTGGAGTGACTTGTGAGGTTGGCTATGAAGCTTATACTTGTACTGAACATAGTTGTTGTATTAAATGACATGTAGGCAACTTTTCTGGATCCATTCATTTGGTACCATCCATTTGTAGCATCACCATTTGGTATCCATCCATTTGGCAATTTGAGCAGTCTGTTATGGGCATCTCCAAAAAATGGTTGCCATAGGAATCAAGGAGCAAAGCCTAGTAAAATCAGTAGGATTTAGTTATATGTAATTTGGGTCCCATTGATTTCACTGAGTGAAATCTAACTACAACTAAATCTGGATGCAATTCAGTTTCCAGTAATATAGCCCATTGCAAAGAACTCCTGAAGAAATTAATAGATGAGAATAGCATAGTGGCCAAGAGTGTGAGCTATGAAGTCCCTGGTTCCAGTATCACCCAAACCACAAATTTTCCATATGGCCTTATATCGGTCAAGCCAGTATCCTGCTGCTTCTGCTCACCTCCATTGGCAATATGGAGGGCAGTAACATTAGTTGGCATTATTGTTTCATGTACTACTCCAGTAACCCACATAAGGAAATCACTTACAATGTGGACAGAAAAACACAGACGTTGTGTGAAGCTGAATACTGCTTATTGTTATGAAGACTCTCTGATCTAAATGCTTTTTATGATAACCTTGTTGATTGTCTTCTCAGTGCTGAATTTAAAGATGTGTTGTTACTTAGTTTTTTTATTTGTTAAAACTGTTGTTTTGTTATAACCCCTGATTTAAAATGAAGACTGAACTCAGGCAATAGTATTCCAGTAATGTTTGTGAAGCACTTGGAATACTGAAATGTACTATATAAATACCAAACCATCTTAGTGCTCTTACAGTGGGACATAAGACTCAGGTATAGACCTTATTTTCTGTTAATGGGGTTTTTCTCCTTTCCACAGGAATTGGCTACTCCAGAGGCTTTTGCAAGGAACCCCTCAAGGGTGTGGGAATTTTACCATTACCGGAGGGAGCTTATGATGACTAAACATCCAAACCCAGCACACATTGCCATAGCAGAGTGTGAGATGAGACTGAACAAGCAAGGCAGGAGTGTTGTGGTCATCACACAGAACATTGATGAACTCCACAGGAAAGCAGGAACAACACACCTTTTAGAAATTCATGGTAAAAATCCACAGCAGTACCTTAATGATACTCAGCCATCCTTTATACATATTTTTTCATATTTCCAAGCATGAAGAAAACACATCAATAAAGATGTAGGAATTTGCTTTGAAAAGCATGTTTGAGAATAAGTGTTACATGCATCAACAAATCAGGACATTCTTAGCTTTCTATGCATGCAGAAAAATGTTTGCTTGCTTTTCTTTTCCACTTGCATCCCCTCATCATACCTGTGTCCCCAAGTTATTTTTGAAGGCTTTGATAATCCAAGGACTTCCAGTAGGAAGAGGAAATCAGCACTACCCCTGTCTTTGGACATATGCACAGAATTTCATTTGTTTTACTTTTAGAAACCTGACTGAATACTTAAGGCAGGCTCCCTAGAAATCTTAAGCACATTAATCTGTGAACTATTTATCTTTTAGAATTTGTACATTAAACTTTAATTCAGAGGGAGAAATTACCATAAGGTAAATAGTTTTCTCAAAACTTTCCCATTATCTTTTATTTGGGTTTGTGTCTTCGTAGTGCCTATGTTACTGAAATAGTTCAATAATCCCATATGGCTAGTGAATACATGGTTTAACTTGTTGGTGCCCAAACAATTCATAAATTTAAATTTTAGAATACATGATAAGTCTTAAAATAGAATATCATTGGTTACAGTTTAATCTTCCAAATATATTAAAGTCAAATTTAAATGGTAGCAGTTTTGCATTAGCAGTTGTGAAGTCAAGATTTAAAGCAGTAATCTGGGATTGTTACTTAATTTTATAGGTAGCCTATTTAAAACCCGATGCACCAGTTGTGGAAATGTGACAGCAAACTACAAGAGTCCAATTTGTCCTGCTCTGGCTGGAAAAGGGTAACTGATCTGTGCTATGATACCTATAGTTTGTGTCAGAGGGAAGTAGTGATGATACTGGCCAATATGTTCTCCCAAGTAAGGTTAAGTAAAAATATAGATGGTGCGATCCTGCTCTCCCCCCTCCCCCCACAAGACTGTGAGTGGAAGGCTCTTCTCATGCACAAGAGGAGCAAACATGCTTTCTGGAAGCACCTGGTATATTTACGGGGTGCTTCTCCAGAGGGTCTTCATATCTTGGGTGGGATTTCCAGTGACTGGCAGCTGCTCCTTGTAGAAGAAATGTAAAAGCTCCTATGAACAGGTAGAGCAGAGCTTTGCAGCCATTGAGTTTAAATGGTCTAAAAAGGCATCAGTCAGCAGACACTCTTTTTTCTTTATGGCTGTCTATTTCACGGGGCACTTGAAAAGTTGTCTGTCTAACGTTAAAGTTTGCAAGAAATTATTTTTAAATGTCATAAATGGGCAATAAAAATAAAAGATGAACTTGATGATGTTCCTGTAAAATATCTGTCCTCACGTCCCATAAAAGTTTGTTTTTAATTTGGCTTTTTGCTCTATATCTCTTTCTTAAAAGTAATTTCTATTGCATACCCCAGAATAGTTTTCGGCATGAAATGATCCACACCTCACTAGAACAAGCTGTTTACACATTGTGAAGCTTGTGGTCTCCTTAATATGAAATACAATACAACATGATTTTTACATTATTATTTCATTTCATTTATATCCTACTTTTTTTTTCCTTTTGTGAGGAACCCAAGGAAGCTTACACAGAGATCTTCCTCCTTATCCTCACAGCAACCCTGTGAGGTAGGTCAGACTGAGAGTGAGTGCCTGGCCCAAAGTCACCAAGTGTACACTTCATAGCCAAGTGAAGACTAGAACCTGGATTCAAAATGACTACCTACACTGACTTTATATGATGATTTTTACTTGTAAACTTACATTTCTTTATTGTAGCGCTCCAGATCCTGATGCAGAAGATAGCAAGATTCCTGTGGAAGATCTTCCTCGGTGAGAGTCAAAGAACCATAGCATTCAACTATGCAGATATGTATCAATCTGTGTAAATGTGTGGTACAGTTTTTTTTTGCCCTTTGTCAAAAGCAAGAACTGTTTGACTTCCAGATAGGCAGTCAAAGCAAATACAGCTGCTTTACAAATGATGGACAGCAACCATAGCACTTCCACACAGCCACATGAATGGAACAGCACAGGAATGGAACAGGATTACATCTGTTGATGCTGCTGTGTACATAGGTTCACTGGATAGTGTGGAACTGCCTGTGCGTAGATAAACGTTGTGCAGGCTCCCTCAAGTGATCAAAGAACCTCTCAAGCCCAGGATGTAAGCAACAAGTGATTACAGCTGCAACACGAGGCCTAGGATAGAGTTCTTTGCAAGAGGCTAGAGAACCCAAAACAAAAAGACGTCCAAATATAGGCTGAAGTCTGTACTAGTAAGACAAAGCAGAGTCAGAGATCCAGCAAAGTACAGTAGGCCCAAAGGCTAGGGCAGAGTTAGGAAGAAGTGAAGTCATACATCAACAGGGTATAACAGGCCCAGAAGCAAAGGCAGAATCAGGAACAGGTAAAGGTGCTCATACCTACAAGGCATGGCAGAACTAGAGGCTAAGATAGAGGCCGCAAGAAAGACTTCCGCCCACCTCCAGCAGGACCCTGCTCCATTGCGCTGCTGGAGGAAACAGGCGCCGCGTGGGCAAGCGAACGCGGGCAGACGCGCGCAGCCACGGCGTCGACGGCAGCCAGCTTCAGCGGCCAGCGCAGGCGCACGCGTTGCCGGAGAGCGCCGCCCGCCGGCCCAGGTGATCGGGCGCGCGCAGTGCGCCACGGGGCGGGACTCGGAGGCGCCCTGCAGACTCAAAGCAGCGGCCGGGGCCGAAGGGCGGCGACCAAAGGGGTCGCCGCCGTTTGGGGTGCCGTTTGGGGTGCCGTTCGGGGGGACAAGAGGGGGGCTGGGCTGGCCAAGGACTCTTGTTGAAATAGGCTTGCCTACTGCTGAATCTTAGGGAAGGGGAAGGATTCCCCCCCCCTTTCTTTTTCTTTTTGTCGTTCTTTTTTCTCCTCCTTCGACCTACTTTATAATTTTACCCTGCTTTAATCAGTGCTTTGAGTCATCCCTGGCCATGTCGACGTTTATATATCCTGGGGAACACACGGGCGCTGCTATTGATGTGGTCACAGGCAATGGTCGTTACAACAATAGGGGCTTAACGTGTGCACGTAGAAGAAGGATGGACAGATGGCTGACACCTATCCCTCCTTCTGGTCTTGCCCCCAACCAGAGGGCGCCAGGTAGTCTTGTCAACCACCCCTCGGGCCTGATGGTGCTGCTGCTCAATGCCAGGTCGGTCAATAATAAATCTTCCCTCATCCATGACTTGATTGTGGATGAGGGGGCCGACCTGGCTTGCATAATGGAGACCTGGGCGGGAGAGGGAGGGGATGTTGCCCTCTCCCAATTGTGCCCGCCCGGGTATCTGGTTCAACACTGTTCACGCCCAGAAGGGAGGGGAGGGGGAGTCGCGTTGGTTTACCGAGCCTCCATCTCTCTCATGGGTCTTCGGTCCCTTTGAGACCAGGGCTGGAGTGCCTCTACTTGGTGTTGGGCGAACGAGACAGATTGGGGATTCTATTAGTGTACCGTGCACCCTTCTGCCCAGCAGTCTCCCTATCTGAGCTGACAGAGACCGTCTCGGACCTGGTGTTGAGGACCCCCAGGATGTTGGTCCTGGGGGACTTCAATCTCCATGCCGAGTCTGGACTGACCGGGGCGGCTCAGGAATTCATGGCCTCCATGACGGCCATGGGCCTGTCTCAACACGTCATCGGCCCGACCCATGAATGTGGACACACTCTGGACCTGGTATTCACGACGGGGCAGGAAGAGGATGACCTGAGGGTGAGGAACTTATGTTTGACTCCCCTGTCATGGTCAGATCACCTCCTGGTGAGGTTTGTGCTCGAGAGCGGCCTCCCCCTCTATAAGAGTGCGGACCCGATTGTATGGGCCCGCCCCCGGAGCCAGATGGATCCAGATGGATTCCTGAAGGCCCTGGGGGAGTTTCCGGCGGACAAGACTGGTGCTCCTGTCGAGGCTCTGGTCGAACTGTGGAATGGAGAGATGACCAGGGCTGTGGACACGATCGCTCCCAAGCACCCTCTCCCACCGGGCAGAGTCCGCTCTTCCCCTTGGTATACACCTGAATTGCGGGCAATGAAGCGGGTTGGGAGACGACTAGAGTGTAGGTGGAGGAAATCACGGGATGAATCTGACCGAACACACTTGAGTCCACTATCAGGCCTATGCTGTGGCGGTGAAGGCAGCGAAAAAGAAGTTTTTTTCTGCTTCCATTGCCTCCTCACAATGCTGTCCGGCGGAGCTCTTCTGAGTGGTGCAAGGCCTGGTTCGCCCGGGTCCTAAGGAAGATCCGATGCCACCCTCAAAGGCCCGCTGTGACGACTTTGCCAGGCATTTCAGGGAGAAAATCGCTCAGATTCGTCACGAGCTGGACTCCACTAATGAATCAGAGGTCTCTGGGGAGACGCCAATGCTACTGTCTGGTCCAAAATTATTGGAGGAATTTCAATTATTGCGGCCCGATGATGTGGACAAGGTGCTTGGACGAGTACGTCCCACCACTTGCCTATTGGATCCTTGCCCGTCTTGGTTAATAACTCCAAGCACGGGATTGGGACCTGGATCTTGGAAGTGGTTAACACTTCTCTGAGGGAGGGTCGAGTGCCTGCCCCTTTAAAGGAGGCGGTAATACGACCGGTCCTGAAGAAAGCGTCACTGGATCCAGAGATGGCCACTAACTATAGACCTGTGGCCAACATCCCGTTTCTGGGCAAGGTGTTGGAGCGAGTGGTGGCGGGACAACTCCAAGCACTCTTGGATGAAACTGATTATCTGGCTCCTTTTCAGTCCGGCTTCAGATCCGGGTACAGTACTGAATCTGCCTTGGTCGCCCTGTACGATGACCTGTGCAGGGAGAAGGACAGGGGGAGTGTGTCCCTGTTGGTTCTTCTGGACCTCTCAGCGGCTTTCGATACCATCGACCATGGTATCCTTCTGGATAGGCTAGCGGGATTGGGGGTTGGAGGCACTGCTTTGCAGTGGTTCCGCTCCTATCTCAACGGTCGATTCCAGAAGGTAGTGCTGGGGGACCATGTCTCTACGTCATGGCAGTTATGCCATGGAGTACCACAGGGCTCCATTCTGTCCCCTCTGCTATTTAACATCTATATGAAACCGCTGGGAGAGGTCATCAGGAGGTGTGGGCTGCGGAATCATCAATACGCTGATGATACCCAGCTCTACCTCTCGTTTTTCACTAATCCAGGTGAGGCAGTGGCTGTGCTGAACCGGTGCTTGGCTGAGGTAAGGGAATGGATGAGGGCCAATAAACTGAAACTCAACCCAGACAAGACGGAGGTCCTGTTGGTTGGCGGATCGGGTTTTGGAGAGGGTGGATTTGACCTGGTCCTGAATGGTGCAACACTCCCTCTTAGGGATAAGGTCCGCAGCTTAGGAGTTCTCCTCGACCTGGAGCTTTCTTTGGAAGCTCAGGTGACAGCAGTGGCGAGGAACGCCTTCCTTCAGCTTCGGCTGATTAATCAGCTGCGCCCCTACCTGGAGTACGACTGCCTGGCGACGGTGACACACGTGCTGGTGACTTCCCGCCTAGACTTCTGTAACGCGCTTTACGTGGGGCTTCCCCTGAAGACGGTCCGAACACTTCAATTGGTGCAAAATAGAGCTGCCAGGTTGCTGACGGGGACGGGGCGTTATGCTCACATGACTCCAGTCCTCTGTCAACTTCACTGGCTTCCCATTGAAGCCCGGGCCCAATTCAAGGTGTTGATTATGACCTATAAAGCCCTAAATGGCTTGGGTCCTGGCTACCTGAACGAGAGCTTATATATATGCCCGACCGCCCTTTGAGATCTGCGGGAGAGTCCCTTCTCCGGGAACCCTCCATGAAAGAAATTAGGAGAGTAAGTACTCGGAGAATGGCTTTCTCTGTGGTGGCGCCCAACCTATGGAATTCACTCCCCAAAGAGGTCTGCCTGGCACCGTCGTTATTGGTTTTTCGGCGCCAGGTAAAGACCTTTTTATTTAAACATCATTTTAATTGTTAAAACATATGATCTGGCCAGGACAACTTCTTCTTCCTTCTCTTTTCTCCTCCTATATTTTTATTTACTTATTTTATACTGATAATTTTATATTTATAACTCAGTGTATTTTTTGTATTTTTGTATTTAATGGTAATTTATTATGTTCTATTGTATTTCAATGTATTTTATTGTGTTGTAAGCCGCCCCGAGGTTTCGGCAAGGGGCGGCATAGAAATGTTATAATAATAACAATAACAATAAGGTCTAGAGACAAGCTGAGATCAGATACCAGCTTTGGCAAAGGAGAGGCAAGAGCAAGGCAAGGTCACAGAAAACAAGTAATAGGTACCTGGCAAGGCAGGATCACGCTGAAGATAAGGCATAGTGAAGGGCAAGGCTAGCACCAGGATTAGGAGCATGATATAGCCACCACAAAGGCCTGTGTTACTGTAGCAAAGCTGAGCAACCCAAGGAAGCCTTCCAGGACTCCCACCTTGTGCTGCATGATTGCCCAGGCTCTGCGCCTTACAAGTACCTGCAGACTTACTCTAGTGCTGCAGGCACTTGCTGAGTGACTTCTAATGCTCTTAAGCATCATGCCACCAGAGGTAGCTGTGTAAGGACTTTGGATCCTAACACTACCTTTACAAGGCTCCCTGATGTTTCACATGGAGTCAACATGCACATATTTCGCAACTGAGCTTTTTCATACTTCTTGCTCAGTTTACATGCAGAACTGGTGAGTGTAATACAATTTGATTACGTCAGTATACATAAATTGTTTAGACTATACTTCATCACAAACGTTTCAGTATACATAAAATATTAAATGCAATAAAAACAGCAGCAGTTGGACGCTAAACTGGATATCTAATCCCATCATATGCATTATATGCTGCAATCCTATGAAAATTTAGTATGGAGTAGATTTCATGAAGTGCAATATGATTTAGTTTTGAGTAAACCTGCTTAGAATTGGGCTTTCAGTCTTGTTTTGTTCATTCTACAATGTTCTAAACTTGGAAGAAGGATCTTTATAACAGAACAAAAAATATTTTTTTCATTTTTTAGTAAAAATTTTGGGTAGTATTTTCCAAGGTGATTTTGATACTATTTTCTGCATTTTGAGTTTAGTCCATACTTGGGAATGATCCAGCCAGTTATATGACTTACGCCACATGGATTTTACTCAGAGAATAACATAAGCATGTGCTTATGTCTATTTTAAAATTGGTGGCACACTTAAAATGTGTATCTTTGGCTGAACTGCACTCATTCTAAGTTCCAAGATTGAACAAATGTTCCTGAAGTGTTTCAGAATTATTTTGGACCAGAGATTATATAAATTAATGAGTATTTTCTTGTTTTTTAGAATGAAACCAATGAAATATATTGTCCAGGTTTGTGATAAACCTGGTAGACTTTTTAGTAAACTAACTGATTTATTACAATTATGATTATTTTTTTCTAGCTTTGCTTTAGTTTGTAGTATAATTTTTCCTTTTTTTTAATGTACAGGTGCGAAGAATGCAGTGGCCTCTTGCGTCCTCATGTTGTGTGGTTTGGAGAAACTTTGAATTCTGATAATCTTACTGAAGTTGAAAAAGAACTTGAGATTTGTGATCTTTGTTTAGTAGTAAGTGATTTTAATTTTTTCCCTTACTTTTAACATTTCAGATTATCTAACCTTGTAAAACTTCATGATTTCCAGGCAAGTATGTCCAGTAGTAACTGTCAGAAGTAACATTAGTCATGAAGCTTCAAATGTTGAAAGAGGAAAGCATTGGGCATTTGACTGTCAAATGCTTTCTTAAAACATTAATTTTATTAGAACAACAAAATTTGAATTGACAGATTAAATACTTGTACTAATGACAAAAAGAATGTTAACTCATGTGATGATCCCTGCACAATGAGAGTGTCAGAGTGCCAGATAAAATTGTCAGGTTGCTGGCATACCACTGGAGAGTTATTTTTGAAGCTCTGAGGGTAAGCAGAAATTTCTCAAAGTGAGCATCATTGTTCATTGGATTGTTATTTCAACATTCCAGTTCAAAATCTGTGACTGGTGAAAGATTATGTGAAATCGGCCAACACATCAGTATCAACTTTTCAATCTAAGATGATGTGAGATTGTTCAGCCCTCTTCTATTTGAGCTCTGTCATGGGTCCAGTACAAATGTAGGATTTTGTCATCCCTTATTCTGAGGGATCAGGAGTGTCCCAGTGACTCATGCATTACATCCTTTCTCCTGCGTGAATCCCCTGTCCTGTACCTTTTCAGTGTTAATGATATTAGTGATATGTTAGCACCACTACAGTCGGTAATCAAATTTTAATCCAGAATTCGAAAGTGATTTACAATTCCTGCTTGAAAGTTAGTGTTAGTGTTGCAAAATGCAACATTTTGTCTAAAGGAAAATGATTGAGAATGAGCCCATTAGACACTCCCAATCTCTGGTCAGGGAATTGTGAAACATGGTATCTGTGTCAGGACAAAATAGTGAATACTTAAATGAATGCTTACTAAGGTTAATAATCATTGTATGGTTGACTTTGGTTCTGGAATATATTTTTTCTCTTTCTCAGGTTGGAACCTCTTCTATAGTATATCCTGCTGCCATGTTTGCTCCTCAGGTATCTGCCAGAGGAGTGCCAGTTGCAGAATTCAATATGCAAAGTACTCCAGCCACAGACAGATTCAGGTAACATCCTAATAGTTTGTACGTATTAGTTGAAGAATTAGTTCCCATCAAATGCAAATATAAACAAAGTATCTAAAATGTCTGTCAGGAAAGGTGGTGCCATTTCCTGACTTGCTGCCTAATCTGCAGAGAAGTATGTGGGATCATAAATGACTGCCAAAGATCAATTGGCTTATGAAATGAGGCAGTAGGCAAAACGGATAACAATGTCCTCTTTAAAAACTTTCTGTGCTGACTCAAAGCTCATCTTTCTCCAGTATGTTTGCCTTGGGTTAGTTTTGACTTAGTAGCCAAAGTGCATTTAGATATTTTGACAAAGAACTATGCATATCCTGATAATCTTGTCTTTTAGGTTTCATTTCCCAGGCCCCTGTGGTACCACATTGCCCCCAGCACTTGCTCGCCATGAAACTGAGATCATCTCATGAACACTTACCAGACACACAGAGGAAAAATATAATTGCTAATATCTGAAGGGGCAAGCACAAGAAGAACTTTAAACTTGCTGAAAACGCTTTGCCTGTAATTGAGCAGTGAGCTCCAAGGATGACAATGAACAAAATAAATCATGGGTTTTTTGATTGATTTCAAGAATGAGCAGAGGAAAAGTATTATCATGGACTGGGATGCTTGAAAAGCAGTTACATTTTTCTTGGACTAAAATGTTACATGCAATGACAATATAAACTGTTCATTCAAATGCGGTGACAAAGGGAACATTCATGCTCCCGAGTATCAGGCTTGATTTGTGGTGATTCTTAAATATGAACTTCACTATAGCTGTATGCTTCACAAAATAGTTTTATACAACAGGTGTTAAATTCATTAATATGGAAGACTAAGTAAGCAAATAGACGATGACAGCTTTTAACGTAGCATACACAGCTGTATTTTTTTTTGCAGGAAATCAATAAAGCAAGGTGGTTTTCTCATGAGACATTGCACTTTCCAAAAATGGTTCAGTTTGAGATTGTGCATTTCTTCGTTGGTAATCCATATAAGAAAGTAATAGAAGGCATATATGAAACAGCATCCCCTTCCATAGTATGGATACTTGCTTCCTTTTCACTTCCAAAATTGTATTTATATCCTGCCTTCTTTTCTTCCAAGGAACTCAAGGTGTCTTAGATAATTCTCCTCTTCCTCTCAGTCTTATCAGCACAATAATAATACTGTGAGATAGGTTGAGATGAGAGTCTGACTGGCCCAAAGTTTACCCAGTTAGCTCCATGGCTGAGTGGGGACTAGAACCCAGACCTGAGTTCCCAGTCCCACACTACTACAACATACTGGTTCTCTATATTTTAGGGATTATTTACTGCACTCTTTTAATTCTTTTATCAGCTGTACTAGAGTACTCAAAGAAGTTGAATTAATGTTTTGTCTTTATACCAAAGCATAAGACTACTGATAGGCCTGATGATAAAATTAGCCTTGTTTGTGGGTACCACACTGAACTTGTTACTCCTGTTCCAAAGTATAATAATACTGGTAAATTGAATGGAACACTATACTGGATTGCTGTGAAACACAAGAGTTCCAGAATTTCCATCTGGTAATATTCAACAAATGTAGTTGTCTCCACTTGATGAAGTTCTGCTAATGCTGGGAAAAGGGGAAGGAGGCAATCTTTGTTGTTTCCTCTGCAGCTCATTGAAAAGCTTCCCTGAAAGACTAGGGATCCATCTGAAGCAGCATGGAAAAGCTGCAGGAAGATAGTCTTCCCCTTTCTCCACGAAGGAGCTTTTACTAGCTTTTGGTGTCTTCTGCAAATCATAGAATAGTGGAGTTAGAAGGGGCCAAGAAAGCCATTGGGTCACATCCTGCTCTTGCAGGTCACCAGTTTACACCATCCCACTCAGATGACTGGCTAATCTGGATACAACCCGCAGTATTCTGATGTGATCATACTAATTCAATTATTATAGCCCTACAAAATATGAAAGCTAACTGCATGTATGTTTAAGGAAACAGTATTAGCAAATCTTGGTGTGGTAAAATATTTCACCTACTCAGCTAGTTGGAAGATATTTTCCTGTCTCGGGGAGGAGAAGCTATGAGCTTCCTTCCAGTACCCTTCCATTTCATGTCACTGCTTGAAACATCCCCAAATCTGTTACAAAAAACATTCAATAAGATTTTGAGAAGTTTTTTATTCAAAGTTTGAATAATACAGGATAATCTTTATTCAGCAGTTGAGATTTGAATAACATCCATAATTAAAAATCATACTTGAAATGTTCCCTTTAACATTTCTGGAGATGAAAGAATTATGGGACCTACAGCTGCTTATTGGGGGAAATGCTACATTAACCCATATACACACCTGTGACAAGAACAGAATCTTACTCTGATAAAATGCCAAAACTAAGCTGTCTGGAAGTAAATTGAGTAAACTTTTATGAAACAATATTTACATAATATTCCTTATTTGGATAACAGACATTCCAGTCTGTATGTCAAAATCTGGTCTGACTGGCCAAGGAACCCTTCGTCAAAACTGAGTGCCTATGTGTACTATAAAAATTAATGTTGTAGAATAGCGCCATCTGGCAAGAGGAGAGAGTAGTGAACATTATTATTAATGCTGATTCGCGATAGAAATAGCCACTTCACTCTGAATTTTGCAACACCCTTGGAACAAATTCAAAACGGATTTCTGTTACCTTAAAGACTGAGAAATTGCCTCTGGATTGCGATCTTGCCAATGATGAATTTGTTAGCCTTTGAAGATAAAATGAGACCTTTGCCTTTAAAAAATCAAGGCAGGCTTAAATCGGGCCATAGATCTAGGGTTGTCTGCACTCGCGATCGCAGTGTACCGCTACCGGGTCAGAAACAGCAGCTCCTGCTGAGCAGGAGTAACTTCGTGTGACAGAAGCAAGTTCTGCAAGCCCAGCCAGGCACGACGGAGCCCGAGTTCCAGTATTGCAGGGAAAGCCGCCAGTGTTTCTGTTCTGCGGCGGGATCCGCAGCCCTTAATTGTCACGTGACGGACCCGGATACACTCGTCTTTCCCTTCTCGTACCTTCGATAGAGAGAGGTTAAGAAGCGATCCGTTCTCTAGAAATATAAATTCCGGGTTCTTTCAAGCCTTTTCCTCAAGCCGAACTGAGAATTGCCACAGGAATTAAAACAGAAATCCAGAATTTTAGAGTAGCTGTGATAGTACAGCACGGTGTCTAACCAGAAACAAAAAATAGCAACGTAGCCTTTCTAACTCAGATCATAGTTTTGTGCGTTGTTAACATTTGAAAAGCTGCCATCTTCTCCCATGTTGCGGTGGGAGAGCTTGGGGGGTTTCAAAAACCCTGTAATTGACGGTGGTTTTAGGTTACAGATCCAAATTTTCCTATCGGAGGGGAGGTCTGGTCATGTAAATTCAACCCCCCCCCAAAATATAATTGCAATATTAAGAGTTCAAAAACGCGAATTATAGTCTCATACGAAGTAAAATCTAAGACGTTATTTAGAAGACCAATTTTGTAATCTGCCTGTATACAGCGGCCTTCCCACACCAGGAATCAAAAATTAACTTTCAAGTTAACCTGGAAGTTAATTCTTATGGAAAAGCAGAGTGCGCTTCATTCTACATACACACGTGAGTGTAGCTCTTCTTCCTTTCTTCTCTATCCGCTTCCGGGTCACGGATTTGTCGGCCGGAAGTTAACTGGGGGAAGATGGTCGCCCGAAGGTCTCGCGCCGCCCGGGCAGGAAAAGAAGCGCAGGCTGAACCTGCCGCCTTTTCCTCGGCAGTGGAGGAGGAGGAGGAGGAGGAAAGTGACGAGGCTCCCGAGGAAGTGACCTTCGAAAATGCCCGGGTCGCTGCCGAGGAGGCCCGTCGGTTGGCGGGGGAACGCGCACGCAGGTAAGCGGAGACATGTGAATCTCGCCATCCCGTGACTGAACATAACGCGGCGGTTTCGCTTGGTCGGTGTAGCTGCAGATAGCGGGCTGCGGGCGCTCGTTGTAACCTGGCCGATGCCTCTCCTTGTGTTTACCCATCCTGTAGATGGGGAAAATTGCCGAGAGTGCTTTTGTTGGCAAAATTGAGCCGGTCAGATTGAGCCAGCTGAGAAGCGGAAAATGCGGAGCCCTGGATGAGACCCATTTGCACTGTTATGTTTCTGTCCGACTTCCTCTTCTCAGCACTTTCAAGCTGCTAATGCCCGTTTAGGCCTTTTTTGTTATAAAGCTATAATTGTTCTTGCTGAATAGTTCTGGGCTGCATGGGATTGGTTTTGCTCGTTTGTTTTCTCTGTGATAGAAAAATGGTGAGGTAATTTTCCTGGGAGTTTAAATAACTTGAGACTAAAGCGCACAAGTGCAAATCAACACACTTGGTGGCTTTGCCCACTGGAGCTTTGTTAGCAAAGACAGTGGAAGGGTTCATAAAAGTTTAATGTATCCTGGAGAGAACAGAAAAGCCATTCTGTGTATGAACAGAGCCAAAATGAAGGGCATTTTATTTATTTATTTATTAAAACATTTCTGTGCCGCCCCTTGCCATGATTATTGTGATTCTACTCGGAGATTTTGGGTTGGATCCATTAGTCAAAGTAAAAAGATTGACATGGGTGTCATTTAAGATAGTCTTGGCCAACTTAAGTCTAGTTGATATCAATAGGTCTGCTTTAAATATGTCTTATATGGGTATAACCCTTTGAGCCTTATTTTCTTCTATTGCTTCAGTTAGTCAGATATTCTCGATGGCAGTATATTGGCACCAGTAGTGGTTGTTTTGACATATTTTGCAGTAAAATGCTGTTTGCTGACAGTAAATTTAAAGCAGGCTTATATTCTAAATGAATCTAAATAGTTATGATATTTAAATATTTTTCTTCTCTCCTCTTAAAATGAGCAGTTGTTACTGTTTCAATAATGTAACTAACAAGTTTTTTCCTCCTTACTGCAGTTCTTAACTCAGGCAAGTTAAAATGAATTTATATGCAGGCCGCACTTCCTCAATGATCTTGCACCAAGTTTATAATGTCATTTACTCAGTTTTGCTCTTTCTTTCAACTACTTACACAAGTAGGAAGAGCAGACTGTCTGGATATGAATTTTTCTCTCCTCTTCCACATTTGTTGCCTATAGAAACAAAGGTTGTATCTGCAACTCTACCTGCTTTAAGGTCTGTCACACTCACTGTTTGAATACGGGCAGAAACAGCATTTTGTCCAAGGTAATCAAGTTTTGACAAGAAAAGGGTTCCCCAGCTGAGTCCTAAGTATTTTCTTGGACAGTGTACATAGGCAGCAATTTATACAAGTACCCTTCATTGGATGCAGAATTAATACATATTTTCCTCCCATGTCTTCCCCCCTTGCACATACTCTCTCTTTTGCTTTGTTAGAGAAAAGACCCTCTTGAAAGAAAAAAGGCGACTCAAAGAAGAACTGTTTAAGGAACAAAAGGTAATGCTGTAACTCCTTTCTCCAGTTCTGGGAATTGCTGTGCATGTTATGTGTTAGTATTTATGAAAATCCTATAAATTAAAAATGTAACATTAAGCTGTCTCCTCTTTATCTGTACACTTGCAAACATAAAAGGGACGTGACCCCCTTGTGAACATTTAATTCCAAAGTACTCTATAGCACTTGTATAAGAATACTGTATGCAAACTGATTTTATTGATTTTGGGAACTCTCAAAATACATTTAAGGTGCAATCCTATGTATGTTTAGGCAGGAAAAGATGTCTGAAGCTCATATAATTGTGCTCTTAGTATTTTAAAAAAGCGAATATGACTGTTACATAGACTTGAATCAGCTTAAATGTCTTGCCTTCTCTAAGTCTGGATCTTTGATTGAAATTATGGCACTTAATGCTGCCTCTGTACAGCAATTGATAATAGCACAGGCTGTTGGGGGAGGGTTCTTTTGCCAAACATGTCAATGCATTGTGCCTATTCCCCATTGGAATGACAAGCAATGTGTGAAGCCAAGGAATGGGCTGGTGTACGGTGGATCCTCTTAGCACCAGCTCAAATAATTTTTCACGTCCCTTTTTCTACCCTGTGAGTTTGGCAAGAGGTGCAAAGAAAAGGCCCCTGACTTACCTGGTGCTGGGAGGAGGCATTCTGCTGCTGCCTGGGTCTCTTTCTCTGTGCTGACACACTGCAGAAGGCAAAATGCCCAGGACTGGGGTGGGGGTGAGTGAGGGGGAGGCATCATGATGCCAGTCAGCATGGCCAAGTGCATTTATTTTACCCACCTGCAGAGAGATCAATGGGAAGTAATGCTGCCCACGTTAACATAGTCCCCCTCTCTATAGGATCCAACATTGGAATGGTGTTGCTCCTAATTTTAGCAGCCCTTCAGCAAAAGCAAATAAATAAAAGATAACCCTTGTTGGATACTTTCCATATGCAAAGCTCCCACAAATAAGTGAAGAAGAAAGCTGGGTATAAATGTCTTCATACATATATAAGGATATTAGTGTTTGTTATTCAGGATTAGACAATAATTAGATCTTGTACAGGGGTAGGTAGCCTGGTAGCTCCAATGTTTGAGCAACTACCATCAGTCTCAGCCAGATAGCCAGTGAATAAGGGATTATAGGGATTATAGACCAAAGCATGTGGAGGGACATGGAATGATTACATTTGATCTAATGCTACGTCTTAAAGCAGTCATCCCTGATTTCATGCCTTTCATATGTGTAGGGGTATGGTGGGAGTGGTAGTTCAGTCCATCTGGAGGATACCCTGCTGGGAAGACAGCGTTCTAATTTATCACTAGCCTTCTAGTGTTGTTTAGTAAATCTACTGAGACTGCTATATGCTGGTTGTATTATCTTTTGATTTAAAGTGATTTTTTGGTAATTTTATGGTATGATTCTATTTTTATTTAATACCTGAATTTTTATGTGTTGGGTAGATTTGGAGCAGAAATGCAGGTTATAAATATTTAAATTAATAAAGTTGCACACGTACGTTCCCTGCACAGAATGTCTGGAATTTTAATCTAGGACTTCTTGAAGTCTAAGCAACGATCTTCTACAAAAGGGCAAAACCAAATGAAATTTATTTCCATGTGATGAAACCATTTCCTTTCCAAAATAAAACCTTGTTCGAGTGCAGTTCTATGCATGATCAGACACCGTAAGTCCAACTCCTAGAATTCCCTAGCCAGTCATGTGAGCTGAAGCATGCTTGGGAGTTGTGGAACGTTTACTGCCTAAGCATGTATAGGATTGCATTTTACATAAGTCTGTTCACTGTTAAAAGGTATATTGGTAACAAACTGTCAACTCGAAGTCTAGGTTTGTAATTATTGTTAAATTGTGAGAAGGCTAGTTGGGTAATGATTGTTTGTTAGTAATTTTGACTTGCAAAAGATTATTCCATTTAGAAAAGAAAACTGCTTCCTGAAAATGTGTTGGAGTTGCTGGCATCATCAGCACAAAACAGGTAAGCAAAAGATCTAGTGCACAAATTCTTATTAAGTTACTCCTTAGGAAAAACAACTTGTACTCTCAGTTGCATGGCAAAGCACTTTGGAAACCCGAAGCAGTTTGTGATATGACCAAGAGGGAGGCCACTATAAATGAATAAATTACCATAGGGAAGATAAAAGTTTTTGTGCATACTTTGGAGGGAGCTAGATCCTTAAACTTCAAAATGTATTTCTTAATGTATGTGGGACTTTTTGAGAAGTTTGGATTTATGCAGACAAAACTTCAAGCTTGTGATACTGACATGGTCTAGTAAAGACTAAATTACTTTCATGTTTTTCATAAGTATTCCATTTACTTTTTCAATTAGATCAATAAGTACAGCCATTAACTATTTTTGTGATGTATCAGTATGGTGAAAAGAAGCTTTAATTAGGTCCATATTAATGTGCACAAGTTAATCTGCCATTATATGAATAATTGCTTTAATGAATATTTGAGTAATTGCTTATCGGTATTCATTACTATATATCTTCCTAAATTCAGTTTTGCTTTGCTTTCCTTTCCTTAGCAAAAACCAGCCATTTGACACACCTGAGCAAGGTATGTGTAAAATTCTGTTCCATGTTTCTGTGTGCTTTGTATTGTATAGTAGTTAGATACCAGGCAACGCCAGTGAAAGTTATATTGGCCATTAATAGTTGACATTACATTTTCTATTGCCTAATGCATCTTTTGGTGAAAAAATTTACCAGTTCAAATAAAAAACAATAAGACTATCGCTTTTTAACTATCAATTTTTCTTCCAGCAAAAGTACAGTAGAAATTATGTTTTCATAATTAACACTTTTGGACACAGAGCATTTAAGGAGCTAAATTTGATTGCATCCATCTTTCTGATAACAGATATCTCTAGCCTCTGCATTTGCAAATAGTGTGATTCCCTAAAGTTTAGGAAATACTCTTGGAATCTATTTACAACTAGTTGAAACATTTATCTTAGTTTATGGTATCAACAGACAGTAACTATGATGTATAAATTCTGCAACTTATCAAATTGTTTTTAGATCAAAATATTGAAAATGACCTTGAAAGTGAATGTGGAGATACAGCAGAGGATGGTGAAAAAGACATATTGGCAACCAAGTATGGCTCAGCAGTTCTTATTTTGTATGTCATATTGCTCTAACAAAATCCCATTCATTTTGAGTACTCTGTGATCATATTTGATTTCCTTACTATTCCATGTGTAAGCATTTATTTGGTGGCAAAACATCAAACAAATCCATTAAATCTACTGTAGAAAGATATTACAAACTAAATACGTCAATAATACTGTTGTATTCTCATTATGGGAGATTTGGATACAGTTCTACCTGTTGGGTTAAGAACCCAGGGGGAGGTGTGCTTTATATAAAGCAGTTCTTTGCTCTGAGCAATGGAATCTCCTTTTAAAAATACCATTATTTGGAGAATCAGTTAATAAGAATAAATACTTCCCTCATTAGTTACCTTTATTTTATACAAATGCTTTTATCCCAGAGAATCTTCATATCGCTAAAAACTAACATGCTATATTGTGAAAAGCCCTGATTTTTGGACAGTGAAGCTGATTATCTAGAAGTTCTCAAATTTTATAATAATAAGGCAAACTTTGGTTTCTCATGCAATGACAGGGTTTGCACAACATAGCAACCCATCATAAATAACTGTTAAACCACTGATAGACCCTCCAGTGGGCCAGCTGAATACTTTGGTGGGGCTTACAGTTAGATATCACTTTAGAGATTTTTTGAAAAACTGCCACAAACACCAAAGGGCTCGCAACTGCAGTGGAAAAAGGAGGTGAGGTGGGTTCAGCCACTGTTTCCTGGGAATACTTCCTGGAGGGGGAAGTGGGGGGACAACCCTCATTGAGCCCACTAGTCTTGCAGGAGCTCTGGGGCCTGTTCTGTTATGAATCCACACTGCACAATTTATTTGCAGGCTGAGTTGCCTTGTGCCACAGACTTATTTAATATCTGTTATGCATGAAGTGTTGAAAATGTGCCACTATTATCTTGGGTATATGTGACTCCATATATATAATCCATGTTTAGACAAGGGGTACCTCTTTGTTGACATGGAAACACAAGTCAAGTGACAGCCTCAGTCTTTACAGAGTTGTTCTGTGTAATGCCACAATGTGTAAAATAGGCATCTGAAATATCACAATTCATGATAAGCTTATACCCAGTAGATAATAACATTTGGCATAGGACAGTTAATTCTTCATTTTAAAGACATTAATTTTCTACTGTCAACATGAATGAAATAGTGTTACGCATGACATCTTGATGGCACAAGTTATATAAAAAAGAAATGTGGCTTATTTGATCAACTCGAAGGAAGTTAAACACTTTTGGGCTAAACCTTCCTACATGTAGCCCTTCTCCAGTAAGATGTTGCATGACACATATTGCTAAGGACTTTCTAAGCTTTTGCTTTATCTTTCACTTTACCGTTAGGCTTCAAGAGAGCTATATGGCCATGCGGTTAAAAGATCAGGATTTAACCAACAGGCAGCAGCAAGAAGCCAAAGCGTTCATACAGAGACACCTCTATGGAGCAGGCTGCAACAGAACCACTGGTAAAGTGACTTGGATGCATTTGCAAGAGTGTACATAGTTTGCTACATGCATAGCTGGATTAAATTGCATTGTACCTTTGTCTTTTCAGCAAACGAATATTTTTCTGTCAAAAACAAAAAAAGCACAGTTAAAAAAGCTGCAGTGCAATTTGTGAGCAAGTCTTGGGGTAAGTTTTTCTGTTGCTCTTTTTGTGTGGTAGCACAAGGGAGGGCTGCAGGATATAAAGTGCCATGATTCATAGTGCAAGCTGCTATTCATAAAATGTTTAGCATCATTCTAAAGTAACTTTAATCTAATGGTAATTTTCGGTAAAGGTTTCCCATGACATTAAAGTCCAGTGAGGTCTGACTCTTGGGGTGCTCATCTCCGTTCCTAGCCGAGGGAGCCAGTGTTTGTCCGCAGACAGTTTCTGTGGTCATGTGGCCGGCATGACTAAACACCGAGGAGGTGCACGGAATGCTGTTACCTGCCCACCAAAGTGGTACTTTTTTATCTACTCGCATTTGTATGCTTTCAAACTTCAAGGTTGGCAGGAGCTGGGACAGAGAATGGGAGCTCACCCCATCTGCGGATTCGAACTGTTGACCTTTCAATCAACCAGCCCAGTGGCTCAGCGGTTTAACCCACTGTGCCACCACATCCCTTAATTTTCTGTGCCCTGCCCTAAATGTCTGAATAGTCTTTTAAATGACTATTTCAAGAACTGAAAACTTGGCAGGGAAACTGCTTGCTCTTTTTATGGCATTTATGTCAAAGGTTTCATCACAAATCAGTACTTTTTCTGCAGACTTCCAAGTGTATTAAAGGCACAAGTAGCGAAAAATATTTTTCACGGGATGGGTACATACTATCTTAGACTGAACTGGTATGATTAGAGAACTCGTGTAACAAAATTTTCCTGAGCCATCTAGCTTCCTGATTATAAGCAATGTCAACTAGGCTGTGCTAATTCAGAATTGCAGGGTTATTTGTTACTGCTCATCAAGTAATTTTCTGGCACATATTCCAGTGCTGCTACTGCATGGTGTTTTACTGCTCAAACTACCTCATACTTCTTAACATATAATTAGCCATTTAAGGTAAAGAAATGTTTTATAGCAATTGTGGATAAATGTGGCTGAGGCTATACCTAAGGCCATCTAGATGAAGGGAGACTTGACATCTGCCTTACAGCTCATAGCCTCAGCTATTATATTACAAAAGAGGTTGTGAACTGGTGGAATTATATGTACAAATTGGTGGAATTCTAGTCAGCTTCTCACTTAATACATATGAAACTCCTGTTAAAAGAGGAGAAATAACCCTTTTGTTTGGGAATGAAAGTAATCTAAGGATGTAACATTTAAATGGAAAAGCAAGTTTTCATGATATAATTCCCCTCCTGTACAAAAGTTAGGAGTTGCAGACATCTCTGACAGGACTCAGTGAATGGCAGTAGCAGCATCTCTTGAATGAAGTTGCTCCAGCATCCAGCAATTGGCAAATCTGACAGTTTTTTTTCTCACAGTGGTCCGAAACTGGATGTGGCAGTTGATGGTTAAACCCCTTTAAATCTCATATTGTTAGGTTCAGAATGATTGCCCTCACAAACATACTCAGAGTAATTGCTTTTTTTTTCTCCCAGGTAAAAAGAAAAAACAAAAGGCTAAGCAGTTTAAACAGCGCTGGGTGTCATCAACCTTGATAGCTTGACTGCATTTTTATAACCAACTTGTTAAGGGATTTATTTTATATTGTGAAACACTGTGTTCAGTGGTGTTCTTTAAAGAGTTTTGTATTTGGTATTGTTGCATTCTAGCGTTAAAGGTAGTGAACATTGTATGTGCTGTTTCCTAGATAGTGCTTGCTTCTTTGCAGGCATGTGCACCAATTAAATTGTGTTCTAGCTCTTATAAATTCCTCAGTTGAGTATTCTTTCTCTTTCATGAAATCTACAGTAAATTTCACCAATTAAGTGTGGAATGACAAAGGTAGGGCTCTTAAGTAGGTGGTATATTTTCCTTTCTTGCTCAAAAGCTGTCTCCATAAGTCTAATTGTGTATATATACTGTAATATGACTAATATAACTTTAAGCAGAGTGGTAACTGCCTGAGGACTTTTGTTGTATTTGTAGTAAGTCCAGAGGTGTGGAAGTTTACCTCCTGGAGCAAATTGGGCTTGCCTTGAGCCCTAAGTTAACTCTTCAGGTATTCCCTAGGCATGCCTAGCTCTTTATCTCTTATGCCTACTACTTTATCTCTTTGATCATGGTGGTTTCTTCCATTTTGCAGTCCTCATCCTCACTCCCATTGTACTTGGTTGAAATGCCTCTACTAAGGTATACTTAATTGACAGTAGGAGGTTTAAGGTTAAATATGTTGGTATTCTGCCCTCTCCATGTTGTCTTTGGCCCCACCCAACACTAGAATGCATTTCCATGAAAGCTTCTGCAAAATTGAATTCAGTGCTTAAGCTGGAAAAGATAAGTTAAATTGAAAAATTTATATTATACAAATCAGTATTCTTTGGCATAGATTTTGCATTTCCTAGGTGTAGCATATTAGTTTTTAGCAGGTACACAATCCTGCTTTATCCTGTGTTAGTCTGCAAAACATGAAGAAAATACACTGAAAAAAAGTTTTGGATAAACACCCATGCAGTAATACTGCGGATATAGGAGTTATTCACTTGCACCCATTTTATATTTTTTTGAAACAGGCACAAAATCTAAATCCAAACCCAGGCACCTTTTTCTGCTTGGTCAGGTGTGTTTGATCCTTTTTTTTTTTTTTTAAATAAAAGTAAATCTGTCCCTGTCAGATGCATTAACATAATCCTGGCACTTGGTAGCACTGACACTTAATGCAAAGAAAAATTCACCTACTCAAGCTGAAGACAAAACGCAAAGCAAAAAGGTAAGGTAAGCCATCCTACCATATGTAGAAGTATTTAATGGCTGGTTAATTATGATATCACTACATTTTATTGCAATAGAGTACTCATTTAAGCACTTTTAAAAATGCAGGGTGTACAAAGATTAAATTAAGACTGAAATTGACTAAATATTTGGTTTTTATATAAATAGGCCATAACCACACTGTGTTGACATGTAATACTGTTATAATACAACAGTTAAACAGGTGAGTCTACAACATAAGTTGTCTGCAGTTAAACAAGAAACAGAGTTGAAAGACCATGTTAAAACAAAAACCACTAGGAAACAGGTTGAGATTGTAAGTAGCAACAAACATATTCACTCAGCTCCTGAGTATTTCAAGTTTTACAGTACACATTAAAAATATTTCTTCCCATCAATACTATACAGCCAAACTGTCAGGTACTTATGCATTTTGCAAATTACACTGATTGAGCTATGTAATAATGGGGGTGGAAGTTGGCAAATTATCCAGCTTGAAGTTTACATCACCCACATACTAACACATCCACAACATTATCTATTTTGCCCCACCTTCCAAGAAGGCAGAACTTTTTTTGGTTTATTTGGAACAATTCAAGGGTTTGTCAATCTGATGTTACTGATGATATTTAACTGGTCAAAGATGGAAAATTTCTCCTAACAGTAGTTTAGAAAATCATTTGCGTCATGCTGTAAACTAGGAAGCAATGTAAAGCAACAGACCTGTCCTTAGTACATAATTAAAAAAAAATCCAAACTCCAGTTGGCAGAGCTGGTCTACTTTCATGTTGCATATATGCCACATTATACACCTTGGACATCTTCATATGCATAGCTAATGTAGGTAATCTTCCACTGTGGCAAATGCACAGGATCCAATTCCTGACCGGGCCATCAATCCTAGACACTGTGAAGCCTGTCCCATTGCAAGAGCAAGTGGAGGTTGCTTTGGTAGATTGTGTGTCTCTGAAAAAATAGAACAATACATTTTATAATTACGTTAACATGTCTGCCTCAAATGACTTTTAGAAAAACCTGGACCCTAAGTTACCAAATTGAACATCCCCAACCCACAATAATGACTGAAACACCAAGTATTATATTTTTAACTTAGCAGCTACAGTGCAATGGTGTGTTACCGTTTCATCAGTGCAGTAATTTCTTACTAAAGGATAAAGTACTGGATTATCTTCTGAATGTTTTGAGTATGGTGGAGCAGGCATGTACACATGTAGCAAATGCAGGCAAAGCAAATCTGTTAGAGTGACATTTCAGATATTTCAAGAAATTCCCAATCCTAAACTTGTAGGGAGGGCAACTGATGGGGTACTTGACAACTGCAAGACACCTTCTTTGTGGCTGGAAAAGGAATGCTGCAATTGGAGGCCTCCACAGTGCAACAGCAGGAAGCTTGGCTACTGCCATTGGCCTGGAGTAGTCTTCTGCATACAGAGTCAAGAAAAAGCTGCTGTGTGGGCAGGTGGAGGCTACAGATCTGCAAGAGACAAAGCCTCATTTTGCAGTCAGGCTGAAAGAATATGCCAGTGCTAAGTGCAGAAAAGGAAACAGAAGAAGGCAGACAGGCATGGGAGCTGGAAATGATCACTCCTCCGGTGGAACAAGCTGATAGGCTCTAAATCTAGTAGTGGCTGTATGACATATCTCGGACCTCCTCAAGAAAGTAAGATTTTTCTGCCTGTGGCTCTCGAACCAGATAGGTGCTTCATGATAAAATGTCAAAACATTAAATGTCAATGTTCAGATTAAGATTCTTGAGATATTCAGGGATGTGGTGGCAATGGTAAAATGGCAGCTAGCTTTGGTCTTCGTACTTGCTGCATTGCAAATATCCAACGCCAATTAGAGATGGAAATAAGTAATTTGTAATGGTCATAGTGCTGGATTGAGATTTGGGTTCTTGTCCCCACTTGGCCATGAAGTTCACTGGGTGACTTTAGGCCAATCACTGACTCTGGTCCTAGCCTACCTCACAGGGCTGAGGAGGGGGAGGATTATGTAAGCTGCCTTGGGCTCCTCGCAAGAAGAAAGCAGGTAGAATATAAATACAATACTATATAATTTACTGATGAGATTTTTTTTCAATTTTTCTCTTTGTAATTCAAAATGTGACCAGAAATTTCACAATCCATTGCCTATAACTACTTTCAGGTTAACGTACCTTAATAAACATGCTATGAAGAGGAAAACTGATAAGTCTTACCTAGTATTGCACTATTGAGAACTGAACAAACAGGCTCTCTCTGAATGGGGTCCAGCTGATTTCCTACTGGACTGCTCCAGGGATCTGAGTATGCAAGTAAACTGAATGCATCCTGTTGAGAAACCAGTGCTTAATTTTGTCATTACTAAAGAGTACAGAGTTCTACCCAGTTAAAATAAACGAAGCATTTGCCTACATTTTTATCTTGTTCAATTCATACTGCAACTGTTTTGCCAAAACAGCTTCCACATACATCAAAAAGTCTTTAACATCATCAAAAAGAATGTTCTTAATCATTTCCTGTATACTTTGAAGTGCTAACTAGCTGAGGAGGCTGAAAAGACATGTTTATAAGATAGGAAGCTGGTTTCAAATAGTCATTCTCCACAATAAGTTTGTCAAGTGTGACATAGTTCCTCCACTGACTGATGCAAAATAAAAAGGTGGCAGAGTTTGCAACTTATCTCTGCCTAAATGATGTTGGCATATATATACTAAATGCTATTTGTTTCATCCACTTTTGACAAAGAAACGGCTATACAATACTGTTGCAATTAGAACTTAGCTCAAAATTACACAATTGTCCCTTCTTCTACCATACTGCTATGGCAGAGCTTGGTTTTCATTTAAGAACTTGGAATCTGAACTCATTGTATTAAACATTAAAGTCAAAAGAATAATAAATAACAGAATTAGATTTGACTGGCAAAGCATTTTCACTTACTTTGAGCATTTTCTTGTTTGCTGTGTTTTTGCCACACTCTCTCCTCAACTGTTCACTCATAGCTTGCAGTTCTCTGCCAAAGTGAATCATTCTTTCAATGGCTGCTTGGCTACCTCCACACAGTTGGCGTCTTAACTGACTGGAATCAACCTCTGTAAAAATGACAACATGCCATCACTTATACCACGCATAGCAGCAACAGACACACTGTGCTGGACTACATATTGATCCATTTAATTAGTGAAAAGAATACTAGAAATCAGAATTGTTCAAGGCTTGGGATTCTCTATTATTTTCATAACTCGAACAGGCTACATTTCAACACATAGAACTGGAAATCCGTGTACAGTTAAAGTTACCACCCTAACATAAATAATATTAGAAAAAAAACCAAATATACAATGTGTGCACGTGTGTGTGTTTATTTGAAATTTTTGTATCCCACTCTTCACAGTATATAGACCCATGCACATGTGTACACAACACAAAATCTGATAGAAGTGTTTACTTTTCTTCTAAAGGAGCCAAGGATCTGCATCCTGCAGATTTTCCTTGAATTCTACAAAAACGAGCAGTGTCTGAGACATTATTCCTAGCAAAAGACCATGTTAACTCCACAGTAGTGAACCCTTTAATAGGGCCTTCACCACTAAACTAATTACTCTGAAAGGAGCAGTTGAAATAACATTGTAACCCCTATGCATACCTTACATGGGCAAGCATCTTGGAACTCAAGGAAGGCTTCTGAAAAGGCATACAGGATTGTACTATAAGGCTGCAACCCTGTGACACATACCTGGAAATGAGCACCTTTGAAAATACGTCCCTTTGTGTTTAAAAGAAACATACAGGATTGCACTACAACACAGTGCCTAAAGTTCACTGCAAATAATTACAAGTAGTTATATTAAAAACACTGGTAATAAATATTAAAATACGTAAATAATACTGCTGCAGACCCATTTCTGTGTCACAGTCTTCCATTTCATGATCATGTTTAGAACTACCATTTAAGAAGCCATTGGATGATGTCTCTGCAACCCCATTGGAGTAATGATCTGTTTCCATATCAACATCATTGCTGAGAAGAGGAAAAATGCATCATTAACTGCAAAGCTTTAGAATCGAGTGTCATATTTCAACTATGTCCCACAATGCAACTGTGAAGGGGAGATATGCACACTCATATATGACATACAGTAATACATAGGCACATATGTGTGCATACATACAGCACATGGCAGATGATAGAAACCTATACTCAGATGGTTCTTATTAAAACATGGTAAAGTTACATGACCTAGTATCGTAAAGACGACTTGACTAATTGTGATTTAAGCACATTAAAAAAGCCCTGGCTCCAGGATTTTGGGGTTTCCTCAGCCAACTGTCTTCAGTAACTGCCCCCCCCCGTCAATCTCTCCCTGTTGGGGCTTATCCCTCTTGGCTTACTGCCTGGTGCTTATAGTGCTTGTTTGCCTGCACTGCTAAGCAGAGCTCTGGTACTGCATGCTACTGCCATCTTAACTACTCTGCCCTGGTGCATACATAGATCCACTGCTGCCAAGGTGCCAATCCCTCCTGCCTGTCCCCGTGGCAGGCAGCTGCTGCCACTCTGTATCCCTGCTGGTGGTAATGAGCCAGTGGGAGCCCTAGCACTTCCACAAGTATGCCATGTGCTGGTGAAGGGTCTGATTCTCCTAGTTTATTGGAGATTATGCTCTCAATAAAAAATAAGCATCTCATTTGTGCACTTTTAGGTTCAATGCAGGTAATAAGTAAAATAGACTTTTTATAAATATGGCAGACATTTATATATGTGTGTATCTATCTATACATATGGATAGATATATACACACACATATATATATACACAAACACACACACATACTAAAAGCACAGAAAAATATTAGATTTGTAGCCCACCTTTTTGCCCACCAGGGAGAGATAGGGGTACTGAAGCCAGCGATAACTAACTGCCTATACCAGAAAAATCAGTACAATACTAGGTTACATAAAGGGCAAACTAACAATGCTAGATGAAGAACAGTAGCAGCAGACTTAATTGAATATACTTACCTAGAGTAGCTATTAAGCTGCTGTGATCGTGTAACATTTATATTATTGAGTTCTGGTACATTCAAGCTGGTGGACTGATGTTTACTGTGACAGTAAGACTGATGTATTTTGTTTGGTATCACTCCGTTACTGCAACTACTTTCAAAACCTTAAACCAAAAAAGGTGAAAATTATTTTAAAAACCCCCACCGCTAGTTGAATTTCTTGTGTAATTCCACAGGTTGCTTCATACAAACCAGCAGGTTAAGGCAAGCTAACCTCAAAACAATCTGCTTCCAATCTCAGTTCACTTGATGGGCAACTGTAGCTGGAAGGACTCTCCTCCACAGTCATTCCTCCCCACAAAGTATTAACATGAACAACCATCTGGTGTTCGCTTCACAGTTGCCTCAGAACACAGTTGTCTTGTTCCTTCTGCCTGCTAGACATCCATGTTAAGGCTAGAAATGTATAGTGAGGAGCAGGCCCACCTCTTTAATCCACTTCTAGAACAAATTGAAACCTATAGCAAAAGCTCCAGCCTCCTCTTCCCCAGCCCTAGCTGTTGAAGTGGGGATGTTAATGGCCAGGTTTTTGTTCAACAGTGTACTGACAACATTTTCAAAGAATGCCAGAGCCACACATGCAGGTTCTTGTACAGTTGGGTTAGATTCACACTCTCAGGCCTGTTCAACATAACATTCCCTTAGCTGTGACAGAAAAATAACCCCCTGAGTAGTAACTGCCAGGAAGAGCAAAGGGAGAACCCACTCATCCAACACTACAGGACAGCAAGCATAACACAATCTGTTTGGATACAAGTCTCTGAAAATAAATACTTCTGTATAGCATCTCCTTCAATCACTTTAAACTTACCAGAACAATGTGTACTACTTCCTTTGCCTGTTGCTAGACTGTGAATATTGATCCCATGGCTGGGGCTCATACTGGGACTACTAAATGATCGAGGACTAACAGGATAACTATCTTGAGATTTTGGACTGTGACCTCCTAGGCATCGTACTTCACTGTCTGTACCATTGACCATTTCTATGAACTGGCGTACCCTAGGAAACAAAAGAGTTAGCTTACAGAGTTAAGGTAAACATGTCAAAAATTGATGTTCAGCTTTACCGGTTTTAAATTGCTTCAGTTGAACACAAATTATATATATAATCATTTTTGTAGAAGGGAACCCCTTCTTCCATCAATCTCTCTCCCTGCCACAACTGACCCCCCACCCCATGTATCACTGCATACAACCATTTGACAACCATACTAATGGGCAGCCTTTAAACAACTTTCATAAATTATAATACAAAAAATAAGAGACAGAGAGTAAAAGAAAGAAAGGGGCAGGAGGGGTAACAGGGTTAATAAAAAAATTCCAGAGCAGTGGGAGGAAGAAAAGTGAGAATCTCAGCATGGGGGAATGCGGTGGGGGCAGTAAGAAAGCAAATCCCAGCAAAGGCAGGTAGCCCAAAAAACTCTCCAACAACAACCAAGGGCCTCTGCCCCAGGTAATCAACAAGTACACAATTAGTACTATGGAAATGTGAAAGTGATGCTAATACACACAAGCATATCATGCCCACCTCTGCCCCCTCCAGGTGAGAAAGCTAGTGAATAACAGGCATTTGTTTTACTTGAAGACTTACTTCAAAGCAAATAAAAGATTAGGATTTCTTTCTAATAAAGTTGGATAAAGTTGTTGCGTTGTTTCAATGGCTTCTCCCATTCTTCCTGCTAAAACCAGTTTCTGAATTCCTGTTCAAAAAACAAAATGAAAGCAGCTTGAAAATTTAGGAGTCAGTTCATACACATCTGAGCACTTCTGGGTCCCACTGATTTCAGTGAAAGCGTTAACCCTTGCACAATGTTTTTAAAGGAATTTGCTAATGTAAAACGATAAAATCTTAGCTAGAAATAAAGTTAATATCAGTTTCAAAATGACTCTAGTTTAATCCCCACAAAAATGATTTTATTATGCTCACACTGCAAAAATGTTCCACACAAATACATTTGGGATACACTGGACCCCACAACATTAACTTACATCCCTCACTGGCAAGCAAGAAGCCCTGGTGGAAAAAACAGAAGTACAAACAAAAGAAAACCAAAAAATAGCTAGGTAAAATACTAAGGTCATGATACAGATAAAAGGGGTCCTATGTAACACCCAACAGTTTGACAGGGCTCCCACCCGCACATAAGGTTGTGAATAAAATATCAGTGTGGCAAAGTTTTTAGTATTAGAATATAGTATCAAAATAAAGCTAATTTCAGAGTAGACTCCCAAGAGACTCTATGCAGATGTTCTTTGTTATTCTTGTACACCAGGAACAAATATATAGAACTAGAAACCTGTTTTAGTGCTCATGAAGTAATGTAACTAGAAAGATAAAATTTATTATACAGGTAGTCCCCAGGTTATGGATGAGTTCCATTCCTGAGAACATCCTTAGGTTGAATTTGTATGTAAGTTGGATCATATGAGTAAGCTAAATATTTGTCTTAATACATGCATATATTTTATCTTTCTATAGATATAAAACACTTAAGGAAAACTTCCATATTCACTAAAACATCTTAAATACAATACAGCATTGTAATAATGATAATAATTACTTATTATCAATACTAATAATAATAATTCTGGCTGTGGAATGCATTCCAGAGAGGTTTGCCTGGCGTCGACATTATATGCTTTATGGTGCCAGGTTAAAACCATTTTATTCACCCAATAGTTTAAAGCTTAAAATTTTAATTCAAATTTTATTTATCCCCAGTCACATTTTATCTTGCTATTGTATTTATTGGATATTTATCACTCTGTAAGCCATCCAGAGATGTTCTGTATTGGATGGGATAGAAATATCCTAATAAATAATAAATAAACAATACAGTAATAATAAAGTAACTACAGGTACAAAAAAGAATCTGTATATATGTGTTTAGGTATACTGTACTGTAAAAAAGAGAAATACTTTTTAAACCACACACACTCAATCTTATTCAAAATATTTATATACTGTCTTTTAACAAATTTCCTAGTACAGACCAAAACAATAAGCAAACAAAATCCTTAATAAGCAACAGTAAAAAAAAAAAAAAACAAGAAAAGCAGAAGCACCCAGGAAAAGAAATCTCTTCAGAAATCCCCTGTGACAGTTTCCTCTCTGAGAGTAAATCACAGGAAATCTTCTGTTACTCCAAACATAGGGCAAAACTCTAATCTAAAACTAATGAAAATAGTACAAGTGAAGGCTATACAGAAAACTCCCAAGTATTTTACTCAGAAATGTCCTTCTAAATTCAATAACCAGTTCAGCTTTATTTTAAATGCTGGTGGCCTTTTTATATTATGGTTATACTGGTGTTTTAATATTTTGATTGTTTTAATAGGTTTTAATGTGTTTATATATTTTTTTAATATGTGGTTGTAAGCCAACTAGGAAGTCTTTTGGCAGTTACAGACAGCATATAAATATGTGTCTAAACAATTAAATAAATAAATCTAAAGGACCCAGAGCTAACTAGTGGAAAATTAGTTTAAGACAACTGTTTCTTTTTAAAGTGATCTTTGGTTTCTAACACACTGTTATTAAATGGAATGTAAAATCTGAAATGAAAAATACAATTTTAAATATTAAAGATGACCTCTCAAGATAATAGTGATGGCTGGCTAAATTGCAAATTGTGCATTCATCAATATGTGAGCATCATGGTGTTGCGGTAGATATAAATATCCACTTACATTTAATCAATTAACTAATCACTTAAAGGCAATTGAGAATTTTTTCTTTACCTTGGCAGACCATCTGCAGTAAAACAAGCTCATTCCATTACTGTTGATTGTTCAGATTTACAAGATAATGAATGACAGAATTCCATCATGGCATATATTCAGCATGGTGCAAGAGGTTATCCACTCATGCAGCAGGTCTTCTACTTGCTCTTCTTCTACTTCTACTTATCCCTGCAGCCCCGCAGGCATCTCCCAGATTAACTTCAGAGGGACTCACAACCCTCTGAGCCAGATCAGTGGGCATACGAAGAACGTAGGGCGAATTCACTGTTCCCTTTTCACTTCTCAGGCTTAGATATTACTACTACTACTATTACATTTAACCTGCCTTTCTTCATCTTGGAAGGAGCCCATGACTGAAATGCAACCCCATAACTTAAATTCATATATCAGACTTACTTTGTCTGTTTTTAATGGATGCCAGTTCTTCTAGTACAGTCTGATCTGTAGATCTGGCAAAGGCCTCTGCTGTTGCACAGTATCCATGATGTACCAAGTAAGAGGAAACCATCCTGTAAAATGCAATCAACAATGTATGCAAGTAAAAATGTATTATTTGGACAACTTTTCAATCACATAATACTACAAATTTTAATGATCAGCTTTCACAGAGTTACCATGTACACGTACTTCACATTTCCTTGAATAAAAAGGGTATGCTTATGTACATTTCATAATCATAACAAAATTAGTTTTGGTTCTGGATTGTGGGTACTACTGCATTTTTTACCAAGTTCCTCACAGAACTAATTTAAATGATCAGAGAGAAGAAATTCTAGCACTGCACTATATAAAGAGAAACATGTGGTTTTACACAGAGGTAATTCCAGCAGATGTTAATCACCTTCAGGCACAAATGACCATATTAGCAGGCATTACCTTTACTGAACCACAACTGTAAAACTACTGAAGGATGGAACAGGATTTGTAAATCTGAATGTTTCAAATTTGAAAAGCAAGCACCCAACATCCTTACTTTTGGATCATTGTCTGCCATTCTCCTTCCCGATCTCCAATAGGAAATCTGTCGATCTGGGCCTGAATTTTGGTTCTCCATTCACGCATATAGTCTTCAATATCAAACACAAATGGATGTTGCCCAAAATTTGCATCTACCACTTCTCCTGGTGTTTGAAGTCCAACTGTAGGGTACAGGTTTGGCTACAAGAGATAATTTTGCAATATATTTTAATCTTTCAAAATACTGATTTTAAATCAACCTTAAAACAAATTGCTGGAGATAAAAAATAGTAAAATTTATCCAAGCTTAACAGTGGAAAAATTCAACTTAAGCAGTAAATGTTAACTATGGATTGCAGGACTATCTGAAGAATCCTCAGGTCATTTATAAAAACATGTTCAAGGCTCTTTGTAAAGTATATTAGTAATAGTAAACAGCAGCAATTGATTTTCATTCAATCGGCATTTCCACATTACAAGGGATCACCAAAATAACAGAAATACACCAGTATCGTGGAATATCTTTGCTCACTGGTAGATCATGCACCTTACATTTACACATTCTATCTGCACTTCTAGATTAAAAAATGATGGGTAGCAGAATCAAGAAGCTTTGCCTATAATCTTGGAAGAACTGCTGACAGACAGATTGGGTAGCACTGGCTAGACAGATCTATGCCCTGAATGCAAGGCTGCTTCATGTGCTTGCTCAAATATCAAGCCTTTTTGAAGAGCTTGGATTAGCTCCGATTTCTGCCATGATCTTGGTGATAATACAAAGATATTCTAGGATAATAATCTGATAGTCATTAGTACCTTTTCCTATAATCTGCACTATTTTTCTGAAACTGGAGATGCAACGGCCTGAATATGGGACATTTTGCATGCAAAACATGTTCTCTACCACTAAGCTTATAGATGTATACTTGCAAGTTATCCTGATATATAATTAATTTTTTGCCAAAGCATCAGAACTTATGCATACTCAATGCACACTAACACACCAAACAAGGCAACACTGATTCCCATACTCCTGTCAAAAGTACCTATTTCTTTAAAACTTCTGACATTGCAGCCTGACTAAAACAATGTCTAAAATCTAAATAATTATTTTAATTGCTATTTTGCTACCAGTATTATTTTAAAAGAAAATTAAATAAGTTAGCTGAAAAATATATATCATACAGACAGGAGGAAAATATTTTATACATAGGAACATTATAGCTCTCTGAATATATTTATCTTACCGGCAGATCTGTGAATGCGATACCTGAAATCAAAAGACAGTAGTTAAATTTATTCTGTCAGTGTCACATAGAACAACATCATGTTATAGAGCCCTTATAGTCAAATCTGGGGATCTTAGATTGCAATGTCAGGAAATATTCATGTCCAGATACTGTGGGAAGCGTAAAGTCTGTATCTTTTAAAATATGAGTGAAGGATTGTTCTTTCTTAAGAAGTGTAGAATCTGTATCTTTTAGAATGAATAAAGGCCTGTTCTCATTGCTTCATCCTCCCCACAAGATTTAAGAAACGCTTTGGCATCAAGTAAGAATTTTCAAGGCCACTTTGGCCTGTTGACCTCTTAGAAGGTACTGCGCATGCATAATAAGTTTATGAATAGTAAATGACACACCTCTCATAGATAATCGGCTCATTAGCATGAACATGGGATGTATGAGCGGGAGGGGGGAACATATTAAGGAGTAGTATGATACAGGCGGATGGGGAAGATTGTGACTTCTTTAGTAACCAGCCAATGGCGAAGCGGGGATAGTGTTGAGCATCGGGGAAAGAAATGTATAAAATCTCTTGTAAACAGTAAAAGATTGCTCTTTGTTTCTCAGACTACTGAGACATTGAGGCAGCCTTTGCAAATGCTTTTTGTATGGAATAAACTGCTTGTACCCACTTGAATCCTGTCTCAAGGAGTTTTAAATCTCACAATACTTCACCAGAAATTCCTTTATACAGGCTAAAATTTTAGAATGTATAATTTAATGGGGGGAGTGAATATCTAACCCGTATTACCAAATAATTAACTTATTCAAAAGTTACATTTTAAGCATCCCCTTGAGGTAGCTAAAAAAAAAAAAAACCTCAGCACAGCGTTCATACTGAGAATTTCTTTAACTTTCAAAGAGCCAGATCATACCAACTGCAGAGCTGTTTCCAAATTGCCAATATATTTTTGCAGTTTTCATTATTATAGCTTATTTGAGGTTCTCTTGATAAACACCAGAGCCCAGTCCAAAGTTAAACTGGTATTGGGGAACTGCCAACCCTTTGGAAAACAGTATCTGCTCAAAATTATTAGGCTATGGAAAGATATAAAGGAACTTACTGTATCTTAATATTAAATTTGATTTTCCTCTCCTTTTAAAATAAGGAATTTCGTATATTAGATCTCAAAAGGTTTGATGCCAGCCATCAAAGAGCTACTGACAAGAGAACCCCTAGGTCTGATCTCTCTTTTCTCTGATCTCTGATATTTGTATCAGAGTTAAACTCTGACCAAAGTTAAACAATCTGTAAAGACTGCTATTTTATTGGGTATATTCATACTGTACAATCATCATGAAAGATTCTTCTTCATACCCAAACTATGTCCATTTTTTGTGTAGAAGCAGGTATTGTTGATAAGATTTACACAGCAACCAATGACATCACCAGTTGTAAAAGTTGGACCATAGGGCTGGCCAGTTCCAGAGGAACAAAATGAGTGTCCATCATCTCCATGGTAACCATATGAATGTTTATCCCAACCTAAAAACAAAACATTACATGTAGTGTTTACCCCATCATTATGAAATGCCCAAAAGAAATCCAAATTTTACTGGATCCATACTTAGTCACGCTTACAAGAGACCCGCTGGAATCAAGGCAGCTTGAGTTAATCAAGACTTCAGTCAGAATCTCTGCATTCCCCCCAATGACTGAACCTTTCTTGTCTCCCCCCATCCATGTTCCAATCATTACTCATATTAATTCACCATCACTTTTTATTTTTTAGGAGACTAATAAATAAAAAATTGCTTTATTTTTTAATCCCTGAAAATTGCACAATGCCATTTGTATTTTTAATATTTTGCATGTTGGCACTTAGCTATCCTTTTTGTGCAGCCTTGCCTTGTCAATAGCCTTGTAAATCTTAGATGTCAACGGGAGCAGCAAAGTAGAGTAGGTAATTGACAAGGCAGGACTAATTTGTGTATGCCTGTCAACTATCAATTTACTTAGTTGCAAAGTGAAAAGAGGGGGAAGTGACAAAAGCAGGTGTACTAAAATGCACTAAAATATTCCCCCTTCGCAATTTTATCTTCTTGCTTTTAAGTGTTGAACTTACACTTCTCAGTGCCCCCCACCTTTTTAACATATCCCTGTATCTCCAGCTACTTCAAAAAGGAAAAATATTAACTCCCCATCAATTTCCAAGTCCCCTTTTTGAGCTCTAATTGCTGCAGGTACTGCAGTTCCATGACAGTTCTAAAAACTGCAGATTTTGGAGGGCTGAGAAATAAATATAAATTCAATGCCTGGAAAGGAAATGGTGCGATAATTTGCACACCTGTAGAAAGTGTGGCATTACTATAGGTGCACAAGTTTCTTCTCCATTCACTCCCTTGTCCTTATATTGGTACAAATTTCCTCTCCATTTCCTTTCCAACTATTAAATGTGCGCACATTTTCCAGTCCAAAACAAAAAAGTACAAGTATTCCCAACAACTGAAAAACAAACTTACAAGTTTACAAAGTGGCAGAAAGAGATGGAACAAATGGATTGCCAGCACCAATGGTGCTTACATTCATCCACTCAATGGGTACCATTCTATTTTCTTTTCTGATGAACTATCAGGGACCTACAGTAACCATAGTAGTGCTCTGAAAAGGGGAGGCAAGAGTAGCTGCAGTACTGAAGCTGCAGTGAAGTATTGAAGTAGTAAAGGACAACAAGAAATGACAAGTCATCACTTAAAAGTCATAGGATTACAGTGCTGAGGGGTTGATATTGTTGCCAATCATATTTGCTGCACTTACTTTTGTCACTTTCCCCCCTTTTACTTTTCAATCAACAGCTGACAATAGCATGCAAATTAACAAAATGCACCCCCCCTTGCCTACTGCACTTCACTGCTCCTTTTAACAACTGAGGCTAGTCTGGTACGGTGATTAGACTGTAGGACTGGGGATTCAGGAGATCTAGAATCCAGTCCCCACTCAGCTATGAAACTAATTGGGTGACTCTGCACCAGTCACAGACTTTCAGTTCAGCCTACCTCACATGGTGGTTGTTGTGAGGATCAGACTGAGAGGAGGAGAATTAAGTAAGCTGCCTTGAGTTCTTTGAAAGGAAAAAAGGTGGAATAGAAATATAATAAACAAACAAGGCATGACTGCACAGAACAGGCAACCACAAGTGCACACTTGCAAAATATTAAAAAGAACACTATTTTTTAAAATGATGAACACAGTTGTACAATTTTCTGTGGCTGAAATGCAAAGAATAGCAAGGGGGTCCTGTGCAGCCCCTAGCCATTTCCTGCAAAGCAGATTCCTCGAGATTTGGAAAACAAGACAAGTCAAACAAACCCCCAGAGGAAGTCATAAGATGCCAGGATGGCTCGCTGCTCCCAAATAAGTCACCCTGCAGGAAGCACCCTGGGTTCAGATGATATGCCAACCCACTGGGGCTAGTTACCCATGAGGACTCTTTATGACATGGAAACACAGTCATAGATATATTTTCCTAAATTTTATTTGCATAATTACAGCTAAATTATACACAGCTACCAGGGTTTCTGTGTCCCCACATTGTAGTGGCATCCTATTTCTATCTTACAAACCACTCTTGAAACTCTGGGGTGACTTTAAATGTATAAAGCTGCAGTCTGTACAGCAGATTTCCTGCTCTCTAGATCCCAGAATACATCATGAAATAGTAACTGTTCTTACTAAGAACAGTTTTCAGCTGGAACAAATATTTAAGTATACAATGAAATTATTTGCATCTCACAAAATCAAAACAAAGATTTGTAGCCAAAAGAATTAGTTTTCATCATACCTGGTAGTCTGTTCATATTCACACCTTGAGCAGAGAGCCCAATTCCCATATAACTGAAAAAGCAAAATAAAAGACAGTTCACCTTTTTTGTTTTTGTAAGTTACCATTTCAAAACAGAGCAACATTACTAGAAAACCTACTGGTTGCTATTTAAATTAAAAAGACATGGTATGACATGACAGTTGCATAATCAGTCACTCATATAGCACAGATATATATATGATCTATTTTCTTTAGAAAAGGTTCTACATAAAGTGCATTTCCCTTTTAAAGATGCACTGGTTTTATTTATTTTTATTATTAGTGAGAGTATCATAAAACAGACATGAACACTATGAGCACTGCAGTTTACTTTAATCCTCAGAAGAGTCTATTTTAGGCAAAGACATGGCCTTGTACTCAAATGAGTTGTGCTCACTTCTCCACGCATTAACCAGCATATTTTCTATTGCATCTCACAAATAAATGGAAAAAGTGAATAGATCCCGTGGAAAATTTCCAGTTTGCACTCCATTTTTACTATAAAACTATTATATAGTTTTTTTATATATTATATACACCAGGACTAGACTTGCTCAATGGAAGAGCCAAATATGGTAAACGTCAAACGTTTTACAGCTGCAAGCAGGCGACCATGCGCAGCAGCAACAGGTGACAAGCAGCAAGTGGGCACCCGCAACAATGAGTGGCAAGCCACAAAATAAACTCAAAGAGCCCCATGTGGCTCCCAAGCTCTGGTTTGGCCACACTGATATACAATGCTACCATTTCAACCAGAAATGCAGATAGGAAGTCTCTTCAAATATCTTCACCTAGATAACTTGGAATTATAAAAGCTAAGTAAGGGGCGGCATAGAAATGTTCTAATAATAATAATAACAACAACAACAACAACAACAACAACAACATGTATCAGATACTTCCAAGGAAATGTTAGTAGAATCAAAGTAAAAATTAAGCAAAGTAAACATTTATTGGAATACAGACAGTTAATCTAGTTATCAATTACCCACAAGCTTTCCATCAATGGCTTCCTTCCTCTACACTGCACTACACAAAGCCAAGTATCTATCTATATGCAGTAAAACAGGCACAGCCAGCTCCCAGGTGTAAGGGAGGACAAAGTACAGTGTGATGGGCCCCTTCCTCTAACTGTGGACCCTGGTTAACTTATCTGGAAATGGCAGCAGAGCATTCTAAGCAGCACTCGTTGGCAGTTGGCTATCATTTTCATTTCCCATAATGCCCCAGAGCAATGCTACACCAGCAACATTTGGCAAATTAAAATGGCAGCTAGACTCAACAGCTTTATGGGGGAAAAATAGGGCTGGGGGGCAGTACAAACATCAGTGCTGAGCCATGCCAGAGTGCAGGGTTCAGCGGTGCCTAAAAAAGCAGCAACCTGGCAACAGAAGTACATTATTCAGTAACTCTTTTTCGTCTCTGCTCTAACTTGTACTACTTCACTGAATTAAATGACAAAAGGGGAGGCATTTATTTTTTCCCATGAGGTTTTGAAGAAGGAAATGGAATGTACATCAGGCACATAATGTTTCTCCAAAATATAAAGCATGGCACTCCCAAGTCCCTCTTCATAACATTACAGCTACAAATCACCCAGTTGTAGCCCATATCTGAGATACATTTACATAAATCATGCTGAAATCAGACCCACTCACTCTAAGGCAGGGGTGTCCAAACTTTTGGCTTCTCTGGACCACACTGGAAGAAGAAAAATTGTCTTGGGCTACACATTAAATACACAAACACTAACCAAAGCTGATGAGCAAAAAAAAAAAAAAAAGGTCTGCACATAATTTTCATGTATCTGTCACCACCATGCATACAAATAGCGATAGCATACGTATATTTATTTTATGTGACATTGCAACACAACGTTGTCGTCTATAAAGTTCATGCTTGAGAACTGCACAATCAAGTTGTAAGCCGCCCCGAGGCTTCGGCGAATGGGGTGGCATAAAAATGTTTTAATAAATAAATAAATAAATAAGTTACTCCCAAAAATTGCAAAAAAATCTCAATGTTTTAAGTAAGTTTACAATTTTATGTAGGGCCGCATTCATAGCCATCTTGGGCCGCATGAAGCCCAAGGGCCATGGCTTGGACACCCCTACTCTAGGGGAATGCACAGAGCTAAACACACTCAGCAAGGGAGTACTGGTCCCTGGTAAGGCCTTTTCCCTCCTATGAACAGTGCTGAGGTTCAAGCCTATCCTGAAACACCCCTCTCCAAGACAGAAGCATTACCCTAATTCCCAATATGTTGGTCATTTTTCTTTCCCATCTTTAAGAATAACTTTTAAGCATGACAGTATGTTCAACAAACAAGTATTGTTTCCCTGCCTTTATAAGTTGTGCCCAACCCTTAAATTCACATTGAAAACAAGCATCAATTTATGTGTAACCAGAACAGTAAACACTCTAACAAATCTATGTGATTTGTACAATTTAATCAAAGCAAAGAAGTCAAGTTCTCTTCTCACAAAAATTGGGAGGTAAGAATTTCTGAACACATCAGGATACGTTGTAAAATTATGCCTGCCATATTAAATTCTATACTACAAACACTAAGTTGTCAAAGCCCCAACATTCTTTTTGACAAATATTACAGTGGCATCATGATAGCTGCCACTAAATTTTCATTCACTTTCATGCATAAAGCCAGCAACAAAGTCTCAATTCTTTCCCAAGTTCTTTAAAAAAAGGTATCTAGAGAGTCATTTAAAAGAAAGAAAAAATTAAAGAAAACACAAGTTAAAGTCTTCATTCAGAAATGCCCACATGGTGCAGATCAATCACAGAAAGTTTGGAATGTATTTAAAAACTATGCATACTAAATCAACATATGCTCAACAGTGGGAAAACAATGCAAAGCATTCTATTAATGATAGATGGCATGAGCAAAGAACAGAATCGGTTACTAGATACAGAACATCAGAGCAGTCCTACTTTTCTACTTGCTGACACAAAACACTGGGAAAAGTGTTTTAATAAGAATTTTCCAGTCAAATAAAGCAGAGACCCACTTTTCACAGTACAAACTTCTAGATGACCACAAGACTAGATGTAGCTGCACAAAAAGCTGAAGTATAATGCAGCTTTTAAAGCTTCAAATTAAACACTAAGCATCGGAGCAACCTATGCTGCTTGGAAGGACATTGCAGAGACGGCAGGATGACGAAGTATGCTTGTGCTGGAAGAAAGGAGCTCCAGCAGGTTGGAGGGGGCACAGTCACACCAGAGGATCCATTTATGCTCACAGCAAGCTCCAATTTCTGTTGGTAGGCTGAAGCAGACCTTAAAAGATGGTGTTCACATCTGAAGTTGGATCTACAGGACCACCATGACTCCATGAGGCCCCAGCATCAGACTACAAGCCTACAGTCAGTTTCAGGTTGGTATAAGTAACTTCCCTCCCACTGGAATCAACCATCAGAGATGAGGAGAATACAGTAAGTTTGCCCACTGGATGGCATGTGCTTATAGGACTTTGGAAGGTCCTGCCATTTTACCCATGACCTCCCCCACCCCCAATTTCAGCATGTTTTGTACAAATGTTTCCCATAGCACTTATTTAACAATGCACAAAATGTCATAAAATTAAACCTACCTATAAGTAGAAATTATATTTTCAGTCTTCGATATTAAAAACAACTTTTATTTTGTTGCTAACAGAGAAAAAAGCACTATGTTTCACTATATTGCCCTAAAGTATTAGCCTCGTAAAAACTGACAGTAAATGAATATGACACACTTGGGATAGGTAATGTTCACTATCATCATGGCAATAAACCACAGTAAATTGTTTCTCATGCAAATAGCCCACACAGTGAGCCTGACAGATGATGGGGATCACAGTGGGTTGTTGTCTCCCTCCTTCCCCCTGGTCCTCCTGAAGGTATTCTGGGGACACTGTGGGAAGACTGAGTTGTCCCTGCTGCTACCACCTACTGTGATTATGAACCTTTTTCAGCTTGCCACCTTAGTAGCTGCCCACAGCTATTAGAACCTTTATAATTATCCTTTATGCAAAAGCACAATTTTTAGCCACACATTCAACTGTGCAGTTGCACAGGTTTTGGGCTTTGAAGCCTCAGCCCCCCTCCCCCCCTGTGTATGTGTGTTTCTCTTGACAGTTGTAGGGCAAAGTGAGGTGCTCTCTGGGAGCTAAAGGTAGCTGTCAAACAGGGATCCAGCAAGCCATGTCAAGCTGACTTTTGTAATCTCTGGAAAAAAGTTAAAGGCAAAAAACCTGTGGTGAGCCTGAAACGGCTCACTATTGCAATGGGCACAGGAAAAGGCCACTGCCAGCTGGCCCCAAGACCACATGGGCACATTAGGGGCAGCTGGCACTTGTTGTCACCTAGGACCAGCTTAGCAATAGTAACAAGTGTTTTCTGCTACTTGCCAAGAGGCTCAGTAACTGATGGGGTCAGTTATCCAGGTTGAGAAACTATGACAACCATTATAGGTACAACTAGCCCTACAACAATATATGGTGTGTTGGGGGGGAAGGGTTGTTGCCCATTAACAAGCCACTCTGGAGAAACTGATCCAGGTTTGCACAACCCACAATAGGTTGCTAAATTATGTGAACCCAAGTCAATGCCTGTTAAATAATGATCTGTCAAAGAACAATGACAGCAACTTTAATTCATTTATCAATTGGAGTAGAGTAATATAACTGGGAACAATACTATCAGTCCAGAAGTAACTTCACTTATTTAGAATGTACCTGCATATCTCAGGCTATCATACACAAATAATCAACTGACTTTTCATATTTGATAGATTTTGAAAAGAAAAGAGTACTTATCTTGTAGTCATTCTGGCAAGGGACACATTAATCACCCATCCAAACACATTGGTAAGTAGCACTATTTAATAGGAGTCCCTGTATTCTACATATTTGAGCAGGAAGCCAAGATGATGTACAACTGAAGCAGTTTTTTCTTTTTACTTCACTCGACTAATTTTTAATCCCTCCCCCCAAATTTGGCCCAGAGTTGCATAATATAAGTATGTTATGACA